TGACCAGAGGTTGCTCGGCTGTTCAACCTTCCCTACTGCAAGTGCCCCGGCACGATTCCCTCTTTCGTTCTCATACAACATCAGCTCTGTCACTCTTTAGTAGGTACCTTGCTCGTATTTTACGAGATTTGGGGCTTTCGGTTCTCTTACGCGTACTTTTGACTTTTTGGTTTACTCGGCGGACTTTGCTTTCATTCCACCGTGGTTTGGGTGTCCTCCCGCTCGAGAAAGCGGCCTGGTGCTGTATTTCTTGGGATATTTGCTTAGAGCCACATAGTGGGGACGCAGGGGAGGTTCACATATTTATCAATGCATTCAGGGGATTGCAGGCCCAATGGCTCGTCACATTCCAGCTCACAAAGCCAGAAGACCCGTGTTTCAGCTGATGCGTTGCGGTGGCTACCTACAGCTCACACTTTGTCTACCAGTGAAATCCCACGCTCACACGCTTGTGTTTGCACAATGTGAGGCTGTGTTGGGGTTGATTGGCAATGGCTTGCAGGCGTTACTAGGGGCGGCAAACCTCATCCATCCAATAAGGCCCAATTCCAGCCTTGCTCTCCCTGGACCTCAGGTTTTAGTATCCCACCAAAACGATAAGACCAACCAAGGAAAGTAGAATTTCAAGTCTAGCCTCTACGCGAGAATGTTTGTAAAGGTGGGTTTGTGGCAAAAGCGTTGCCGTAGCAGCACCTCGGTCGCGCCGATTGGGTGGGGAGGAACACCGAGCACACCATCTCTTCACAGCCACGTCGGAAGAACACTACTCAGATGCAATACTTCAATGAGTTTGCCTCTAGTATAGCCATCTGTCTGGGTCGAGATATACCAAGAACAAAGCAAACCTAGACAGAAAGATGCAAGAACACAGCAGAGCAAACAAGGTGATTTACGGGGAAGAGTTTCAGACGACGGCAACCTTGAAAGACAACCCTACCTAGAGTCCGCATGTATGGACAAATGGAAAAAACTTTTTATTCATGACAGACGCCGAACGGAAAAAGAAAACGCTAGCCTCGTTCTCGAGCCCATTCATCAACCACGGTTCAAGCACCCATAGACTGCCTTCTCACGCACCCGCCCCCATGCTGTCTCCTATAGTCACTACGTGAATAGCGCTGATAGCACCACTGACAGCATGACATCTTGTTCTTTTGTCTGCCCAGCGCCGCGCACGAGAACTCCATGTGCTGCAGCGCGCTAGAATCCTTGGTGAAGCGTTCCGGGTAGAAGTCGCACTGGATACTGCCATTTTCTCCGCCTCGTTTTGTCGGAAACTCGGTGCGCTTATTCCGAAATAACCTGCGAGGTGTGGCGATAGTGGTGCTAGAGATGATGCTTTAGATGGTGAGCGCGGCAGCGCGGCTGCTGGATCTATGCTGGGGCTGACGAGGTCGAGAAGAGCGGTTCTACGGGCGACGTTTTGGGATTTAGCATACCAAAATGAACATCAGCAACCGGAAAGAGGCCGGTGAGCGGGGGCAAGCTCTTCTCAAAGCGCAAACGATGCGACTTGCGATGATATCCTGCTAATAGAAATCTGATCTGTTCGCGAGGTACGTGGCCATATGTGCCTATCGAGTTTGTGTTCAGTTCAATTTTGCCGGACCGGACCTGGTGTATTTACTATCTAAGATGACTACCGGTACGGCTGCGGGCCAAGTGCGAGGTGGCCACTCACGGCAGTACAAAAACGTTTTATGAGAAAAAGGAAAAAGAAAGCCAACTTTTCAGCTAAAAATGGATTCAATTGAAGGCTACAAACTACCTAGATCATTAACAGAGCTTAATATATTACCTTGTGAAGAGGGAACAATTTGTAGGTAATATTTCCAGAAAAGAATGAGAAACGAGTAACCAGATCAGGCTTAGTCGACCATGCTTTCAACATAATTCGTTCAGTTTTCAACGCCAGTGCTTCCAATGAAAACCACTTGTACTGACGCAAACCTGCCCTGCGAATTCAGTTATGCCTTTATGTTGGTCTTGCGTCTTGTTGGGAAACTTACGCGGCTGTAGCTCCAAAAATTTCCGGAGCCCGAGCCTTGGTTAAGAGCGCCAGTGTTACAGCAAAAAGTGCCGAGAACATGGTCGCTGCGAATATCCGCGCCAGAAGATTGTGGATGAAATATAGAACGATGACGGCAAGTGACGGTATCATGGTCGATGTCACAACGCTCAAGGCCCTAGATAAGGCCCTGTACGGTTCGTTTCTCCATCTGGCCAGTCCTGTTTGTGCCGCCTCTTCGTCTATTCCACTGAGGCACCGTTTCGTCTTGTGTAGCCCTCGATCGTACAGCCACGGTACCATCTTCTCTGCTATCCACTTTGTACAGACATCATGGTCCCGGCTCGACAGAGCAACGAGGTCCTCCTGTTCTTCATCGTCTTCTTCCCACGGCCTCGCCTCAATGCCTTCTGGAAATATGCCATCTCCATTGCACCGCAAGAACCAATCTCTAAGTATGTTGAGGTCGTAGCCATTGACTCGTTCCAGCTTGTTGACTTGTGCATGTCGGAGTAAAGTCTCATCTATTGGCCATACATGTTAGTGATTTTGGTCAAGTGTTACTTGGAGCGGAGTGATACTAACGGTATATCTTCAGCTTCTCATCTATCTCGGCCATCATCCGCGCTTGTTTTCCTTGGATACCAGGATTGCCAGCCGAATGCATGAAGGCGGAGGCATCCTTGTGAAATGTCAGTCCGTTAACACGGTCAAAATTGTCCATTTGTTGAAGTCTTTCCCCCAGATGTAGTAGTTCCGCTTGTTTGTACAGAAGGTTGCGCGCACTCAATGAGGAGAAGCGTTTGAACAAGGCCATTCCGGGGACCGGTCCCATGATTCTTGCAAGTTCAGGATAGCCATTGCGTATCGGAAGCTCCTTCAGCTCACTCGACATAATTGTTCCGAAAATTGAGGCCGCCAGGTGTTTTGGGTACTATCCATTGATGAGGGGAGTCTCGACTTCAGCCTTGCGGCCTCTATTGTCGCTTAGGCTCCCAATGCAGGAAAGCCTGAGCTGCACGCCATGTCATCACCTGCAAGCGCTCTTTCTTGGCCTAGGACAATTTACCTGGGCCAACTAGACCTTCGTGTAACCCCAGGTGCGTCTGCATATGCAGTCATTTTTGCAGAAACCGGTGTTCGGCCTTGCGGCAGTCTTGACGATTGTGGGTCTTGCGCTGGTTTCAAACTGAGGACGTGTGCTTGGTGGTGGTTCCTCTTGGGGATATAACGATTTAGAAAATGGGTCATTTTTCCGTGAGAAATTTTGTCTGGCAGGCATGGTGTTGAATTACGAACGCTGCCTCGGAAGGCTTCATTCGCATCATGTGAGAGCACTGCCCCTCTTAGCAACGCCACAGTAAAAATTCTGCCTCGCTCCTCAGATTTTATGCACACCTGACCATCGGAAACGACGTTTATCCTATCACAGTGGTGGACGCTCCGCCGTTGGTTTCGGCCGGTGAGCCTATCGCACCCAACACTAGCTGCCGCTGCGCCCCGTTACTAGAGCCGGGGTGATATGACGTACAGGGTCATATCTCGGCATGGGCACATTTGCAAGGCTGCCACAAGGCTCTAGTCACTGCCCTTCCAATGAGGCTCAGAGACGTGTCGGATTCATAATGGCCCAGTATTCTGTGTGCACCCTCTCGCAGTCCCTTTTGCCCCGCACCCGCATGCCTCCCCTTCAGTTATACGCGCTACATTGGCGAGTGATGCTCCACCTCTCGTCACCACGTCAATAGGAATCAACTCTCATGGCCGGATCGTGATGCACCCGCAGCGGCGCGCATCGACTGTTTCGGCCGCTCGCTCCGATGGGCTCTGTGGTATGTCTAGTCATCATTAGTCCACATCTTTCTTATCACAAACCTGTCACGATCTCTCTACTCTCCGCTCGGAGCCACTACTCCAGTAGAGGTTGACAGCTAACGCATCCGACACCGAAAGGCGCCAGCTTCAGGCTCCTTCCAGCCTGGGACGGTATGTGACAGATCTGATACTACTTTTCGAACGCTTTGCTAATTTATTTGAAAGATCTTCTTCCACCAACCGAATGGCGGGAGTAAGTGTAGGAAAGTTGTTGTGGAAGTTCGCAGCGATAACCTGATTTGCCTGTGAGTTGTTCCCCACTCCAGATTTCGCCGAGAAGCCACTAAAGGCTGACCTGTTATTGACAAGACCTGTCACCACGAATGGGGGCAATGCGACGAAGAAATTGAACCGTGCGCGTCAGAACAAGCACGCCATCATATACACGGGCAGCAAGCCACCCAATCCACTACGAGACGAGCCCCATTTGCGAAAAACTGCCATCCGAGCAACCATTGTCAGGAGCCCTTATGTACTAAACGAGCTGTCACGCGTGGACTATGGCACGGAAGTTCCCGTGGAGCATACAGACGAACTCAGTCATCTGGGTCAGGTGAAATCTGTCGGCATACTGCTCAAGGAGTGGAAGAAGGTAAGAGATACAGGCGCCAGTGCGCAGAAAGCAGCCGCGCCCGAGACGGACAATGCTGCTAGTAGTCAAGCGCCACAGTCACACCCATCAAGTACCCCGGCTGGGCGGTATGGGACTGGCTCTGAGGCCGAATCGGGTGCGGAAGAACAAGCTCCACCACTTCAGCAAGCTGTCGTCCATCCAGACTCTCCGCCTCCTTGTGCGCGGGCGGAGCAGAGCATTGCAAATTTGAAGCCTAACGAAGTGATTGTCAAAGGTGGTTGTATGGTGAGGCTCAGCAAAAACCAGAAGTCGAAGAGACTTCAACCCGACAGTAAGATATACCTTTCTGATTATTCAAATGGACTATTTCTCGCTGACGCCAGTCTAGCGAGCTCAAATGAAGTTTCCAAACTACCCCGAACAGTTCGTCAGCGAAACCCTCCTGAGCGCAAGAGTATTTCGGTGGCGCACACACAGCAAACTAGGCGGCCCTCGCAGGGTCCGGCCTCGAGAGCACAAAACAACAGTCTCTCACCAGACACGATGGTCAGGGCTGATATCCTCACTGAAGCAATCGAGGCTGCTGTGTCACGAGCCATAGCCGGGCTGGAATCCAGCAAGCAGAAAGCAACTTCCATCGAAGATGTAATCAAACAGACAGGCATCCATAGCCAAGTCAACGGTCACTACAATGTCTTCCAAGTCAAGCCCGTGTTCAACGGTCCACCACCGCCCTACGACGTCATGGATTTTAAAGTCTCTCAGCCTCCCATTAGCCAGAGGCCAACTGAGGAACCAGAGCCTACCGCCACGTCAGGCAGAACGGCCAACTCCAGCAGCTCAGATGCGCTTGCTCCCAACGTCCCGCCTCGTGCACCGACGCCACCCTTGAGTGAGATAGAGACTCCAGAACAAGACGGCTATGGAGAATCTGACGCTTCAGACTACGAATCAGCGTATGACCATCAGCCAACTGACTTGCACATGTCAGAATGGGAAGCACAGCAAGCATTCAACACCTACCTGAAGCCGCACCAAATCGGCACGGGTCCCGGTTCCTCCTCGTCGCGGGCGGAATCAAGCCGCAGCGGGTTCATGAACCGCAAGGAAACGCTGTTCCTCTTTTTCAACTGCGACCGGCAACACAGGGCCCTCGAAGGGCGCCTGGACACGGGTGCCGACGACAATTTCATCTCGCCGCGCGCCGCGCGCGAGGTTGCGCACTCCTACCACAAATACCGCGGCGAGCCGATCGAAGTAGCCAATGGTGTGATTGAGATGCCTGAGTGGCTGATTTTCACATATTGGAGCATCAAGAATGATGACAATACGTTTTGGCATAACAGCTTTATTGTGTTCAACCACTTGCCCTGCGATGTCATCATTGGGCAGGAGACTATCAAGAAGAATGATATTCTCCGTGCGAGCCCCAAGTATCGGGGTTGCTTTTTGCTTCGGTTTACGTCTTCTGAAGGTAAGTAATGATAAAATTTCTCCTTCGTCTTGGAACCCGTTACTGATTTGGGGTTTTCTTCGCGGTCGCATGCAGGTAAGAAAGCGAAAGAAAGACAGGAAGAAGAAAGAAGGCGCAGGCAGGAGCACAACCGTCAGATAGCAGCTCAGCAAAATATGCAAACGTATCAGGAGTTGGAACAGGAGCATGCAAATGAGATGCATGGACAGCAAGGGTATGCTGGGCACAACCGTCAATGATGGACGACCGAACAAGTAAGAGAGCCATGTGGGTGTGAGAGCAATTTCGACACACTTGGGCGCACAAGGCACGCGTAGACTGAAACATACGTGAGTTTTCGCGAACTGGCGGGTTTGATTCTGCTGTAGAGTACCGTTTTCCCCATGCGCAAGCAACGGGAATAGATTTCAAACTATTTGGGCGTACCAAATTTCAAAAGAACCGCACAATTTACTCTGGATCAAAAAGTTTAGGGGTTGGTTTATTTGTAGACAGCTAGGCAAATGTCTGCTGACCAGACTTCACAAATGCTTCACCATGGACTCGAACAATTTTGGTGATCTATTAACAGCGTTGTGAATTCCAAAAACGCAATCAGCAGTAAATTGGAGGGCTTTGACGCTGAATAATACCCACAGATATGTATTGATTGGAAACCTGGATTGCAAATATCCACACAACACATGAAATCGCATGTTCAGCGCAGTAGATACGGATCCAAAGTGCAGGCAGGCACCTCAGCCCTCACATTCACACTCTCTTATCTACCTACTCAGTCTCATCTATCCACATCATCTCCCCTCCTCCACTTTCACCTCACGTAGCAACGCAATAAGCATACCCCGGCCACAACCCAGAGCAATCCCCGCCCAACGCCGGATTCAACTCGTACAGCTCGTCCAGCTCAATGCCCGCCGCGAGCGCCATGTCGTAGCAATAAACGCCATCCTGCTGCAACACGTACTTGGTGCACCCAGCCACGATGCCCTCTTGAGTCGGACCAGGCGGCGTCACGCCCGTCGCAGTCGTCGTCGGCGCCGCTGCCGTCGTCGTTGTCGTAGGGGCCATGGTAGTTGTGGTTGGGGCAGCGGTAGTACTGCTACTACCTCCGCTGACACCAACGCAGTACGCGTAGCCAGGCCACAGGCCATCGCAGGCCTCGCCGACGGCCGGGTTCCAGGCGAGAAAGTCGGACAGCGAGATGCCGGCGGTCGAGGCGATGTCGGCGCAGTAGCCCTGTTCGTCGGAGGAGGTGTAGAGGACGTAGGCGTTGCAGGTGCTGGTGATGCCGGTTTGGGTGACACCGCTGGTGATGGTGGGCGTGGCTGCGGTTGTCGTGGTCGAGGTGTTGTTGTCGTTGTCGGTGGTGGTGGTGCCGGTTGTTATGGGGGAAATGGAGGTGAGCTCATGTCAGTGTTTGGGGGAAGGGGGAAGGGTGGAAGGGACGGGAGAGTCTTACGTCCATGAAGCTGCACACAGTATCTGTATCCCTGCTCGAGCTTGCAGGAGGAAGAGTTGTCGAGGCTCGGGTTCCACTCCAGCAGGTCGCTCAGGTTGACCTCGTAGAAGGAGGCGACGGCCGAGCAGGAGTTGATCTCGGCTTCCATCTCCTCGGAGCTGGCTGATAGGTATTGCCCGTACATTTCGCATCCACTGGCCGTTCCCGGTGCCGTGGGTTAAGGCACTGCCGTCTCTGTCGCAGTCGTGGATGCTCGCGTCACCGAGAAGGTTGCATTGGCGGCCATGAACGGGACTGAAGTCAAGGTTTCAGTGGCACCGAAGCATGTGGATCGTGCGAAAGCGGTGGCGCATGCGCCCGTTGTGGTGACGGCACCGCCGTATCCGGAGTAGGTCGAGATGGTGCCTACCGGGGCGACGCAGTAGGCCTTGCCCAGCTCGAGGTTGGTGCAGTTCGCATCGATCTCCGGGTTGAGGAAGTAGAAGTCGCTCAGGACGATGCCGTTCTGAGAACTGACCAACGCACAGTAATCGCCTGTGGCTACGATGTAGTATTTCCCGCAGTACGTGTTGGTTCCGTTGGCGGCGTTGGTGGGTTCTGGGGCAGCGGTTGTTGCGCTTGACTGGACAGGAGCGGTGTTGCTGGGTGACGCGTCTGCGATATTGGACGGGGTACTGCATTCATTGATGAGTACTTGACGACCAAATTCAGTGAAAAGGTTGCTAACCTGATACGTATTTGATCTCCCACCATCTGACCCAGATTACCACATTTGTTGTTGATGTTGTAATTCCAAGATCAAAAGATTGACTGCTTTCATGGTGACGAGAGAGGGACAGAAAAATGAGCGAAGGGTCGTTCATGCAGAATAGTTGGACATACAAGGCAACAGAGGAGCCTGCGCCGCGAGCGGGGCCTAGTATTTATATTCCCTCTGCGCGACCATCCGTGGCTTCACTTTGTTCCTCGCCAACTTCACCATGTCAGCCCATTCCGATGCCAGGTTCATCAAGCGGCTTTATGGCGACAAGTGGGGCTTTCTTGTTTTCGTCACCGTCGCATCTGCCGACCCAGACCCAGCACACCCGGACGGGCAACAACTTCCCGAACGCGCCCGTTTGGCCGTGCAAAAAATAAACGACTACATCGCCCGCTATCTCTACGGCCGCGACGAACCTTATGATGAACAGCTACTTGAACTCATGGATTGGACCGTCATTCCTCTACCTGGCGCTGATCAGGCCGCGATCCGCGACGCATTTCGCTCTCATCTGACGGCCATGAACGAAGGCCGCGATCCAGACGAAGTGCAGATCGGCCGCATGTGCCTGGTCGTCGACGACGAGGTCGTTAACAGCGTCGAGCGTGGCCCTGAACCGGATGACGACGAAGAGGATGAGCTCGAGCACAACGTCTTTGTCAAAGTTCTGGACGTTGGCCATCCCCCCGGCACAAGCGAGGTCGTTGCCGCGCGTGCAAGGGGGGACGATCCAAGACACCAGATCTGCTATGAGGGTTGGATCAAGTCAACCCCGCGAGCTCTCTTCCAACTGTACGAATGGGGAACGCGTAATGGCTGGAGCTATGAACGCTTCTGTCCAGGTCCATCGGAAATTCATGACTGGTAGCCTGATGTCCCTCTTCTAGAAATTGATTTTAATATGAATTTGAATGCACACTTCTTCTGGTACCTACGAAATCTCCTGCGAGAGTCTGAATATAGTCTCACACGAACAGAAATAATACCTTCGTTGAGCTTTCATTGCAGCCCTCTGCTCTGGAAGATCCATAGGGAACTATGACTTCTGCGATGCTTTCTTCCCAAAACGGAACCAATCTCGACCGAACCTTCATATTACATTTCATCTCTTTCTAACCCCGCCCCTTACATATCTGAATCCGAGTCCTATCTATAGTTGTAAAACGACTGGAATGCAGTGGGCTCGGTTAAAATCTTATTCTGCAGGTAGAATTTGCTGCTCTGCAATATGGCCCAGTTGCTCGTATGTTGATTTGAGGCTGTGTCTGCAGCTGCAACTTTGTTTCCATTCCTCGAGTAGGGCTGCTGCCTAATTTAAGGCCATTGTCGAAATGAATAAATGCCCCGAAAAAAAAATTAAGTGATTCTGGGGTGCGTAATCACGCTATCATGCCATATTATTCAAGTGGGCGACCATTGGAGAACCTCCGCTGTTGTACGTTCTGCCTTTCTTTTTTTTCCTGCCTGTAGACGTAGGCCGCACATCTGTTTTTTTTTTTTGTGACCTGAAGTATGCAAGACGAGAGCACTGCTGGTTCTCCACATCTTTTTGGGCTTCTTGTGGGCGGAAGATCTCGGGCCGGGCCGATCTCCGAAACAAAACCTAACTTCGCTGTCTCCTTTTCCTCCAGCATCTGCTCACTTGGGAGAGAAGTGTTTGGAATCATCCGAATGTAATGGACCACAAACTGCAATTGACTTAGTTGTCCACGTTACTGACTTTCTGACAGTTTAAACTCTGCTCATTCCGCAGTGAATGACAGCCAACCGGAAGCTCGCAATCAAGTAGCTACGCGACGGATCCCAGCTAGCGAGTCAAAGCCAAGAGAATCCTTGAGCACGGTTGCTGTTGTGGTTCCTTGTGGCGCCGGAAACGCGCCTTCCGCATCGTGCCATTCAAGTGATCCACATTTCCCGCCGACACTCAAATACTCGACCATATCAGAAGAGGCGTGCAAATTCTCCCCTCACTGCGATGAACAATGTCTTCTCACGCTAAACCCGAGTACGAGTTTGGCGGACCGTAAGCCTTCTTTTCCTCATTCCATTCGCTTCTGCTAACCCATCTCTTCCAGGCTTGGCGCAAGCGCCATCGTTCTCGGCCTTCCGGTTCTCCTGTATGTCTTCGCTTTTGGCTGCAATGACATCGCCGGTTGTCCCGTGCCCTCGCTCCTGCACCCTCAAAATCTTGACTGGGAGAAGCTGCGCTTGGAGACCGGCTGGCCCAGTCAGGGTATCTTGGATCTTTTCAGCTTGAAGGTTACAGGCATCGTACTTGGATACTATCTCCTGAGCCTGTTTCTCGACAAGGTGCTTCCTGCCCAAGAGGTGTACGGTACGAAGCTAGTTCACCATGGACGCCCACTCAAGTATCGTCTCAATGGTAAGTTGCAATGCTGGAAATTTGACGCAAACCGAAGCTGAGTTTTTCGTAAGCATTCTCGACATCCCTGGTACAGCTGGCAGCCTGCGCCATTGGAACATACCTGCAAGGCGCCGACTTCTTCGTCTGGACTTACCTCGCGGAAAACTACGTGCAACTGCTTACCGCCAATATTCTGGTCGCATACGCCCTGTCCCTCTACGTGTACCTCCGCAGCTTCAGCGTAAACACCAACTACCCAAACCCAGATATGCGCGAGCTCGCGACCGGCGGCAACACTGGCAGCGCCATCTACGACTTCTACATCGGACGTGAACTCAACCCGCGCGTCACTCTCCCCTTCTTTGGCGAGATTGACATCAAGACCTGGTGCGAGATGCGGCCTGGGCTGACGGGCTGGCTGCTCCTCGACCTCGCCTTCGTCGCGCAGCAGTACCGCAACTACGGCTTCGTCACCGACAGCATCGTCTTCACGGCCTGCGTGCAGGGCTGGTACGTGCTGGCGGGCCAGTGGAGCGAGGCGGGCGTGCTGACCATGATGGACATCACCACCGACGGCTTCGGCTTCATGCTGTGCTTCGGCGACCTCGTGTGGGTGCCCTTCCTCTACTCGACCCAGTGCCGCTACCTCGCCGCCCACCCGGTGCGCCTCGGCCCCGCCGGCGTCGCCGCCGTCACTGCCGTCTTTGCCCTCGGCTTGTACATCTTCCGCGCTGCCAACGCCCAGAAGAACGTCTTCCGCACCCGTCCCGAGGACCCCAGCGTCAAGGATCTGTCATTTATTCAGACGAAGCGCGGCACCAGGCTACTAACCGCCGGCTGGTGGGGCATGTCGAGGCATATCAACTACTTTGGCGACTGGCTGCAGGCGTCGCCGTTCAGCATGCCTACCGGCTTCGCGGGCTACACTATCCTGCCGGCTGGCGGCGCAGCTGCGGCCGAGCATGTGTACAAGATGCTCGATGGACGCGAGGTCGTGCAGGGAGAGGCCAGGGGCTGGGGTACTCTGTTCACGTACTTTTACGTGCTCTACTTCGCCATTCTGCTGATGCATCGCGAACGGAGGGACGATGTCATGTGTTCGAAGAAGTACGGAGAGGACTGGGAGAAGTACAAGAAGATGGTGAGATGGAGGATCTTGCCTTGGGTCTACTGATCTTGGGTGGCTTTGCTCAGAAGTGACATTCAATGTCTCAAAATTTTTTGGCAAGCCAGATACCAGCGTGGTCGGGTGCGTCCCACGCAAATACAACGCATCCTGGCTAAACTTTTTGAGCTCTTCTCAGTCCATGAGAAAACAGACGAAATATAATGGAGGATATGAGGCACATTGGCAGTTAAGATATTGTATTTTAATAGAGTTAGAACCCTGTATACTATTGGGTCATCTGCTCATAACAATTCTAAATTCTAGTATATGTCCCAAGGGAAGAGTGAGGAAAGTTGACACGCTAACGCAACAAAACAATAAAAATGGTGTCAACCAAGTTCATTTTCCAACCCTCGTCCCAAACGCAGCAGCCCGGTCAGATTTCTAAACGCGATGAGCAGCACGCTTATTCTCCCTTTTCACAACTTTCCCCCCCTTCCTCGGCCTCAGACTCCTCATCCTGTCCTCTCTCACACTCCTCTGCGCCTGTACTTTCTCCACCTGCTCACCCTGCCCAACATCCCCCTCCTCAATCTTCCGCGACACCTCTTCCCTCCTCTGCCTATCCTGCTCCCACAAATCCGAAAACACCATCCTCATCCGCGGCTCCTCCGTCTCCGCCAACCGCTGCAAATACCCCTCCATACTCCCCGCCAAATACTCCGCCCGCTCCCTCAGCCTCTCCACCTCATCATCCACCACCCCATCCTCCCGGCCCTTCGTCTGCTGTTGTTGCTGCAACCGCCCCCTCTCCCTCCCCCACCTCTCCCTCCACCTCTCCCGCACAACCTCAACCTCCTCGCCCCGTCCCAGCGCCTCCTCCGCCCGCGCGACCGCCGCCTCGTCCAGCGCAATGAGTTCGAGCAGCCGCTGCGCGTACGCGGGCGGGTCGCCGCGCTCGGCGTGCGCGCGCCGCTGCCGCTTCCACTGCGCCACCCGCCACCGCAGGTACGCGCTCTTCGCCCGCAGCGGCACGCTGATGTGGTACTCGCCGGCCGAGCTGAGCCGCGCGGTGACCGCCGGATGTTTGCCGAGGCGCGGCGGGAGTGGCTGGCCGCGGAGGTTGCAGATGATGGTAGTGGTGTTGGTGGGGGGTTTGGCGGTTGTTGGTGGTGGTGGTGATGCGGAGGTGGTGGCGGCGGCGAACGAGGCGTGGCGGAGGGGTTTGATTGTTTTGGGGGAGATGGGGGAGATGGGCGAGAGGAGGGTGCGGGGGGGTTTGGGGGTTGTGCGGAGGGACGGTTTGCGGCGTGGCAGCTGCATGGCTGGTTGTTGGCTTTTCGTAGTCGACTGAGGTAGGGCCCCTTTGGAGAGGCGTCGAAATGTGGGCGTGCGGCGGAGAAGTAGTCCGGGGGGGATTCGGTGAAGTTCTTTATCCCAAGGAAGAGTGCCCGCAATGGGAAGCCCTTTCTGGACGCTTTTCCAAACTCGGGCTCATTTCTTTGTTCATCTTGCCTCTTCTACCGAGATATGTCGTCAAAGTTTCCCAATCATATTGCAGTGCACTTCTCTGTCATCTGGAATCGTCTCGTAACCTTTGACCCCGGTTCTCAGGAGATTTGGCTCTTCATTGGATTGCACCTAGAAATTCCTTGTGCACAATGATTAGGTTCTCAGGCTCACATACGACGTTGGTGCAGATAGCTTTTCGCATCTCGGCAAGCTATCTTCAACAGAGAAATTGCTCTTAGGGAATCCTGGGCGGCTGAATATGTTCTGAATTGGGCGGATGGGTATATTTCCATTACCATGCAATAAGCGCTTACAACGCGAACCGTGTCCGGACCTTCTCGCTTCCAGCCTTCCATTGCCACTCCTGGCCGCTTGCTTTCTGGATTCCCTTATCTATTCTCCTCAGCTTCAGCGTGAATCGAGGACCCAGCTCCTGGAGACCTGCTCGTATATCTTCCACACCCTTTATCGGCTTGCCATCTGTACCAACCACGCTCTTCTCGCTTGCGCGCTTGTCACGGAAGATGTAACGGTGTCGGCGTACGAATATGTAATCACGCTGGTTGTCTGTGATACAAAGTTAGCTATGGCACTAGGGTAAGCACTTCGAAATCCACTTACGGAGTGTGACGACCTGCCGGCCTTCCAGCTCGGGCTGAGGCGGGAACATGGTGCGGAAAAGATGTGCGGTCAGCAGACCGAGAGGAGTGCGGAAGTTGTTGAGGATAAGTTCGGGGTAATGCTCGGTAGGGTTGCCATGCCCAGGGAGTTTGGCGCCTTCTACCCAGTTGCTGATGCTGAAATGGAACATGGGTCCATTAGGCAAATGCACAATGTCCAGACCAGACGGCTTCTTCTGATCCTCCATCAAGATCACCACGGTAGTGTAATCGCGATTGGCCGCAAATTTGGAGATTTCCCTCACTGAGTACTTGTGTCCGTAGCGGTGTGCAGAGCGGCGAACGTAATTGCTGTTGGGGAGGAGCTTCGTGAAGAGCTCTGCCTCTTTGTGCAAGGTGCTGTTGATTCCGGTTGTGACCAGGATTTTAGGTTCTTTCGTTTGAGGCTCGAAAAGGGCCGGGAATTTGGCTGCTAGACTCTCGGGAGTCAGGTGGAGGTTCGTGGTTGCCGTGGACCCCGAAGGGCTCGACGCACGTTGCGTCCGTGGAGGAGATTCTGCCCGTTTCTTCTTTTTCGACACCTTCTCTTCCTCCTCCTCATCCTCCTCCTCGTCGCTCTCAGACTCGTCAAGCATGCTGTCGCGATCGTCCTCGTCACTGTCTTCGCCCTCCGCCTCGCTCTCCTCCTCCTCCTCCTCCGCCTGCTCAGCAGCCTCCTCCGCCGCGAGCCTCTGCCTCTTTAACCGCTCGACATCGACCGCCGCATTCAGGATATTGTCGTCGTCGCTGTCGACAATATCCCAGGTACGCTTTTTGTCGATGGTTACGGGAACGTTGCGCGCCAATCGCTCCTCCTTCAGGCGGGGATTCTTGGCTTCTTCCCTTTTCCTGCGCATCCTCTCATCTCTCTTGGTGGCCTCGCGGACCTTCTTCTGCTTGAGGTTGTAATCATTTCGCTTGAGTTTGTTCTTCGTCTTGAAAGGAAGCGCATGCTTCTCGGAGAGCTTCTCGGAGCCCATCTTGAGCGACAATTAGCGGGACGTGAGAGAGTTGTGAGCGGGTCGACAACTTTGTGTCGGCGCGCGTCGCAGATCAGCGGCCAACTTTTCTGCCCGGGAGCCATACCGTAAACGGCTCACCGCCGGGAATCCGATTCACCGAGCAAAAGACTCACAGCAAGTGGCTCATTGAAGAGTCACAACCCCACCATCATTCGCTTCGCCCGTCATTTGATTTCGCCGAGGGGCAGCTTTAAGTATATGCGCCAGGTTCTGCAACTCCTGCGCATTTCCTCTGCAATTGCCCGACCCACCACCTTCAACTGCGCCCGCCGCATCACCCCGCATCCCCGGACTTTCGCGTCTACGCCCATTGCCTACAAATACGTGGTCCCGCAACGCAAGGAACAGCCCGTCATGGCTCCCACAGCTACCACCAAGACCGGCGAGCCCTTTGACAAGGCTGCGCTTGAGTCATTGATGCGCCGCCGCCTGTTCTACACTCCCGCTTTCGAAATCTATGGTGGTGTTTCTGGGCTCTTCGACTATGGCCCGCCCGGCTGCGCTCTGCAGGCCAACATCATTGACCTGTGGAGAAAGCATTTCGTCCTGGAGGAGGACATGCTGGAGGTCGACTGCACCATGCTGACCCCGCATGAGGTCCTGAAGACCAGTGGACACGTCGACAAGTTCGCCGACTGGATGTGCAAGGACCCCAAGACTGGCGAGATCTTCAGAGCGGACCACCTCGTCGAGGAGGTTCTCGAGTCGCGGCTGAAGGGAGACAAGGAGGCTCGTGGACAGAAGGTGGAGGAGAAGGAGGACCCCAAGAAGAAGAAGAAGAAGGTCAAGGACATCCAGGCCGTCAAGCTCGACGATGCTGTCGTGCAAGAGTATGAGGAGATTCTGGCCAAGATTGACAACTACGACGGCGCTGAGCTCGGCGAGCTCATTGTCAAGTACAACATCAAGAACCCTGCCACCGGCGGCGAGCTGCTCCCGCCCGTCTCGTTCAACCTGATGTTCCAGACTTCGATTGGCCCCAGCAGCAACATGCCTGGTTACCTGCGTCCGGAGACTGCGCAGGGCCAATTCCTCACCTTCCAGAAGCTGCTCGAATTCAACCAACAGCAGATGCCTTTCGCCTCTGCTTCGATCGGCAAGTCCTTCCGTAACGAGATCTCGCCTAGGGCTGGTCTCCTGCGTGTGCGTGAATTCCTGATGGCCGAGATCGAGCACTTTGTGGACCCCGAGGGTGGCAAGAAGCACCCTCGCTTCCACGAGGTTAAGGACGTCAAGCTTGAGCTGCTTAACCGCGATGTGCAGCTTTCCGGCAAGACGGAAGTTGCTAGCACGCCAATTGGCGAGGCCGTCGAGAAGGGCATCGTGGACAACGAGACGCTGGGCTACTTCCTGGCCAGGATACAGCTTTTCCTGTTGAAGATTGGCGCGGACCCCAAGAAGATCCGCTTCAGGCAGCACATGGCTAACGAGATGGCTCACTACGCGGCTGACTGCTGGGATGCCGAACTCCACACTAGCTCTGGCTGGATCGAGTGCGTTGGATGCGCCGACCGTAGCGCCTATGGTGAGTTACACCCATACTGATAATTTTTGTGCAACATGCAACTAACGCTGCATGCCAAGACCTCACGGTGCACATGAACAAGACCGGAGCTCCTCTGCTTGTCAGGGAGAAGCGCGCCGAGCCGCTCAAGGTCGAGGAATGGCAGGTCGACATTGAAAAGAAGAAGTTTGGCCCCAAGTTCAAGAAGGACGGCAAGACGGTCGAGGCAGCCGTCGAAGCGCTGTCGCAGGAGCTGCGCGAGAAGCTCTCGCTCGATCTCCAGAGCACGGGCAAGATCACGATCGACGTGCCTGGCGTCGGCAACGGCAAGGTGGAGCTGGACAAGGAGCTGGTCAACATTGAGAAGCGCACGCGGGTTGAGAACACGCGCGAGTACACGCCCAACGTGATCGAGCCGTCCTTCGGTATTGGCAGAATACTGTACAGCATCATCGAGCACAACTACTGGGTGCGGCCGGGCGACGAGGAGGGAGCGCGTGGTGTAAGTTTCTCCGTCTGCACGCCATTATTGCATGCATCTAACTGATGGGCGCAGGTCCTTTCGTTCCCGCCGTTGGTGGCACCGACCAAGGTGCTGCTGGTGCCGCTGTCGACGCACGCCGACTTCGCGCCGCTGGTGCAGCGACTCAGCCTGAAGCTGCGCAAGATGGGCATCTCCAGCCGGGTGGACGACTCGTCGGCCAGCATCGGCAAGCGCTACTCGCGCAACGACGAGCTGGGCACGCCGCTGGGCATCACGGTCGACTTCGAATCGGTGCAGAAGGGCACGTTCACGCTGCGCGACCGCGACTCGACGAAGCAGGTGCGGGCATCGGAGGAGGAGATCATCGCGGCGGTCAAGAACATGTGCGAGGGCGAGGAGTCGTGGGCGGAGGTTTCCAAGCGGCTGCCGATCTTCGAGGGGCAGCAACTGGAGTAGACTTGGCGGCACACTTTTAGTAGATAGCACGGCAGATGTCACGATACGTGGCGGGCAAAAGAGGAATTGACAGTCAGAGGGTCGCGTTCATGCAGTGGCACCGGGGACGTGCGGCGGGGAATGCGGCCGGGCGAGCGCCAAGGGTCGAGGAAACAGGCCGAGTGGCATCATTCGCTCGCGGCGCAGGGATGAGGCCCCGCCCCACGAGAGGGCGAGAGCAGCGTGCATGTCGGGTCGCAACGACGAGCTCCCAGCAACCCGCTTGCCGGCGCGCCCCACGCCGTCTGCACGCGATGGCCGGCCCCGTCTTCCCTGCGACTCTCGCTGGCGGCCGTTCCCGCACGGCCGTTGCGGTGCCTGCTGTGCCGCTAGCTGCTCTGCTCTGCTGCTCCGCCATGGGCTCGCCCCGCCTGCGCTCGATCGCAGCTCCCTCTTCTTCCACCGCATACGCAGCAGCCTGACACAGCTTCGGCGTGTTACTCGCCCTCAACTACAGCGCCGCAACCCGCCCCGCTCGCCATGGGGATCTGGTGACGGCGCGCCTAGGATCAATCGATTGCCGGGACGGGTCTGGAGATCGCATTTATCAGAGCCCCGTGTCTTTTCTTCCCTTGCTTGCAGCGCGTCACGCACGAGGATCCGCTCTGTGCCTCTTCAACCCGCCGGCGCCCCTGCGCGTGCATGAGCTGCCTGCCCGCGGCCTTAAGCAGCACCGCTCTGTTTCTGTTTCTCTCGCCGTCGCCCTCTCCACGGAGATTTATTAACCGCTAGAGTGAGCTCCCAAATGCTCTCTGTTCCCCGACGGCTCTGTTGATCCTCCGAGCCAGGATTCCCTCCTCGTCCCCGTCTCGACCAACCAGCGGGGCCCAGCCCTTATACCGCCCCTCGGGCACCCGGCGTGACACAGCTTGGAGAGCCCATATAGCCCGCGCCCCGCCTGGCATGGAAGCCGATCAGCTGAAGTTACCAGAAAAAGACATGGGCGACGCCACGGTGCGCCGTCCGGCCAGTCGCGCCTCGTCAATCAGTTCTCGCTCAGTGTAAGTGCGCTCTCCGTCTCTCTGGGCACGATCGTCACTCTTGTGCGACCATTCCTCCCCCGCCAGAAAAAGCAACCCTCGCCCCAGCACATGCGCTTGAACAACACAGCACCCTCCACGCTGGACACGTCCGGCTGCGCGGGCTGAGCCTCGTCTCGTCTCAGTTGTTGCCAGGACCCAAGGGGCTGGTTTACGGGAGACCCAGAATCCTCCCACCGACCCGAAACAGCGGTTCCCACGCTGCCGGAAAAGGGCGTGTCAGAAACGTGTGTCTTGCTTGACTGACTCATCATCTTCCGCTCGCTCGTAGCCACTCAACACGCTCGTTGCTCTCCACCGACCTTACTCATGTCGTCGAGAACGGCCGGACGTATCCGAACGAAACCTACTACATGCCGTGCGACGGACTCGAGCAGACGCGCCTCGAGATCCTGCATCGCCTCTACCTGACCGCCCTCGACGGCGCCCTCACCACCGCCCCTCTTCCGCCCGGGCTCCAGCGCGTGCTCGATGTTGGCACCGGCCCAGGCGAATGGGCCTCGCAAATGGCCGAGCAGTTCCCAGATGCCGAGATCGTCGCCGTCGACCTGGCAGTGTGGGAGCTGCCTGCCCGCGAAGCCTCGGACGACGACTCGTCCTGCGACGAGATCGACCCAAGGGCCAATATAGTTTGGGAGATCGACGACCTCGAGCCTTATAGCCAACCTCATAGCCCCGTGAATCCCGCGTCCCCGCCGGAACTGGCCCAGGTAACGGCGGACGTCGAAGGGCTCACCATCGACCAGGGCTATGCCAGCGGCAGCACCACGGCCGAGGGTGGTGCTGGCGGCGACGACGCTGACGGTGAAAATAAACCACCATCATCTAAAGGATCTCACCGCTCCCCTCCCCGCTCGCCATCCCCTCACCACCAAGAACAGCAGCAGCCCCACCCAAAACTGTTAGGCGCGGACCTGACCGTCGACGATGGCTGGAACTTCTCCGAGCCCTTCGACTTCGTGCACATGCGCGACCTCAAAGGCGCGTTCCGCGACTGGCGCGCCGTCTACCGCGAGGCCTTTGTCAGCCTGGCGCCGGGCGGCCTGCTCGAAGTCGTCGAGATCTTTCCGGACCTATCCACCTTCGCCGCATCGTTTCCGTCCCCTTCCAAATCCTCCAAGGCCTCCTCCTCCCAACAGCAGTCCAAACCCTCGGCCATCAAAGAAATCGTCGACGCCACCGTCGCCGCCGCCGAGGCGTCCGGCCGCCCCCTGTCGCTCGACCACCTCGACGAGCAGCTCTTCATCGATGCTGGCTTCTGCGACGTGCAGCGCCACTGCGTCGACGTCCCCATGGGACCCTGGCCAGACGATCCGCGCCTGTCATCCATGGGCAAGATGTGGCTGGTCTGCTGCGCCGAGGGCCTCGAGGCGGGCTGCCTCCGGTTACTGACCAGGTATTCGGGGTGGGATGCGGAAGATGTGAAGCGAAAGGCGAGGGAGGCGCGGAGGGAGATGTTGGAGGGGAGGTGCGGGGGTGTGGTGACGAAGTTGTGGTTTGTCACGGCGAGGAAGGCGAAGAGGAGGGCGAGGTAAAAGGTGCAAGACGAGTAGAAAAAGGAGGATGAGAAGTGTGGTTAATTGGTGATGAGTCTCTTTCCTTCCCTATTATTTTTCACGACGTTGATGATGATGGGAAAATTATTTCTTTGGGGGGTTTTCATTTTCTGTTCCTGGAGGATCGCGTTTGCCATCGACCGAGGATTGCATTGGAGGGAACCTGGAGCCTTTCGTCCCTGTACTACATGAGATTGCGATGATGTTTCCTGGAGAGGCACCGTTTTCCCCTATTTCATCTTATTCATTCTTCAACCCTGTGGATACCATAGAAGCGAGCGCTGAGAGTCTAGTCATTTGGTCAAAAAGTTTCGATGGGCGCTATTTTGTTAATAGGACAAGAGCATCTAAACAAAAGAACAGAGGATGGGAAGGAAGAAGGAAAAGACCCGCAGTCTAGCGCTATGCATTCAGTGTCATTTTCTGCCGCACAAAAGTCAGATGGTGCGCTTTTTACCTGATATTCAGCTCGCTACGCAACAAGAGCACACTGACAAGCGATCGATCGACAGAGTGCTTCCTCCGGAAATAAGGATTTGGAGGCGGCAGCGGAGCTGAAACATGCACCTATTAATCCGTAAAGCCATCCCCCCGTTGTCCTTTATACCCCGCTAGTAATCTGTCTGACCTTGCCTCCAGCGAACGACACGCTGCCGCGCTTGTGTCAAGGATGTTGATATCGTATGATCCTCACATGCCTTTATGTGGAGTTGCGGGGGTCCCTCACGCACTCAATTTTTTTCTTTTTGGCAGGACGGTTTTAGGCAGATAGTCCCCCGTCTTCCGTATGTTTCCGCCCTGGTTATCAATATGGCCTCATTATCAATATTATTAGCGGGTGCGGCAAGCAGAGGTGATCCTTGAATCGCCTCTTCCCGAAGATCCCAGCAAAAAAGGGTCCCTGAGATGCAACCACGCAGCCAACGCTATTGGTCATCACTTCAACATCCTGGCCGTCAGCTCCGAAGCCCCGGCGCCCTGCACATGACAACTCACGAATTAACTCAGACACGAGCCGATCCGGACCCCTCCCCGTCACAGCCGGCTCCTCAATATGTTCTCGACGGACAAGGGTCACGGACGAAACAAAGTATCACCTCGACCGGCATATCCCAGGTCCATGTGCATCTCTGTCTTTTTTTTAATTCCGGCGGCGGCAATTGCCCAATGCTGTAGAACGAAAGCTCTGCGGGTTTTCCAAATTCTCCGAACAGGGCCGGAGCGGGTGTGGGCATATGTGTGCGACCGCACCATATGTGCATGCTCTTAGATGATGGGTTGCGTCCTGCTGTGGCACTCGCGCTGTTGTCGGACGGCGTCTGCGGATATGACTCTCCTTTGTGCGATGCCCTCGTTGAATGTTCCTAAACCGTGAGGTATGGGATTTCGTGCGATGTGCGAAGCACGAAAGGCGTTTGAAGGTTTGACCGATATGGAAAATGCGGAGGAGAGAAAGAGTTAGTAAGTACTCGTATGATGTGAGATATTTAAAGAATTGTTGACACGAAAGCAGAGGATTCTGTACCCACCCATCTCGCTCCACCCTTCGCGAAACCTGAATGGCACCCTCTACTATTTGCTGAGAAGAAAATTGCTGGAAAAATCCTTCGACATCGGTTGCACCAAAGCAGGAAGAGACACGATGATATGACTAATACACGTGCAAGACATTAACAAAAGGCGCTAGCTACCGCATATATCGTAATGCTCTTACATCTACCTGCCAACAACACAAAGGTTTTCCCTCAAGATCCGTCCGCAAGTGCAGCACACCGTCTCCACAACCTCACCGCCAGCCGCAGCAGCCCCCAAGAAGAGAAGAGACCAAACAATCCCCGCCAAGCCCAACATACGAGCCCCCCTGCATCTTCCTCCACAGCGCCACCAACACGTCAAGCATTCGGCAGCGTGCGGGAGGGAAGGGGGTGACGGGTCGGGACGCCAGAGAATTTCTGCGCAGAAAAAGACACATTGCTCGTCCCCAACTTCGAACGTCGCAACCGCCACCAACACTTCGCCCACGCGTCATCGGCGGTGTTGTGTTCTGCAGGTTGCAGAGTCTGATATCCTATCGTAAGGCGGTGGCGGTGATTGGCGCACTGAAGGCTGGCTGAGGCCGGGTTGGGAGGCGGGGAAGTCGTGGTGGTTCACGCATCGCGTGGACTGAGTTGATTTGCGTGGGACAGGGCGTTTGGCTTCGACGTATAGCTGCGTCTGAGGGGTGTATAGCCTTCGTAATTAGGTGATCGTTTTCAACGGGATATTCTGAGAGGGTCTCTGTGCGCGAAGTCATCAACGACCGTGTCGAGACGATTCTTTTGATTTTATTCAGGCATGGGGGATACCCGACAGAAATCCAGTTTTGTCTTTTGTCAGATCTGTTGCGAGGCCAGCCTTCTATTTCGTATTGCCAGTTGGAGCTGCATCGTGGAAAGAGAGAAAGTGAGCCAGCCCACACGGTATATGGGAAGGCAGAAAAAAACGAACGAGTCTCCCGAGCAGAATCCACCAACAGCAAAGGAAGGAGACCAAAATGGAGAGGAAGAGAATGCAGCGTTCCGTCGTATTCGCAATCAGGTATCTCTGCAAAAAAAAAAACCAAGAAAAAAAAAAAGAGAATTAGTAGAAACCCTCCCAATCATTTTTCTTCCGACATAATCTTAGAAGAAGAGGCCAACAAAACACCCCCATCTCTCTCTAACACCTCCTCCCCCCCCTCATCACACATCCCCCGACCTCCTCGCCTTCTCCGACTCCCCCTCCCCAGGCTTCAACCTCTCGCTCGCATCCAACTCGACCGGCCCCCTCGTCTCCAGCTCGTGCGCCACCGAAGGTGACTCCATCTCGTGCGTCGCGCCGCCCTCCGAACCCGGCCAGCCCGGCAGTTCCCTGCGGTACTCCTGATCCCCAACCTTCTCGTGGTACGTGTCCGAGCCGTCGACTTCGTGCCCGGAGGTGCGGCCGTGGCCGTTTTCTGCTGCTCCTGCTGCTGCTGCGGCTGCGGCTGCTGCGGCTTTGGCGGATGCTTGGCGGCGGCGGCGGAGGAAGAAGAAGACGCCGGCGAGGAGGAGGGCGAGGGCGGCGCAGACGCCGATGACGATGCCGGCGATGGCGCCGCCGGAGATGGACGACGAATCGCTGGACGGGGTGGCGGTGACGGTCGGGATGGTGGAGGACGAGGCCGATGCGGAGGCGGAGGCGGTGGAGGAGGAGGACTGGAGTGGGTGCGTTAGCTTGGAGGCTGGAAGTTGGGACGGGAAGTGTTGTCGTGGTGCGTGAGAGGGTTGAGAAATTGGGGCCTTTGCTTACCGATTCTGATAACGAGAGAGCGTAGCCTTCGATGACGTGTGCGAAAAATTGGTCACCCGAGTTCGTGGCTGGCCATGCCTGGGTTGCCGTCAAGGTGGATGCGTTGTATGCGGTGACGGTGTAGGTTGAGCCCAGCACGACAGGGCTGTAACATGTTCCGCCATATGCTGGTCTGTTGGTGTCCACGGTAGTGGCGGGCGGGTGAAGAGCGTAACCGCTGCGAATTCGGTGTTAGCCGTTAATCTTTGCAAATAGTCGCATTGACCGTGAAGTCCCGAAGCCAGAGCTCATCTTCGAATTGAAGTAGATTTTGTAGAGGTTACGCAATCGGGACTGCACTAAAGGAAAGAGGACGACATACGAAGGACAGCATGCAATGTAGCTACTCGAGAAGGTGTTGACAGTTTCCCATGCCTCCGGGCAGACGAGCGGGCTGAAGACCGGAGCAATGGAGCTGGTCATGTTAAAGACGGACGTGTACCCGCTAATGAACTGGGACGGGTAGCAGTCGGTGAACAGCGATCCAGGGACTGGCGACGGCTCGTTGAGCCAGATGTTGTACCATGGCGAAGACAGCAGCGTTAGCTGGTTCTCGGTGCATGCCGGCGGTGGAGTGAAGGTCGTGGTCAAGGCCACGGTCACGGCGGCCGGAGAGACGAAGGTTGACGACGATCTTGTAGAAGTGGCCAGCGTCGTACTCGAGGCGGCGGCTGCGGTTGATGCGGCGGCTGCTGTCGATGCGGCCGCTTCTGTCGAGCTGGTTGTTCCGGCTGCTGTGGAAGACATGGTTGCGGGTCTCAATTGAAGGACTGCGTTCAGTGCAAGTCGATGTGCCAAAAAGCTCGACTGTGGGGCGGCTGGCTCAGATCAAATGCAGACAGGCAGTTCTGTGGAACGAGCGCCAGAGGAGGGCACGGGGTGGAGAAGACTGTTGGGTGGAGTGCAACTCGGGGGCCGCAGGACGAATCCTTCGGAGGGCGTGTACCTGTCTCTTCGCAGCGGGAGGCGTTCGTGCGTGTATATAGCGCGGCAGGTGGAGCTTATTGCCGGACCCTGCGCTGCTTGTACTAATGCATTGCGGAGGAGAAAGCAGAAGGTGGGCACTATGCAACAGTGAGGAGGGCGCCACCGCTACGCCAGATGGAGCGCTCATGAGAGCTTCTCTCGCACCCCAGCCGGCTGAAAAAACAAAGGTGGTCTCGGCGTTTGTGGGGGCCAGAAGCGCGATAGAGCATTGGGTGGCCCCCTCGCAGCGGGTCGGCCTTCGCCAGATGAGGGACGGCCATTATCCGCTTCGAGGACCTGCAGTGTCACCGCGAGATCTGCGAATACGGACAGCGGATCCGCCACCGGCCTTCGCGGCGACTCATGGAACAGACTTCATGCTTCATCAAACACACCGAGTTCGCTCTATCATCTTCATACTTACTGCTCTTTCGCTGGTGTATAGTAGAATCATGCGAGCTCCACGTGGCCGCGAATGCGGCGCCTCGAGACGGGGGGAACTGATGGAGCGACCCTGCAGGAGGATGCAAGAGTCATTCGAGATCAATCAAGTCTGTTGGTGCGTGAACCCCTTCGGCCCGGCTTATGTCCTCCCTTCGGCGATAAGCTCATTCATATGTAAGCACAGATTTGCCGACCGCCGCTGCAGGTAACCCGCGAGACAAACCAGGATATGGTGCCTATTTTTACTGGGGATGTGTAATACGGGATTTCTCCAGGCGACGGCAGTGACCCCACATATAGCCAACAAAGTTGTGCGGGCCCCGGGCTCAAGTTTGGAACCCGTCGACCGTTGATCCCGCACATGCGCATGTGGCAGAAGGAACCAGCCAGGCCGGCCTCCCGAAGGACCGCGTCTGGCCCTTTTTTCACGCGCTATCGAGTGAACCCGTCTTTCGGTCCCACATTCCCGGAACCTCGCTCGCCAAGCTTTCCCTGCCTTCGCTTTCAGCCTCGACCGCCAGCCAATCAACTCGGCCCTTGAGACTCGCTTGCATTTGGCCCCCAAGGATTATATTTATACACGTACCATCTTAACTCCCTTAGCGCCAACGCTCGCGTCGACGTTGACACTCTTCTTCCTTCTCCAGTGAGCTCAAGGAAACGCTTCACTTGCTGGCTTTCTCAGTTTCACGCCTTTTCCTTTCGGTTTTCCAGAACCAACCAAGTCTTCCGTCATACACCTAAGTGGCATCAGCTGACCGAATCAAATCTTAACCATTGCAACGAGTTGTCAAACTGTAACCCCTCGGAGTAAATGTATATTGTACATCCAAGGCTTTGTAACCCCGGCCGTCAAGTTCTCTCCGTCCGAACCCGATATGGAAAGGCTCACGCGTGTGATGAACAGGGCGGCGTTTAGCGGCGCGCCTCATCACTCCACAGCCTGGTACCGAAAAGCCCATCTAGGCCCCAACCCATTCTGCACCAACCTGGTAACCGCTCCCCCGGCTTTTCACCTATCATTCTAAATCGTCACTACCACCACCACCACCCTCCTTCTTTTCCCCCTCCTCCTCCTCCGGTTTGTGCAAACAAAACACGAACCCCTCCGCGCCTCCCACGCCCACGCCCAAAAAAGTCCAACTCTTGACTCCAAACGGCTCCTCGTGCGCCTTCAAGATGGCGCCCAGCACGTCGAGCCTGCCCTCCTGCACGACGCAGATGGCGCCGCGCGGGCCGACGCTCAGCACCGTCAGCGCGCGGCAGGCGAGCGCGCGCTGCACCACCGTGAACCAGCCGGCCTCGTAGCGCGCAAACGCCCGCCGCCCCTGCGCCACGGCTTGCTCCTCGGCTCGGCGCGCCGCCGGGTCCGGGTTGTCGAGCGTGACGAGCGCGAGGTAGCGCGGGCCCTCGGCGTCGTGGAGCTCGATGGGCTCGGTGCGCGCGACGCCGAGGGGCGGGAGGCGAGGGTCCTGCTGGGACAGGGCCGGGAAGGGGTGGTAGCAGCCTGTCGTGCGGTCGTGTTTGGGTTTGGGGTGATGGCGGTGACGGCGGCGGTGGCGACGGCGGTGGTGGTTGGGGCTGGCTGCGGAGAATGGTGATGGCGGAGGCGACGTGATGGGTGATGCGGATGTTGCGGGAGAGGAAGAGGTGGACGAAGCGGAGGCAGTGGTGGATGATGGTGACAAACTCTTGCCCCGTCCCCATGTCAAGTACCGTCCGTCCAGCACGTCCTGCAGGTACTTGATCTCCTCCACCACATGCCGCAGGTCTTCCGGTGTCGCGCCGGCCCACCGCATCTGCATCTCTGTCTCGCGGAGTTGTGCGAGGTTCTGCTCGGTCTGGCGGCGGGCAGCGGGGTCAGGACCTTGTTGCCTTCTTCGTGCCCTTCTTCTTCCTCTCCGTCTCTCCACCGCATCTCCGCTGCCGTGGCCATTGTTTTCACCTCCTGCCTCCTCCACTAACCTTCCCCCAACAAGTCTATGCCGGTCTCCTCGTTCCAGCCTATCACCCCTCTGCTCTCCTTCCAACTCTGCGTCCATTAAAGCCTCCCTTAACGTCCTCAGAGCTTCCTGTGCCATCCCCAATGCCCCCCTCACCCCTTCTCTCCCACCGTCCGCCTCCGGAAAGGGACCAAACTGCAGCTTCTCGCGAAGATGGTTGACATACCGCTGTTGGCGAACAACCTCAGCAGATAATTCCTCAATATATTCTTGTCTGCGTCGGAGGTTCTCGCCAGGCCCGTCCTCCACAGGTGGCGCGGCGTGGCGGCGGCGGTGATGGTCGTTGTACACGTAGTCATCGTTCGCGTCGTCTTCAAGGTCCAAGTCGAAGATGAGTTGTTCCTCTTCCTCGTGGTTGGTATTTGCGTTGGCTTGGTATCCGCCGGGAGCTATTCCATGATGTCCTGGGTCTGCGGCTGGGGTAGGAGGTGCACGAGGCTGATTTCCGTGCTGCTGCTGCAAAAGTCGTTGGCCATGCTGATTGTTCTGGTAGTGCTGCTGCTGCTGCTGTCTTTGCTGATCGTGACCGTGTGCAAACACATCATCAAAGTTCAGATCACCAACGTCCTCTTCGCTCTCGCTCTCTGGTGGCGGCGTCGTGTCGTAGCGAGGTATGTACCTCCCCGAGCCGCGGAAGTTCATACCTGCGGTTGTCGTGCGAACTGGTTCCTCTTTTTGCTTTCAGTGGCGAGAACAGCGGCTTTTTGGTCGACCTATTGATGGTTCTGGTTGATATTGACGTTTCCGTTTGACTCTGGCGTGCCTTTTCGTGATTGTGTGCGTGCTTGCGTATGTCTCGGAGCGGAAGTAGTTCCAAATCTTGGGGCCAGCGAGTTGTGTGCGTGTGTGGCTTGAGACAAGTGCTGCCTTCGTCGTTGTTGGGTTAGGCAGCAGCAAGACGACGCTGAACTTCTTGCAAGAAGGCCTGAGAAGTTGTTGTGAAGAGCGACGTAGATATTGCTTCAACGGCAGCGGACCAATTTCTCGAAATGGAGAACAATAAACTACTTCGATGTCTCGCGTGACTCGATCGTGCGGGGTGCAAATGTTGCTGTAGACGGGGTGGAACGAAACAGAAAGAGCCTGCGGTCCAGATTTTCTGCCTAGACTGAGGCTGTGCACCGTGGTGTATGCCAGAAGTGTGCGTGTGAGTGCGTCGTGGTTGTCTCCTGCGGATCACGCCATCAAGGTAATTAGATTTTTTGCCCCCTCCTTTCTCCCTGACAAGGCTGAAAAGTTAAAAAATTTGAATGCGAATGCGAGAAGTGCATTTTGCAAACATGGAGGGAAAGAACCCCCTTTTGTAAGAGCAAGAGCGTGATTCCCGAATTGGGAAAGCAGATCAGTTCAAGAGTCTAGATCGGGCAGGTATCTCTCTGTTGGTCCCTCCCCGAATAACGCCGACATCCCGATGCACCCATACCGACAACAAAGAAACAGCAAAGCAATAATGACTTTTCCCACCCTTAACGTACAAGGCCTACCGGTTCCACATTCTCTCCACTTAGTCGTGTTGCGACATGTGCGTTGGCAGGTTCCATGAAGCGTAGTCAAGGTGCACGAACGCGCGGTCCACGGTCGGCACGCTCTCGAGCACGTACTGCAAGCTCTCGCCTAGATCGTGCGCATCTCTGATGTTGATGTTCTCGTCAACCACAATGTCAGCCTCAACGATCAACTTGTCGCCAGAGTGATAGGCCTGCAGGCCCTGGATCTGCTTGATCGTCTTGGCAAAACGCATCGACAGATAAAGTAGGATGTTGCGCTCGTCGGCGGAAGCGGCGCGACCAGTCAGGTTCTTGATGTGGTTTGCCGACGTCTCGGACCAGTTGATGATGACCCACAGAGAGAGCAGCACACCTCCCAGCGGGTCCATCCACCAGACTTGCGCGTAGTAGCCCACTATGAAGCATGTCAGTCCCCATGTGTGCACACATGACCATGTAAGACTCACCGAGAGGAAAGATGATACTGAAAAAGTTGAAGACAACGTCAGTCATGGCATCCTGAGCAAGAGCCTGCACGCTGGAATTCTTGATCATGCGGCACCAAAACCAGCAAAGACCCTTGATGACCACGGTGGCGGCCATGATAATCAGCGCTGACGTGGTCAACCGGACGACGGTCTGTTCATTGCCCATGAACCTCTGGAAACCCTCCAGCAGCACCTGGAAGAAGGCGGTAATCATAATCACAGAGAAAATCAGCACGCCAACGGGCTCCAGCTTGCTCCGTCCGATCGGGTACGAGTAACGGTCCTGGTGGGAGATGAGGCGAGTGGTGACCCACACGATGGCGGTACTCAAAAAGTCCAGCGCAGCGTCGACCAAGCTGGCAAGCACGGACAACGACGAGGTCAAGATCGTCACGACGATCTTCATGGCCAGCAGCACCGTGTTGGCAACCAGATTTACGTAGATGGCAATCGTCACGATCCTGTGCTGGCTGTCCATCTCCTCCTCGGGCTCGTACACAGGCATCCGCGATTGGTTTGCTTCCACGTCGTCGCTGATTCCGCCATAGCCATTGTGCTGTGCGCCTAGCAGTGGGGAAGTTTCCTCATCGGGCACCTTGTACAGGTTCTTGGGCGTGCGTTTGACCTTGCGGTTGCCAACGGCGTCAGATGAGTTGGTGCTGTCTTCTGAGGACTGCTGGCCGGCCAGGAAGGGGGAGTGGGGCGCGGTGCCGGACTCCTCGGAGATTGTCTCGGGGATGTTCACTGTGTTGTACTCCTGAATGAGGTTGTGGGGAAGCGACGAGTCAAGCAGGCGGTCGATGAAGGCATATTGCTGGATCAGCTCGTTGTTCCGCTCATAGTACTGGCGGCTGTCGGAAACGCGTTAGTGTGTAGAACGATGGCACGATGTCATATGATCGCGAACGGAAAGAATAAAAGGCTATCCGTCCCCCCGGAGCGCTTGGCGGCGGAAACGTACATCTTCTTCGGATATTTCTTCAGCTCCTCTTCCGACTTCCAGTATTGTTCCCTGGCCACGAAATCAGCCACAGCTCCCAACGACGCACGACGCGATCCCCTCACCATCTGTATCTCGGGTTGCTGTTTCCGATCAGGCGCTGGCTGCGCATTTGCGGCGTCAGAAGCACCGACGCGCCCCCAATGCTCGATCTGCGGTCGTCGGGATAGCCGGGGGTTGGCGGGACGCTCCCCTTAGCACCGCTGTCGGTGTACGCGTCTTCGCTGCGAACGCTGGGCGGGCGTTGGGCCTGGCCGCGAGAGCTCAAGGACTGTTGTAGCAGGGCGGGTAGGTGCTGACCACGCGTCGACATGACCGCGTCCTCCGAAAGCGGCAAAAAGTTCTTGAAGCTAGGAATGCGGCCATACTGGGGCGGCGACCCAACCGGCTGCTCCGTCATAGTGGCAAGGAATGCAGGCAAAGAAGACTGGCGGGAAGATTGAAGAGGGACGCTGAGGTTGGAGCGAGCTGAGGCGCGACGGCGATGCCTCGCTCTTTTAACAGTTTCTAAAAACCGCCAAGAGCAAGCTCTGGCCCCGAAGCTCTAAGGCCTGAGTCCGCGGGGGTTGGTTGGCGTCACTGCTCCACCACCACCAATCCCTGTCTCGCATTCCCACTCAAGCCTCAATTGCGCCCGGGCCCTCTGCACGTTGGCAGTCTGCCTTGCCAGATTCGCCTCCTGTTCAAGATGTTCACTTTCGGACCTGCAACCGGCTTAGACAAAGCCCCTTGGCCTGGAATCCCGTCCCGGGAAGCTCTTTCGGCCCCTCCCTCAACACGCGCTCCGAGCTCATCAGGGTCCGCTAGCATCTGGCCTAGCGAACCATCCCCAGCTTATAGTCCGAATACGGTATACTGATGAGCGAGCCTGATGCACACGCTAGGAAGTCGCGCAACAGCCGAAACTATTAGTGTCGTGCATCACCTCGCAGGCCGTGCAAAAGGTAGGAGAGCGAAACTCCGCAGTGGGACCTCAGGCACCCAAGGGACCATGTCTGCATCTGCATGGGCGCACCGTATCAACTGCTCGAGACGAGCGCTTGCAGCTTCCCCGCAGCACCGCTTTGTCTTTGCCCATCCGGGTGGCAGAGGGGTTTCGCAACTGTCTCAACGAGGAGGCGCAGCGATCCGGGAGTCGATCAAGCGTATCACTCCTCCAATCACCGCTTCATCTCCGTAGATCACCCTCTCCCCCATGGCTTGTTTATTTCAGCCGTCGTTTTTAATCTTAAACTGTACATTTGACCAAGCCACCGCTTGGCGTTGCTCATTTTCGGCAAGCAAATGCTACCTACAAACCGCTCTGCCAACGCTTTTCAATTCTCCACCAAGCTCGAGCATTCATGTTAATTTTGTGGTAAAGTACAAAAGGTCAGGCAAAGTGCGCCTGCAAAGAAAGTCTGCCCCCTCCGTTCCATTGTGTTTGATAAGGCGCTTAGCCGAGCACCATTCCCTTGAGGCCGGCAGTATCGCCTTCCTTGGCGGCGATCTCGAAGTAGCTGTAGATGATGCTGCAATACTGTCAGTAATTGAAACGAGGCCGGATCCATGGGGAACTTACGTGACGGCGAGCAGAATACCAGTACCAGAGCCAAGAGCACCGAGGAGGTCGCTGGCAACCGAGAGAGCACCAATGCAAGCACCACCGAAAGCGGCAGCTGTGGGGATGACACGCTTCAGCTCCTTGTACATGGACTGCTCACGGTGACCAGCCATAACGAGACCCTGCTCCTTGAGCTGCTTGGCAACGTCCCTGGGGGAAGAGCCGGAGACCTCGATCCACGTCTTCGAGAAGACAGCACAGGCGATGAGCATGTAGGTAATGTAGACGACGGTGTGGATCTGTCGGCGAAATTAGACTTGCAGGGCGAGCGCCTGATTAAAAATACGTACCGGGTCGAGGAGAGCCTCGGTGAAGTTCAGCGGGGGAGACATGTAGTACGCAATACCCGAGGCAGCGTAGAGCTGGGCGGAACCCTCACGCGGCTCCCAGACTCCGAGAAGACGGACGAGAAGGTTGTCGCTGAAACGAGAGTAGAGCATCTGCGAGATGAGGAAGATGTTGGAGCTCAGAGCAGACTGGAGCATGATGGGCTATGGAAAAGTCAGAAATGCACTGTTCGTCGTAATTCTTGCGCAATTGGGCCAAATCTTACCATGTTCGAGGTGTAGAAAAGGCGAACGGGGTAAGAGCCGCGCATGCCCCTCTGGCGAGAAGACTTGACGGGAATCTCAACACGGAAGCCCTGGAGGTAGATGACGGCGGCGAAAACGAGGACGGTGGCCATCAGGTTCATGATGTTGGGCAGGTTCTGGCGGTAGAAAGCCTCGCGCAGAGCAAGCTGCTTGTTGGGCCAGGTGATGAGCAGGTGGAAGAGCGCAATAACAGCGCCCTCGAACTCAGGGCCACGGCCAGTGTTGATGGTGGTAGGAGAGAAGGCCTTCCAGATGATCGACTCGCAAATGTTGGTCGCGATGAAGAGCGAAATACCACTGCCCAGACCATAGCCCTTCTGGAGGAGCTCGTCGAGCAGAATGACGATCAGACCAGCAACAACGAGCTGAACAACCAGCAGAACGCAGACGCCAGCACCAAGGTCGGAGGGCTGGCCGTAGAGACCGGTCAGGACGTAAACGCAGGCCTGGCCAAAGCTGAGAATGATGGCCAGGAGCTTCTGGGCGGTCTGGTAGAGCTCGCGATCGGTCTTGAGGTCGAGGTTGACATCAATGAGGTGGGTACCAGCCAGGAGCTGGAAGACCATGCCGGAGGAAATGATGGGTGTAATACCCAATTCCATAAGCGTTCCGCGATTGGACGCCAACATCATGCGCAGCCAATACAGCGGATCCGACGTGTCAGAGGACACAATGCCGTAAAGCGGCATCTGCGACATGACCAGGAAGATCAAGAGGGTCACACCCGTCCACATCAACCGCTGGTTGAAGGGTGTCTTGGTCTCCGGTGCCGCAACCCTGGCATCATTGTCAGTCCACAGCTCCCTTCTGCGCGGGCGCAGTATATCACATACTCTGGAAGCAGAGGCACGAAGGGCTTGATGAGGTCGAGGAACCGCACTGCGCATTGAGAAACATCGGTCAGCACGCGTGCATTCGAGTCAATGGCCAGCGCGGCGGGAATGCGAGCCGCGCGCAGGCAAAGGTTACTCACAGCCGCTCATCTTGACGGTTTCCCGGAGGGAGCAAGATTAGAAAGGAAGGGCTAATGAGCGAAGAAACAACGGCAAAGAAGCGCCGCGGGAGGAGGCCTGGTGATGGAACGCGGAGGAGGATAGGTGGTGGTCGGGAAGCGCGACACGGGCGTTTTGTGCGCTCTCCAGGCTGAGGCCAGATTGCCAGCTGGTCGTCAAGCGCGCGAACTTGGGGAGCGGCCGATCATTTACCGACGGGGCCACGCCCGCTTGGGTAGCGAAGCTCGGGCGCCCGCCAGGCAAGCGCGAAACATGTCCCGCCCGCCGACCATGCTGCCGACTTCCAGCCCGGACAAAGAGCTGGCTGCAGCATGAGCTGCCGCCTCGACTGCATCCCGCGACCGCACTCCACCCGCCGCTAAGCCCCGCCCACCATGTCCTCGCTGCCCCGCAACCCACGCCCAGGGGCCAACGGCTATGCGAACGGCTACTCCGCCTCCGCCGGCCGCTACGGCCAGCCCGACGACGACTACAGCAGCGTGCGAAGCTACGGCTCGGACAGGAGCCGCGACCGCCGCCCTGGAGGCTATGGCGGCTTCGATGACCAGCCCGACTACCAGGAGCGCCCCCGCGTCGCGCGCCCCACAAGTATCGAGCGGAGACGAGAAGTAAGGAGAAGCGGGGAGTTCAGCCGCCCTCGAAGCAGAAGCAGGCCGGACAATGCGCGCGGGGGAAATGCAAGCAAGCAGATCGAAGGTCAGTGGCCGTGCATGACACCTGGGAAGGCATACGCGTGGAGGATTGGAACACGCACGATTGGGCAGACATGGCGGGCATTGCATGTGTTACCCGGCGGTGCTGACCAGCTGGTTTGTAGATGTGTTGGACCACATACAGAAAGAATGGACATTCATGACGGACGAGAATTGCACCCCGGTCCAAGTCGCCCTCAAATTGCTCGACTCTAGCTCTCTCGGCCTCGCTGGCCGTCAGGAAGAGTTCATGGGCACCAGCGCCGACCTTCAAACCGCACTGAAAGCCATTGTCAACGAGCACCATCAGGGCTTCAACAGCTCTATCGGTACCTTCCACAAGATCCAGAACAGCTTGCAACAGTCTCAACAGCGTGTGCGAACGTTAAAAGAATCCTTGGTTTCTGCAAAGGACAATCTGTCAACCTCGAAGCCGGAGTTGAGGGCTTTCTCCGTCGCGTCGCAGAGCTATGATGAGATGCTGCAGATACTGGGCTCCATAGAGCAGCTCCAGCACGTTCCGGAGAGACTGGAGGTTCGGATATCCGAGAAGAGATTCCTCCCTGCGGTAGACGTTCTGCAGGATGCCCTAAGATTGATAAGGAAGTCAGAGATGGAAAACATCGGGGCTTTGGGGGATCTCCGCGTCTACTTGAGCAACCAGGAACACTCCATGTCGGATGTTCTCATCGAAGAACTTCACAACCACCTTTACCTTAAATCGCCCTACTGCGAGGACCGCTGGAAGGTCCATGCGCAAAACCAACCTAAAACCGGAGCAGATGGCACAACAGTCGGAATCGACTCTGGTCGCAAAGCTCTCTACCAGTTTTTGGACGGTCTGGATACCTCGGAAGCATTGGTGGACGACGCATCACGCAACCCAGAAGCCGACACGTTCCATTACATCCAAGTCATCCTAGAGGCGCTCAACAAAATGAGCCGCCTCGACATCGCGATAGAGTCAGTCATTCAACGTCTGCCTGTGGAACTCTTCAGGGTCGTTGAAAGGTCAAATACCGAAGTCGCCCAGAGACACCCAAGTTTGGTCCGTGGGTTCGCCAGCAAAGGAGGTGCAAAGACCAGCAGGTCTTACGAGAGTGACGAGACGCGTGCTACACTGCTGAACGACCTTCTTTGGACACTCTACGCCCGTTTTGAAGCCATCGCGGAGAGCCACCGCATAGTTCATGATGTCGTCGCGGGCATTGCGAAGAGAGATGGCTTGCGGGATGTTGGAATGTTGACCAGCACCTTCAGAGAGCTGTGGAAGCTGTATCAGAGTGAAGTAAGTAAACGGAAACTCGGCATGGCTATAGAGATATTAATCCAGATTCAGATGCGTTCCTTGCTCCATGATTACTTGTCTACGGATGGCGAATTGGCTTTCCGATCCGCTCAGGGGGGTGGATCCAACGACAGTCCCTTCCTGAGGACGCAAAGAGACAAGACTAGAGTAAGTCTCATATCGTCTTCAGCCATATACGTTACTAACATTGCCTTAGAAAATGTTCAAACTCTCCGACATGGATATCACGTCCACAACCTTCGCCTCGGAGAGGGACGATTTGGAACACATACTCAAATCTTCTGTTCCCGGTCTTGTGTCTGATTCAAAGCGCATTAGCGGAGTAACAACAAATTCCAACAATCAGGGGCAGGATGGCAGTGCCACTGGACACAAGCTCCTCGTGGAGCCCAGCGTTTTCAACATGGGAATATTGCTCCCTCCTTCGCTTGGGTTCCTCAACCGGTTGAAGGAAGTTGTACCTCCCGGATCTGACGTGGTCACAAGCACACTCACCTCATTCCTGGATGACTTCCTCGTCAATGTTTTCCATCCGCAGCTGGATGAGACTCTTATGGATCTGTGCGCACAGACGTTCATGGAAGCCGACACCTTCCAGGAAGATGCGCAATGGCAGCTGCATTCCAAGAAACCCATTTTCAAGGTCAGTACTTGCTAAAATATACTCTAACACGTAGCATACACCCTAACAACATTGCAGGGCACCACCAAATTCTTCTCCCTCATCACAGCCTTCTGCAAAATGCTTGATAACCTTCCCCACGACCAAGCCTTCAGCCAGCTCATCATCACTCAGATGGTGTCGTACTATGACAAGTGCTATGGCTGGTACAAAACGCTGGTGATCCGAGCCCAGGAGAAGAAGTTGAAGGCTTCGGCTGCTTTGAGAGAGAATCAAGATGTTTCAAAGAGCCTTGCAGCTCTGCTGGAAGCGGATGATACGAACCGAGAAGATCTCCTCAACGAATCAATGGAGCTTGTCATATCAACGTCGAACTACCAATCTCTCAAGGAGCCAGACCTGATCAACGATCGCAAGAACGTCGCGGCTTTGTGCCTTCTTTACACTAGCATGAAATGGCTGGCGAGCAAAGTGCAGAGCCTTCGCCATATCAGCGATCGCGCCACTGATTCGTCGCGACCCGATGGAGGTAGGCAACAGCACAGGCGGCGATGGACTAATGTAGGCTCAGTGGAGCCACGTGGTGATGGCAACCCTGTTTTCCTGCCCCTCAACCACGAAACTGCTGTGTATGTGTTCCCCCTTCACCAGCTTACAACGCGCATTCAAGCTGACTCCAAACAGTGCATTCGATGGCGTTGTCAACTCGTACCACGAGCTTGCCGCCATTATCCTGCAGACGCTGCATTTGGAGGTCCGATGCCATGTCATGTACCACGTCAACCAGCTCTTCCAAGGTTCATACCGCCTTGACCAGCTGTTCAATGAGCCCGATCCAGATGTCCTCAGATTGAATTCTGAGCTGAGTGAAATCGACGAGGAAATCAGCGGGCAGCTTATGACGCCGCAGCACGAGTAAGCCTATAAGATCCCCCCATAAATATGCAAGTCTTGCTGACAACTCCATAGTTACATCACCCATGGTTTGGGAGCTCTCGCCGATACCCTTCTGGTCAAGAACTCCAACAGAATAGGGCGAATGAACGATAACGGCTCCGGGCGTATGCAGCTGAATATCCTCGTCCTGCAGCAAAACCTTAAGAACATCGAACCCGGAGCGGTGCTGAACAAGGCAACCCAGTACTACACCATGTTCACGACCGGGCCAGAATCCATCGTAGCGGTGGCGAAGGGGTCTAAGGAAAACAAGTGCCCCTTCACCCATGACGAACTCAAGGTCCTCGTGGAGCTGCACTACAGCGAGGATTCGGCGAGCGAGCGAAGGGAAACGGCGATGAAGGCCAAGTCGGGCATGAACGACTATCTGCTGCAACTGAGCGAGCACATGTGGACTGAATAATGAATAATAGGGTCGTATAGGCGTCAACAGATGTGGTTATAGCGTCTGGGGTGTACTAGATATTGCGAATCAGCCATACTGTCGTTGGCAATAATGAAGTATATCAAAATTTGGAATTGCCGGATAATTTTAATTGACGGACTGAGGGATTTCTGGCCTGAATAATTTACTTTAGCGTTCCAAAAGTGCTGTTGAGTTGGTTTGGATAGTAAGGGGGCGCACGCGAAACACGGTCGCGCGTCTTCACATGCTCGCTGATCATTTGGGACTACATCATTGCACCAAAGCTTCACCCGAGTCACTCCAAGCGACACCAACAACCATGCCGCCGCAGAGCAGAGGCAATGGCCTTCCTACAGGCTTCCACTCGAAATCAACTCCCAATCTCCCGACGCTCAGCTCCCTCAATTCTGACCTAGCGCCTGCGCCAAATCCCCCGAGTGCCAAAACCGACGCGCCCAGCAACCCGCTTTCCCCAACCGACACGGCCACCTCCCCGTCAGAACCTGCCTCAGTAGAAGACAATCTCTCCACTGAAGACCTATTCACGTTCGACGACGCCTCAGGAACCAGCAGCGCCTCCGATGATGAGTTCGACTTCGACTTCGACCGCGACAGCTCCGACCTGCCCGGCGGTCGCAGCACCAGCACCGACGGCAACGAGAAGCCCCGGCGCCAGCTATACTCGCACGCATCGCGCTCACACTCAGCGCTACCGCATACGTCATCGGCGCTGTTCCCGCCCTTCTACAACCGGCCGCCCACGCCGCTGCCACCCAGCCCATCGCTGACGTCGCTACTACGACCATCATCCTTCTCGGCGCAGACGTCGCGGCCCACGACGCCCGACTCGTCCGATGTCGAGGGCATGACGCCCAGCGCGGGCAGCCGCCGCACCGCGAACACGTCGGCCTCGACGGCCACGAACACCACGACGACGGCGACAAATACCACCACCACGGGCGGCGGTGGCAATGGCGGTGGCGGCAGCGGCGGCGGCGGTACGAGCAGCAAGCGCGCTCCGAGCGCGACGTCGGGCGTGAGCGTGTCGGGCACGGGCGGTACGGGCACGCCGACGGGCAACAGCATGGCGACGGCGTTCGCGTCGGCGACGCTGGTGCCGCGCGCCAGCCCCAAGGTGCCGACGTACGAGTACTACGGCTTCTTCATCTACCTGGCGTCCAGCTTCGCGTTCCTGATGTACCTGCTGTGGGCGTACCTGCCCCGCCCGTTCCTGCACCAGCTCGGCATCTACTACTACCCGAACCGCTGGTGGGCGCTTGCCGTGCCGGCTTGGCTGGTCGTGCTGGTCATTTATATCTACGTGGCCCTCGCGAGCTATAATCTGGGGTATTTGACGCTGCCGATGGGGAGCAGTGAGAATGTTGTGGACGATGCGGCGCAGATTGCAACGCTGGATTCGAGGGGCAGGGTGGTGAGGAAAGGGAAGGATGGGAAGTTGGAGAAGGTGCCCGTGAGGAAGTCAAGTGGAAGGCATAGCAGAGACGGGTCGATGAAGGATTCAAAGGGCGTCGCAGGCTATGCGGTGGATCCGGGAACGAAAGTGGATTGGAAGGCCATCTGGGGTGAGAGTACCGATGCGGTCCTGGATGTGCCGGTTGGTGGTGTCTGTGAAATTCTGTATGGCGATGGGAGAGACACAGACGGCGAGGATGGTGAGGTAAATGGGTCGGTTAATGGGGCATTATGATCTGACGTGGGCATTCTCTTAATAGGTACGTGAGTAGCTCAACTCTGGTTTCTTGCAATGTGGATTTTGAATTATCCATCAGAATAAAGGGGACCGCAAAGGTTACGTAGGCGGGTAGCAATGCTACAATTAGCTACGAATAATTAACAGTCCCATCTCGGAGGACCCGAAGGCAAAGCCACAGAGGCTTTCGAGGGGGAAAAAAATAAGACATTGATGAGCGCATTCTCATATCAAGATATGATATTAACTGCCAACAGTCACTGCAGCATGTTCTCCATTCATAAAAGGCTCAGTAGCGTATAAATCTTTTGTCCGGAGCTTTCTATCCTGATTGGCTTGCGTCAGTCCCGGTGCTTGGACAAGCTCCATGCCCAAGACGGAAGGCGGAAGGTGGATGCTTACTGACATTTGTCTGCTCCGCGCCTTCCTTAGTCAAGAGTGAGCTCAAAGGCACCACCGCTTTCCAACTTCCGGGACGATCGTCAAAGATTCTCCATCTCATCATCCCATCACTCGCCAGCCTTCTTCCCCATTGTTATCAGCTACTCAGTTCCTACCTCTCGTGCAAATCAATATGCTACGTTCAAAACTCCTCAGCGCGTTAGCGATCTTTCAAGTCAGCTTCCTCAGGCCGGCACAGGCACGTCACCCACCTCTCGGAGGTCCCCCTGCGAATGCCACAGATCTCAAGATCATCCGCTCTCCTCAAGGCGCAGAGATACGGTTCAAGGAGCCGGGGATATGCGAGACTACACCTGGAGTAAAGTCTTACTCCGGATACATCTCTCTGAATGAGACGACGAACATGTTCTTTTGGTTTTTCGAGAGGCGAAAAGATCCCCATGACGCTCCATTCACACTGTGGCTCGCTGGTGAGTTTTAATCAACTCCATCGCCCGAGACCAGAAGCTGATCATCTGAGTTAACCAGGCGGACCGGGGGCTGATTCCATATCTTCAATCTTCCTGGGGAATGGCCCTTGCGACATCTCTGCAGACTTGACGGCTGAGCACAACCCATACTCCTGGAACGAAGTCTCTAACATGCTATATCTCTCCCAACCGATTGGTGTTGGCTTCTCGTATGCGAGTGCAGAGGAAGCATGTTTCAACAAAACCTCGGAAGAGTGGGACGACTGCACGGAGCCTAACGGAAGATACTACAAAGTCGATCCATATGCATATCCGACGTCTTATGCTGCTGCCGAATGCACGTGGCACATTTTGCAAGCATTCATGACGAACTTGCCACAGCTTGATCCCACCCTTTCCAACAAAGATGTGGACTTCCATCTTTGGACATCATCAGTCAGTTTTCAAGGTCTATTGTTTGGCCATGCTCACGTTCTGACAATATCTCAGTACGGCGGTCACTACGGCCCAGCTTTCTTTGACTACTTTTACGAACACAACCTCGCCATCAGTAACGGCACAGAAAATGGCACGCGAATGAACATGGGAACCCTCGGTATTCTCGGCGGCTCCATCGACCTCAAGATCCAGATGCCTTATTACAATATCTTCGCCAGCAACAACACCTACGGGATCAAAGTGAGCGAAATACCTTCCTCTGCATCACAGACCTTTCTTTTCCTCCATCACTGACTATCAGTCTTCTTCTTTGTAGGTCAACGACTCAGTCTACACCATGATGGAATTCATCTACGACATGCCCAACGGCTGCCGCAATGCCCTCGACCTGTGCGCCTCGCAAGACCACTCCACCTTCACCGGCAAGGTCGCGTGCGCCCACGCCTCCCTCAGCTGCTATGGGCTGATAGGTGCAATCCGCACGGCGCTATCCCGCAGCGAGTACGACATCCGCCGCCCACCACAGAACTCATCCACGCAGTCCTACTATGACGATTTCCTCAACCTCGCCGAAACGCAGGCCGCGCTCGGCGTGAGCATCAACTACACATCTCCGTTTTCCGACATTGTGTACATGGGCTTCTTGTTCTATGGCGACGCCGCGTACCCGACGTTCAAGACGGATTTGGAGGACCTTTTGCAAAAGGGCGTGAGAGTGGCGCTCTTTTATGGGGACGCGGACTATGTGGCCAATTGGATGGGCGGAGAGGCGGTTTCGTTGGCCTTGGATTTTGAGGGCCAGGGGGAATTCAGAAGCGCTGGTTACGCGCCGCTGGTCGTGGGCGGAAAGGAATACGGCGTGGTAAGGCAGTATGAGGATTTCAGCTTCGCGAGGATTGACGAGTGCGGGCATGGGATTCCAGCCGATCAGCCGAAGGCGAGCTTGGAGTTTTTCAGGAGAACTCTCGAGGGCTTGAGCGTCAGTGACGGATTGGTGAGGGTGGGGAAGAGCTATAAGACAAATGGAACGGCGAAGGCGACGCATACGGAGAGTTATGTGCCGCTGGCTACGGAGTAAATTCTTGCCGGGGGAGGAACCATTTCTTCTGGCAGTATTCCCCTATGTCTAACCTAGTCCTCCCACCTTTCTTTTTTCCTGACTTTTTTTTGTCGGTTTCCCTATGCTCTGTACCTCATATCGAAGCAAACTCAGGTTCTCTCTACGCTAGGCTGTTGTGAAAAAGTTCTCTCTTGAGCTGATGGCAATTCGCTCACTGCTCTCGTCACTCTTTCTTTTATCAGCCCATATGACTTTGCTGCATCAGCCAAGGCTTTGTAACATTCAGAACACTGTCCCCAACCAAGCCCGCGCAATATCAACTAGAAGAGAGGTGAGGTGGCATGTGCTGTTGGCTTTTCCAGAACAGGCCCCGGGACCTTAAAGCGAACGATTTCTGCACCAAAAATTTCTATAATGCCTTGCAGGCTTTCAGACTTCCGGCGCACATGCAGCTTACAGCATTTCGAGGCGGCGTGTTGTATCTCAATGATGCTCACAGTTGCAACCAAGCCTCGGCCAAGCTAAAATATGCATCCCCTACCGCCTTGTTATCACCCGCCAAAGCCTATCATAAGCAAAAAAAAAAGTTTTAAAGCATATCATAAAGTCATTGGGAAGGTCTAACTGAACTTCTGTCTGCAGGAGAGGAGAACACAGTTTGGCAATGTACTACAGCATCCATAGGACGCATCTTGGAGCCACCGGAATCTGAAGGGGGCTGATGACGGACCTGAATGCTAGTGGCAAATGGCTATGTTATTTGTGAAGGGGTGGTGGCTAAAGATCTGGGACAAGTTTCGCACTACGCTTAAAGCCTTGACTGACCTTGTAACGGTAGTAAAACAAGGAACACCAACAAGACACAAATAGTATCCAGAACAAATTGGTGAAAGGCTGATTCTTCTAAACTCCATGCTGTATTTAAATATCTCTGCCAGTTTGTGTCACGTGATTTTAGTCCTCATCAACCTATTTGTGTGCCTCGTTGAGAGATCATGGTGATTGAATATTGGTGGATTGTTAATATAGAGGGAGTCGTAACCAACCTCCGGGAGTCTCAGGTGCTGTTGGCGTAGGCCCTCGTACTTCCAGGAGTAGTTTGATTCGTTTAATTCAGATCATATTTGGCTGCTCGGGAATGTCCAAGCTGGGTTTGGTGAAGCAAGCCCTCCGCAGCCATTTATTTACAAGCATGCATCAGTAAGTCTAAGCGGATGTTAAAGTAAACAAGTGCACTCCAGAGTGCTCTGATTTGTCCATGTGAAGGTTCGTGTCAAGCCCCGGACTGTTCTGATTGGCTGTCTGATACCTCGCTTACCAAAGGGAGTCTGGGTGGGAAATTTCTTGCGGCCCCTTTAAGTGGACCCTCCTGCTCGACCCTCCTGAAACCTTCCTCGACGAAACGCATTAACAGAAGGGTCCATTCAACCTGTTTCACCGATCCACACGCTCTTAAAGCCCTCTTTCGCCATCTGTCTCCGAGGCCTTGCCGCATGCCTACGAGAGAGCGGCCAACGATAGCTTGAAGAGGGAGCGCACGGGCCTGGAACGGTCGGTACATAAACAAAACACGCGATGCTCCTCTCTCGAAAAAGTCCTGTGACGCAGTGGCTAGCGTGTCGTTCTTATACTCTTCCCAGCTTGGGAATTGTATGGCCATTGAGGTTATGCGAAAGTCGTGGGTTCGACCCCCACCAGGACTAGGACTTTATCTTTTTGCATTCTTTTTGGCTGCGGGTGGGGCGAAGTGTGTTGTGGCGTTGAATCAGGCTAAAGCGGGCAGCGTGCGGCAACGACTTCTCTATTTTGGTAATTGCAAAGGAAGTCGTTGCCGCATAGCGCCCACACTCTATTCCCTCGCTTGGACGTCAGCAACTTGGCGTCAGCACCTTGATGGCTGCTCAGCAATATTTTGAGGAGCCATTTCTCTTCACGTTTTGTACTTTTATCTTTAACAAACAGTCCATGTCCACTTCGTGAAAGAATCTCTGATTTTACTTTACTGAACAACGACACTACAGGTACTGTATTGAGTTTCCCAATTTCTCTGTGCTACTCGTTTGCAAGAACAAACCGGTACCTTGGCTTCCCCGCTTCGAAATCAACAACCGCCTGGTTCGCCTCCTTCATCGGCCGCACCTGGACCCACGGCTTAATCTTCCTCTCGGCCGCCAGCTGCAGCATCTCCTCGATCTCGTGCGGCGGACCAATGGCCGAGCCTCCAATCTTAATCTCCTTCATGATCAACGGGAACGCGTTGATGCCGGGCAGCGAGTCCTCCGGCGCGCCGACCTGGATGAAGGCGCCCCTGAACCTCAGCAGGCTCAAGTAGCCCATCAGCGGCATCTTCGGCGAGCTCACGGTCGACACGATCAGGTCGAGCGAGTTCACGTACGGGCTCTTGGTCGCCCAGTCCTCATCCTCATCCGTCGCGACGAAGCCCGTCGCGCCCATCGCCTCAGCATCCTTCCTCTTCGCGCCCGTCCGCGAGATGACGACGACCTCGTCCGCGCCCAGCGCCTTGGCGAACAGCACGCCGAAGTGGCCCAGGCCGCCGAGCCCGACGATGCCGACCTTCTTTCCGGGGCCACAGCCGTTGCGCTTGAGCGGGCTGTAGACGGTGACGCCGCCGCACAGCATGGGCGCGGCGTCGGCCGACGCGATGCCGTCGGGGATCTTGACGACGAAGTGGGCCGGGCAGCGGTGGCGCGTGGCGTAGCCGCCGTAGGCCTTGCTGCCGTCCGGGAAGGCCGCCGCGTACGTCGTCACCATCCCCGGGCAGTGGTTCTCGTTGCCGTCGGCGCAGAACTCGCACTCGGGCCGCAGGCACGACGAGCACTGCGCGCCCACGCCGACCCGGTCGCCCACCGCGATGCGTTTGCTGGCCGAAGAGCCGACTTGGACGGCCCGTCCGACGATTTCGTGCCCCACGACGCACGGGTACGGCGTCGCGCCCCAGCCCGACCGCAGCGTGTGCAGGTCCGAGCCGCAGATGCCGCAGTGGCTGATCTGGATGTCGACGTCGGTCGGCTCGAATGGCTTGGGCGTGAAGGATTGCCATTTCATGTTGCCCTCGGCCGCGCTGGGGTCGAGGCCGCACCAGCCTTCGAAAGTGTCGTTGGCGGACATGTTGTTTTTGAGATGGAGTGACTGGAAAATTGAAGAAGATGTGTTTTGAGGAGGTGTTTAAGAAGAAGTGATTGTTTTAGGTGGAGGACTGGGAAAGAACGCAGGTTGACTCTGGTGCGAGAGGGGTGGTGCTTTTAAAGACCAAAGGTAATGCATTAGGTGAAGGTCACTATTGCTAACTTCCAAGTTTCCGGTATCTCCTATCTGCGGGTGAACAGCGCCATGGCCCCGGACGAATATGCACGTTGGAGAAGAATGCAACGGTCCCAGATGTGTGGTCCCACTTATCCACCTCTCTAGCTCATGTTTTGCCAACGGATTTCCGGAGATAAACGGAGCATATGGACATTGACCTCTTGGCCGGCAGCTTCGGATCCACTTCTCCTCCCGGTTAAAACTATGACCCTGGTGTTAATTGCACCTCCAAAAGCAGTCATCAGCGAGTCCTTATGAAGCGACAACAAACGAGATGCAGCACTCTGTCGACCTCCCCTTCGCAACTACAGAAAGATTGTATACACTCTCGATGACGTGTATAACCAAGACTAGTCCCGTCCCGCTCTGAATCGTGCTTCAGTTTCGGCCGCGGGATATCTTCGGCACGTGCGAAACTGCTAGTATCAGGCTTTGAATCGGCCGATCACAGCTTGATACTTTTCAAAGATGGCGAGATCATGGAGTTGGCTCGTATGAGTCAGCCTTTCTTATTTACTTGCTGTGTAGGCGGTCAAGATGATTCCCCGAGAACTATATAGAACTTTCCACAAACACCCCGCAAATAGTCGAACTGATTCTCCACCATTGATCGAGGTAGTCGCGTTTTACAATCGTGAGCAAGGCCAGACAATTCCATCACCATCCAGAAGCCTTTTGATAAGCTGCGTAAGAACTATAGTGTTTTTTTTTTTTCAAGACGATGTAATCAACAATTGGTTTGATGAAAGCCGCTCGTATCGATCTCCCAACACTCACCCACTGACAGTGTACTTCTACTCTTTGCATTCTGGCCTACAAAGAGGAAGAAAGGGATCACAGTACCAAGAGCGCTCACTTTGCTGGTCTCTCATCGAGGCTTACAGTCTTTCTTTCCCCATTTCACATACTTTCATATTCGTCTTTTATTGGCTCACAGTCCTGGACTTTTTGGACTCTGGCTTCACAAACGCTCCAGGAAGTACTGAGAGCCATTTTTCAATCTCATTCCACAGGTCTTCGTAATAATAAATCTCAACCCCCGACAACACCACCTCCCCTTCAACGGATCTTGTGCCTCAATACGTATTACGACGCCGCCGCTTGACACGCTGCTGATACAGTAGCCTTAACACAACTGTGGAGGCTCCGGACTGCGCAATCTAATGTGCATCCGAACCCTTGTAGGAAGCACCAATGCTCCCGCTTCTGCTTGATTCTGTGAGGTTTATGACGATAATCACCCAAACTACCCGGCCGGAATTCCAAAAGTCAGCAGCACATCCACTTTCCATTGCCGCTCAGCGCCCCGACTCCTCACAAACACATTCAATCAAGAAAAGAAGAGAGAAAAAAAAAAGGAAGCACAACTCACAACAAAGCCCCCTCCCCCTGCATCCCCACCCTATCATAAGCCCTCACCTCATACGTCCCCATGACCAACTGCATATGCTCATCCCTCCTCCCCCTGCACTCTTCGATATCCTTCTCATCCGAGCCCACTCGCGCCACCTCGCCGACCGACGTGACGCCCCACCGCTTCTCCTTCTTCGGCTTCTTCTGCCGGCCCGCGGCCCAGAGCTCGTGCAGGCCTTCCGACTTCTTCCTGCGCCGCACCTCCAGCACCACCGTCTCGGCGCGGATGCTGCTCAGGACGAACGCCCCGCCGACCGCGCGCTCGATGGCCTCGGTGCCGGCTGCGAGGATGACGTCGGAGGCGGCGAGGAGCGCGTCGATGCGCTGGCGGGTTGAAGCGGGGGGAAGGTGGTGTTGGTGGTGGTGGCGGAGGAAGCGGGCTTGCAGGCTGTCGACGCGGTCGAGCAGCAGTGCGAACTCATTCAGCGCGGCGGCGAGCTCGATCAGGACGTCGCGCGTGCGGGGGCTGAGTTGGGAGAGGGACTTGAGGAGCGCGACGACTGCGGCGCTCGGGAAGGGTGTTTGCGGGGGACGGTCGTCGTCGTTGTTGTTGTTGTTGACCCAGTGGACTGATCGAGTGTCGGTGCTGCTGTACCGGCGGTGTCTGGGGCAGTGTCGATGCAAATGGGGGTGCTGCTGCTGGCTTGGATGAGATGGACGCAGGATACTCCGCCTGTAGGCCTGCGCGCTTCCGAACAGTGGAGTGCTTAGCTCTGTGCTCATCATGCTGATAACCATGCTGTCTGCCACTGTCTCGGAAGATGATCCGTAGTCTGCCATGATGGAGTCCGAATACGGACGGCGTTTCGGGTGTATCGTGACGTGCTCTTTTTGCGAATGATACGCGCCTGCTGGCTGGTATACCGAAGGCGTGTCCTCTTGTGGCCGTTTGACTTTGTCAATTGGCTTCCCATGCCGTGACAGAGTCTGCGGCGTTGAACGTCCGCTACGAAACCGAGTCCGGAACCTTTTTGCTCTATGCCGACTAGGCGGTTGTGGGCTGTCAACATTCGCCGTCATACGTGATTGAAACGATTGAAACGGCGGGGCGAGTAGTGCCTGGATTGCGGGTATTTTCCTCTGCTTTTTTGGAGCCTCATTGTTCCGGTTGGTGCGCAGCGTATACTCAATTCTCAGTTGCCAGAGCAGCTGATCTGCCTCCCGTATCGCCTCGTTAACATCCCGCAACGTCGTTTCCAGTAAGCGTAGAAGAACCACTCGTCGCAAGCGCTGTTTCTCGTTCGTACGATCGGCGAGAGGAAGTACGCAGCGTTGAGAATTTGGTACCGGAGGGTCTGGTTTAAGCGCTGACCAGGGGATATTATTGACACCCTGCAAGACTCATAGTAAATTTCTCGTAGTCGTTCGATTGATGGTGGATAGCTCAGCGTACGGTCGAAGACCCGTCTGACCGCCCTCGCAGCCTGACTGTTCTGGCACTCCTCGTGCGCCTACGGGGCTGAAGATGAGCATTAGCTACGTCCAAATTGAATTATGTTGCTGTGGAGGTGATTAGCTACTTGCCGTATTTATAGTCTCGGTCATTACCCCATTTCGACGTGTTAAAACCGCCATTCTGAGAGGAAAGTAGTGCCAAAGAGCCGGAGAAGCGAAACCACATAAATACGATGAACGAGTGGACGCACTGGGCTAGCAATGAATGAGAGGTGAGCATTCTAGGTGAAGACGATTCGGCGTGGCAAGGGACTTGAAGCTTCCGGTGACGTATTGCGTCAGTTCCTAATATGGCAAGAGCCAAGGGGCCGGCCTCCCTGACCTCAAACCAGCAAGAGCATGAATGACACTGTACACAGTACACGAAAAAATATAAACATAAATATAGTGGTATTGATTCAGATCATGATATCCCGCTGAGTCCACAAACAAGGAAATATACAAAAAGGAACACCCAGAAAAAGACCACCACGCTGTAAATGCGATACACAACGAAATTTCCCGTCATTTTAACCTCCGAGCGTCACCGAATCCGACGCCCAGCACGACTCCCACAGCGAACACGGCCGCGGTCTTCGCAACGCCCATGCTCGCAGCGAGCTCCTCCTCTTCCTCAACGAGCTACTTCGCACAGCACGAGCCGCCCTCCTTCTTCTCGTCGAAAGCCAAGCGCGAGAGCTTGTCGACGAGGGTGGAGCCCTGCTTGACGCCGCTGGGGACGCTGCAGTAGCTGGGGGGCACGTCGAGGCAAGGGTTGCGGGTGAAGAAGTTGCGGGGCCGCAGCAGCAGGGTCATGGGCTCGGCGGGCATGACGGGGAAGTCCTCGGGCGAGGGGAAGTGGGTGATGCCGAACGTGTGCCACATGACGATGTCGGTGTTGTCGATGGAGCCGTGGGGGTCGGCGGCGATCCACGCGGGCAGGCCCATGCTGGGCTCGCCCGACGTCTGCGGCACGTGGCGGCCCGCCGGGTGCACCTGCTCGTCGTCGTACTTAGTGACGTGCACGGCGTGGCGCGCGAAGCCCGCGCGCTTCCACACCAGCGACCCCTCCTTGGGCAGCAGCGGCGGCACCTCGCGCGACACCAGCTTGTACGACACGGGCTTCTTGCTGTACGGGTTCAGCTTGTTGGGGTTGCAAATCTCCCACGTCCGGCCCGTGTTGCCGTCGTAGTCGCTGTGGCCGGCGCCCTGGGTCGTGAGCTTGGTCTTCTTGCAGTAGAAGGCGTTGCCGTAGAAGTTCTCGGCCGAGCCGACCTCGCCCTCGCCGCGGACGGCATCGGCGACGACGACCGTGTTGTTGGGACCGTCGATGTTGGGATCCAGGCGCAAGCAGAACAGGTGCTGGTGGTTGTGGGCGTTGACGCCAGGGTACACCTCGGTTCCCCAGCCGTGAAGGTCCTCGCCAGGGTTGCAGGCGTAGGTGTTGAGGATACCCGTCAGCTTGATCTCGAGCTGAATGGTGCCGTCCTGGTGGAAGATCCAGTAGATGCAGTACTCGTAGTTGGCGGCGGTGAAGATTTGCGAGATGATCAGCTTGCGGGCACGAGTGACGGTGACCGACTCGTCACGGAAATCCGTGTGCTTGAACAGAATGCCGGCATCCTCCTCGTGGATGCAGATGGCGTTCTTGACCGTCTGGGCCTGGCCGGCGCGGTTGACGTAAGCGAAGTCCATGTAGTGGATGGCGCCCTTGCAGTCACAGCCCAGGGACAGGCTGTTGGTCATGTAGCCGCCACCGTATTCTCCCAGGTCGAAGGCGTGCTTGCGCTGGTGGGGGTGCTCGGGGTTGCCGTAGGGGACAACCATCTCGGCGAGGGATATTCTCCAGAAGATGGGACGCTCGTTGCCCTTGTCGTTGAAAGTGACGTTGGAGAGAACAAGACCCTCCTTGTAGTTGAAGCCAATGTGCAGCTTCCAGTTTTGCCAGCTGATGAAGCGGCCGTCCATGGTGAAAGAGACGCCCTCGGGCTGAGTGATGTTGATGGGCTTGAGATCCGTCCTGTAACCGCCCTCGGCCTCAATCGAGGCAGCGTGGTAGTTGTTCGGAGGAGCCTTGTTAAGCGGCCTCCTGACCTTGGGGACATCAATGTGGATGACCTCCTTGGTGTCGGCGTTGAAGATGGGGCAGAAATCCAGGGGATAGACGTATTGGCAGTCATCGACGTGCGGGCGGTAGTACATCAGCGCCTGCTGCAGACGAACCTTGTTGCCAAAGCGCTCATCGTAGCCGATCGTCCAGGCTGCTTGCCGTTAGCGTGATTCAGATAACTTGGTGGATAACCACGTACGATCGCAGTAGACCTTGTGCATTTCGTTGGCGGGAATGCCGAGGATTCCGCACTGCTCAACGACCTTGGGGTCTTGCCGCACGATGGACTCGACAATCTGAAGATCCTCCATGGTGATCTAAAGCCAGTCAGCACTAAAAGATTCTCCGCATGTTCGCAGCGGGGTGCTTACCAAAGGCTGCACGCCATCGGTCAGGGCAAATGAGATAATCTTCCCCTCCTCGAGATCGACGATACCATCATACACCTTGCTGCCGGGACCAATGCAGACAACGTCGGCCCTCCGCTTAGGCCTAGGGTTGACCTGGGGGTTGGCCAACCATGCCTGCATCTCCAACTTCCGGGGCTCCCAGAGGGTGACGGCATTGTAGTGAAGGTCGGGGTGCTCCTTGCGGATGATGGCAACAGCCTTCTCAATCTCAACCTCCGAGAGAGGGTCGATGGGGTACGGCGGCTCCCCCTGGCCACTGATCTGGCCGGCCATCTGCTTGAGGCGGTCGAGGACCATTGTGATTGCTGTGTATGATCAAGAAAAGCTCACCGCAGACTCCCAATGAGGAATGGAAGGGAAGTCGATGAATGAGGCACAGCGGTCTCTAAAGATGGCAGAGAAGGTAGTTAATGAAGTACAGAGCACAAGAGACCGTTGTGAATGCGGCGGCAGGCTCAACGTTATATACAGGCCGGCCAGTTGAGCGGCAGCCTGGGACACGGCTAGTATGCCGTGGCAGGCCGGCGGCCAGCATCGAGGGCAGCTGCAGGGAAAGCGGAACAGCTGGTGAGGGGCAGCGGGCCAGTGGCTTGGAGCCAACGGCGAAGGCAAATGGTGGCCGGGGGATGCGGGCGATAAGTCGCGATAAGCGTTGTCCCCGGGTTCTTTTGACTGATGCGGACTAGCGCGGTGCTGCGCGCGGTGGAGAGCAGCTCGCAGATCTGGTGGACTAGCGCTCTGTCCCGGGCCCAGAGTCAGAGCGCGATACTTGCCCTGATGCGGCTATCTATTGAACCCTCCTGCAGTGCTCCGCTCCGGCCCATGAGTCCTGCAAATTACGCCTTGGGCATGTCCATGCGATTGCCCTCGGGTGGCCACGCCGACGCTCATGATTGTGTCAATATCAATGGCCGCCAACCGTGGCCCCGCGCGTAGGGCTGACCCTTCCTCTCGTCCGCCTACTGCGCGGTGGTCTGATCTAAACATGCTATCTCATTAGTCCCGGCGCCGCAGATTCAATCCATTCGTGTCATCGCCACTCGGCATCATCTTCCCATTCCTGGACCAAAAACACCACGCACAAGATTGAATGAGGAAGGAGGTTAGCAGTTGCTACCCTACAGCATTGCTGAATAAACCCAGAGCCAACCAGCACCGGAAACCCGCCACCACCCTAAGAGAAAGCACACGTACAGCACCCACCAAGTGCGCCGAGTAATGCAGGAGTAGTAAGACGAAGCCTCAGAGGCACACGCAAGAAAACTCCCAGCTCGCATCAAAAAATCAAAGTCTCATGATGAGGCCCCTCACATCAGGGGCCGTGGAACCCTTCCGCTTCTCGACTACGCCGTTTTTTGTAGCTTGCTAGCCTCGGAAAAGTATCGAAGAAAGGAAGAGTGCATTATTATCTTTAACAGCCACACAGAAGAGGATTTGGCACGAAAACCCGGAAAGCGGGAACGCTTACTTTCCGTACGTGAAGTTGCCAAATGCTCCTCCCGGCGTCATGGCGCCCAATCCGTGGCCACCGGGGCCAGGCGTGCCGCTCGCCAAACCCGCTGCGTTGGTGACTGGCGTGCTCGGGGAGTCCCTGTGCGGCGTGCCGCCCGTGTGGAACGCCAGGGCTGCCTGGAAGCCTGCGCCATTGACCGCGTTTGCTGCGTGGCCGTGAGCCGCGAGTACAGCCGCCTGCGCCGTGGCAGAAGCTGGCGGTCCCACGCCCGTGAGGCCCCACATCTGCCCGTTCATGTCGGGCGGGATCTCCCCGTCGAAGATCTTAGCGCGCATTTGCCAGAACACGTTGCCCGTCAGCCAAGCATCCGACCCGGCCTGGTGCTGCGTGCCGACCCGCTGACAGCCGAGTTCTTCGGCAAGGTCCTGCAGCCCCGATTTGCTGCCTAAGGCGTTGAGGATGTTCTGGGCCTGTGCGTTGACGCCGTTGATCGTCACAAGCTTCTGCGCATGGCGCCACAGGAACTTGACGTCCAGCAGCCGCGGGAAGAAAATGCTGACCAGTTTCCTATACTCGTCTTCGTCGTCCGGAAGCTGCTTGCACCACATGATCTTCACCAGGTAGGCGAAGTCGTAGCCCGAGTGAAAGGATATCCAGTTGACGTCGTCCGAGAGAGCGAGTCCTGAGGTGATGAGGAGGGAGCCAAACTCGAGCGGGTCGATGCCCATTTCTGCGTGCTTCTCAAAGTCCGTACCCGCCTTTTTTAGCACCTGGATCGAGTCCTCATTGTACATGTCCTCCTCTAATGAGAATTGGAAGTTGAAGGTCCACGTGCACGGGCACATGATGAGGTTATTTGAGTAGGGGCCGCGCTGCTGGACGGCGGCGCCCTGTTCGATCTGAGCGGGTGGGATCTCGCCGGCTGGAGAGAAAAGGGTGATGCCGAGTTGTATTATCTTGAGGAGGTCCACGTTGCAGCGGACGGTTTGGTAGTGATAGCTTGCCTTGGTGATGAAGTCGCCCATCGGTCTCGCAACAACGCCGGGGAACTCGGTGTCCTAGAGACCCGGAGTTAGCTTGATCAGTGCCACTGGGGCGGGTGATGTACCATGCTGATGTATGGGTACTTGTCGACCAGACTCCGGAGTATTGCCATCTCCTGCGCCAGGTTGTGCTTCCAGACATCTCGTATCCTCATTCCTTGGCCCTTTGCCCCACCCGATGCCATCGAGGCAGCCTCGTGCTCGCGTTGCTGCTGCAGAGCCGCGCCGTGGGCGAAGCCCATCTGCGCCGCGTGGCTGGCCAGGCCAGTTCCGCCGCCACCAAGCCCACTCGCGCCGCCGAAACTTCCTGCCAGGCCTGCGTTGCTCGTGGCCGGGCCGAAGATGTTCATGTTGCCATTTGGGTTGCCGCCGCCGAAACCGGGCTGCTGACCCATGTTCTGGTTCTGGACGGCAGCATTGACGCTGTGGAAGTGGGCCGACTGGAGCGCATGCTGCTGGTTGAGGTGTTGAAAGGGGTTTGAGACGTTATGCGGCGGATACCGGCTCACTGCGGGCGGCATCCTTTATCGAGTGTCGAGTGCCAGTGCTGGGGTAGGTTGGGGCCGGTCGCACATCCGGGTCGCGGGTCGGGCGATGAGGAGGGGATCAGGCGCCGGTCGATCTCGTTGGAAGGAGCAAAGCGCCAGTCTTGCGGGTTGAAGGGGGATCGCGTCGCGGTGATGGTGAGGTTGGGCGCTGCATTTGGCGGGAGGTCGGTCACGGCGACGGGTTGGAGGGCACTGGCCCGCGCTTCAGCCCCCCAGGGCTTGGCATTAAGCGAGCGCCAGCCTATCTCACGCTCTCTAGTAAGCAACCCGCAACACCACCCGCGAACCATCCGCCCTGTACTTTGCGAGGTCGCATCAACGTACGTCCCACGCTCTCAATTGCCCCTCTGCTAGCTCCGCCAGCTCCGTGTGGCTGACGCCCACCGACAGATCACCATGGCACCGCCCAACCTCACCGGTTTCGATCCCAAGAAGTTCGCCGCTGCCGCCGGCACGCCCGCAAACGACCCGTGGAAGAGGCGGTGAGTGGGAGCTTGCTCGTTGATACTGCCTGTGTGTTGCGACAATGGCTGACTGGTCGCGACGGTGCAGCGAGACCTGGAGGTACACGGGTCCCTTCTCGCGTTGGAACCGCTTCAAGAACGCCTTCCCGGGACTCGGCATTGCGACTGTTGCTTTCGGCGTCTACCTCGGATACGAGGCTATCTTCCTCAAGGACGATCATGCGCACCACGGCGAGGGCCACCACTAGAGAAATACCAGAATCGTTTCCAGTTCAGATGCAAGAAACTGCATGTGACGTTCGGCGCACGGGATGGTCTAGCTGAAGAGCATGCATTGGTTGTACATATGGCAGGGCTTTACAAAGAAGGCGCCTATGGAGCAATCTTCGAACATGTCCGCCAAATGGCGTTGTACGATGAAGAAGACGCGTGGTAAGGGCACGAGACGTACCAAATAAATCAGCATCCGCGGACAAAAGACATTCTAGACCCGACTTTATTGTCACCGTTGTCCCGGGCAATATTCCATGAGCTAACTATGCGGTACAAAGACGTATTTAACTAAGACATGAAGTTCATAATAATCGAACTGCACGATCAACAACGGCCCACCTCACGATGAACTTTCCTTCCAGCTCGCACTGTATAATCCATCGGGCGCTGTAACCTCTCTGCGGCGCTATGGGCCACGAGTGAGCTTGTTTGAGCTTTGGGCTTTGAGAACAACGGTACCCGACTCACGTGGGTAGTTGAAGCTATCATCCGGACGTAGATGTATATCCGGCCTGTTGACCAGATCATCTTTGAACTTGCGGGCCATGTGAGGGTAGTCTGGCTGGTCTTCATAGCCAGCAACATCATCCGTCCCGTGAGAGGTAACCCCGGAGTCGTCACTTTCGAGAACTATCAGCTTGAGGGATAATGGTGAGGTTCGGAACACTTACATGCGCTCAGGAAGACCTGCTTTCGCCCTAGGAGCGTCCAGATGGGTTATCTCGTGTAAGAGCGTGTGTCCACCGGTCTTAAAATCCTTGAAACGCTGGTTAGTCTGGCACCAGCTGCCCCTTTTATTTCCATTATATGTTCTCGAGTTGAGGTTCCGCTTGGTCATCGGATCGGTGAAGAACCTCGGGCGAATCTTCATCTAGCGCAGATAGTCACCATCCTGCGTTTGTGAGTCGGTCACCGCGAGGCTAGATGATAGTCAGCTGCGTACTCGTTTGGCATGCGTTCCGTTGTTACCTCGCAGATTCGTCTCCAGTGCACTCTTTAGCGCATCGGACGGAGACGGAATAAGGAGGGTTTGTAGGCCATGCCAAACAGTGCCCATGACAGGCTGGACATGCTAAGCTCGGGGATCATTTTTCGAGGATCCTCGTTAGATGCAACCATGCCCCAGACTTTCATCGCCATTTCTATATACTGGTCGCGAAAGTAGTGGGTAAATCTGAAGTCAAAAAGGGTCAGCAAGAATATGACCAGTTGGAGTTTAAGTAGCAAGTGCCTTGGAATTGGTGGTACTTCACAACGGTGCAACAGTGTCAGCGCCAGCGCAGCCAATGGAGGCCAAGGCGCATCGGAAAACCAATGAAGAATTGAACGTTACACGGATATGTTCAGATATGGCCAAGAATGCAGAACGTCATTGGCGCGGGTGCAGAGGGGCAGATGCACGCTCGGGCTCGGGGTTGATCGCGCACGTCTCACCGCCCGCCGACGATGTCATCCTGCTGACCCACTGTGCACCCATGCCCGCGACAGTACTTCCCGCTCCCCTGCTCCCGCTGCTCCTACGGCATGCAAGTCACTCTCATTAGCATACCATGCCCAGAGTCTATCCTCCGATAGACGGCAAGACCTCCTCGCCCACGCTCTCGCCTTCGATCGTCGAATCTGTCGCCGGCTTTTCCGCCGGGCTGATTGCAACCCTTGTCGCCCATCCGTTCGATGTCTTGAAGACGCGCCTGCAGCGTGAGTCCGCCTTCCGCCACGTCCGCGCCCGTAGTTGACGGCTCGACAGTCGACCAGACGCATGCGCCGCGATGGGGAAACTCGTTTCACATCCTCCGCAACATTGTCCGCCATGAGGGCAATGTTGGCGCTCTGTACCGCGGCTTGATGCCGAACATGATAGGGAACTCTGTCAGCTGGGCGTTGTATTTTCTGTGGTAGGTAGACTTGCGCTTGCAGACGTGCATGCCGAGGCTGACATGTCCGAGGTACCGCAACCTGAAGGATCTCTTCAAGGCGACTCGCGGCCATGGCCAGAGACTTGGCTCCTCTGACTACTTCCTGTCGTCGGGAATAGCGGGTTAGTGTGCGCCCCCCACATCCGGAAGAAGGTCGCTGACAGCCGAACAGGCATTTTGACGGCGATATGCACGAATCCTATCTGGGTCATCAAGACGCGCATGCTCTCGACCGGCCGCAACACGCCGGGTGCCTATCGGGGCATCTCACACGGCGCGTCGGAAATCATGCGCACCGAAGGCATTGCTGGATTTTACCGCGGCCTCATCCCGTCCTTGTTCGGCGTGTCTCACGGCGCGATCCAATTCATGGCATACGAGCAGTTGAAGTACTACAGAGGCGGCCAGATTGGCGGCAGGTCGGAGCTAAGCAACTTCGACTACCTGTATCTCAGTGCGTCATCGAAAATTTTCGCGGGCAGCATCACGTACCCGTACCAAGTTGTGCGGTCCAGGCTGCAGACGTACGATGCAAGCGCGGCTTACCGATCGGCGCGGGACGTGGTAACGCAGATCTGGATTCGAGAGGGAGTGTCGGGCTTTTACAAGGGGTAAGGACTGGCCTTCTGGACCGCGGGATTATCACATGGCTGACGAAGGCTTAGGCTGCTGCCAAACGTCGTGCGCGTCTTGCCAACCACTTGTGTGACGTTTCTAGTGTACGAAAACACCAAGTTCTACCTGCCAAGGATCTGGCATCCCGAGGGAGACCATGAGACGGATTAAGAGTCCGTGGCGCAAAGGGAGCGAAGGTGCGGGTTCTGGCGTGATGGAGATGACAGCGCGCATCCTGCTTCAGCTCTGGTCTCGCCGCGTTAACCCCACTCCAGCCTAAAGCGTCGCCGAACCGATCGGCTACCAGACAGGGATCGAGAGGAGAACAGCGATACTGCCTTGCGTGGTGCGGGAACACGGCGCGGTGGAGGGGTCGCGACGTTCCTGGGCATTCCTGATCGCTTGCGGCGAAGGGCAGCTCAACACCACGCAAGTGGGATGGTCGGGGGTATAGACTTTAGCGCGCATGTTGCATATAAGAAAATAGACGGCCACGGGTTAGAGTATGTACAGCCGCAGGATTGTGTCTTTCTTTCGTCATCCTCATTCTTCCTCCCGCTGCTCTGCCAGCCCGCGGCGGCGTCGCTGTCGTCGTCGTCGCAGCTTCATCCGCGCTAGCTGGACCCTGCGGCAGTACACTAAGAGCCGCATAACCATGGCTCAGCCGCATCACAGCGAGCACACAACCCCTCCGCCCCCCTCAACAAAAGGAGTCGCGCCTGCGTCCGCCGCTTCTCCTGCGCTCTCCTTGCCCTGGCCGCCAGCGTCATTATTCTTCTCACCTACTGCGTCGCCCGCGCCCGTCAATCCCCTCGCCGCACATTCGCAGCTTGGTCGCCGCAGCCACGGCGGGAATCAACTCGCGCCTGTGTCCCCTCCTCACGTTCAGTCCGAGACGCCATCGAGGAGTCCCCACCGCCCTTCCGTTTCCTGCACCATGGGCCTGCTCAAGAGCGTCAAAAGCGCCGTCAGGAGGGTTGGCAGCAAACGCATGAAGGAGGGCAATAGAGAGAAAAAGGAGACAAGCTCAAGCGGCACACCCAAGTCTGCGCTTGGTGGCGATGGGCTAGCAGAAGAAGAGAAGACCCCGGCGGAATCAGAGCCTCCCGATAAAGCCAAAATGAAACTACAACCCTACGTCGAATCAGTTGCAGACGAATCTGAGCTAGACGCGCAGACAGGGTCGGATCCGCAACAGTCGATGGAATACTTGCCTCTCTCGCAAAAGTTTCAAGACAAGCAATCGCCTCTGCCCCAGCTACGAACGCATACACAGCTTAACCGTGGGACACCGCGAAGTTCCGAACCAGCAAAATGTGGTCTTGACTGCGAATCTGATGAAGAGTCTGATGTTTCAGAGGCAGACTTGAACCGAGGCTCAGATCCGCAGGCAACCCACTCGAAAAGATCCATGAGAGAACAGGGCCAGCAGCAGCGTCGTTACTCCTCGCCTCGAAGTGGGTCATCTGTTGAGCCTTACAGGTTTCCCTTCCAGAGCGGTGGCGGGCCCGAAGATCAGCAAAGCTTCTATTCTGGTGCTGATAAGGCTCCCAGCCCCAAGGCCTCCAGCTATCGTGGCCACGGTCGCGTGGATTCACATGCCTCGCCGATCGTGGAGGATCATCGCTACAACCCCTCGATTAGAGCTGAGGTCGTCCGTGAGCAAACGGTGTCGCGGGACGGGTTGCGAAGGCCCACCCTGCGGTCTCAGCGAACGTCTCCTCGCCCAGAACAGCCCCAGTACCACAGTTTTGGAGATCTTGGTAGTGTCAATGATCACGAATTTTTGTTCTCAGCTCCACAACGCAAGCTCAGCGATGAGCCGGTCAGCCCTACATCGGTCCCGGAGAGCAAAGACACCACAGATATATCCACCCAAAAACCACCCAGAGCAGAGAGCGTCATCGACTCCGGCGACTCCACTGTTTCTGATACCGATTCTAGCGAGTCGGACGCCTCGTCGGACGCCGAATCCGAGGCGTCGGGGTCGGTGCTCGCCGTGCCAAGGCAGCCTCAGGAACGCACTCGCACGGCTTCCATGCCTGCAATGCAAAGGCACAGCGGTTCCCAGGAGCGTAATGCTTCTTTTGATACTGTGTGCTCAGCGGAGTGGATGAAGGGTGGGCCGCCCTCATCCTTCTATCCCCACTCGGACGACCCGGCCGATCCCGCGGCCCCGGACAGGCATGTTGCCAGCCACCCCCTGCAACCGCGTTATACGCCCGCGGGCGCTGGCAGCGCGTTTCAAGCATATTCACCTGCCAATAATCCGCATGTTCGCCGTGCTAGAGCTAGTTGTTCTGCGTTTCCCAGTCGAGAGGAAGTGGAACGGCGCGTGGCGAGAGCCACAGACGAGAAACGACGTAACGAAGTCATCAAGCGAGGGCAAGACCAGCTGATTGAAGAAAGGCGCCGTCAAAAACGAGAAAAGGAAATCTACGCTGGTCGTATCGCCGAGCTTGAATACGAGAAGAGCCGGCTGGTTAGAGATTACAGCGAAGCATCCCTGAAAAACGGCGAGCTCGAGAAGAGAGTCGCCAACATATCGACGCGCTTTCTCGAACAACGGCGCAAGCTTACAGAGCTGGAGCTGTGTCAGCGCGGCTGGGAGGACTTCGAGGCGCAGCTCAAAAATAACGCGCACGGGCTGCTCACTCCGCCCGACACCGCGTCATCGAGATCAACACCGGGGAATCCAGAGCGAGTCAGAGCTTGGGCTGAGACCCTGGCGGACCCAACTTTACACAACACGGAAACCCCGGCAGCTCCGGAGACTTTCCAAAAACACGAGCCTGCGCATGAGGATGGTGGGCCGGCCCGAACTATTGATGGAACAATCATCAATGCTCTCCAAGAACCTTTAGACCCGGCCAGCACCAAATCTTCCTCGGATTTCTCTGCTTTACAGAACCAGCCCTGCCACGAACTCCAGCCTGAAATGTCGGTCCAGTGTGCCACTCAAACCCTGGCCTTTCCGCCATCAACCCAAATGCCCAGAACAAGACTTCGTACACTCAAAACTGCCACTCCAATCTACTCCCAGTCCAACGACTCGGCCGCGACGTTTGGCTCTGAGCAACAACCATGCCATCGACCCGAGCCTGGGCTGAATGACGGGCAGGCTTGCAGCAGCACCCAAAGCATAGCTGAATCCCAGAGAATGGTTCCGCCCAGTGCCGCATCGCGACAGACCTCTCAATCTTCTCTGAGATATCATAATGGACGGCCCCGACAGCAGCCAAAACAGGTGCAGTTCGACGCAAGTCACGACGAAAAAGCGCAAACATCAAGGAATATCAAGGATGCGACTTCTTCCCGGTCGCGCGATGTCGTGGGCCAGCTTGTGAAACAACAGCAGAAACCAATCAGTCGACAAGCTTCTCCAGCAGGCAGCCAGTTTGTCCAGCAGCGCCAACTATATACCCCTCGCCCTAATATTTCAGTCTTGAACAATACTCGGAAAGTCCAGCCCCAACTCCAAGCCTACGGCATGAGCAGCCAGCACGTTTATCAGCGACAACAACCGGTGAACCACCAGGGCCAAATGACACCCGCACAGCAATCGCACATGCACGCTGCGCGCCAGCACTCGGCTCCCGCCAATCTCCAGTCCATGCAAAATCACCAGAACAATCTCCGCCATGCTTACTCGTCGACTCAAGTACAACGCTCCACTCGCCCACCTACCGCGAATGGACTCGTTAGCCATGCACATAACGCACCTCGCCCAGAACCCCCCCGCAAAGGATCCCAGAAGACCCTCCAACCACCCCGGCCAAGCACATCGCATGGTGTCTCACGGCCAACCCTTGCATCTCCTAGACCAAGCACCTCTCACGGCAAATCGCAACCCATGCCGACACAGCTCTACCCTCCTCGCCCCGGCACCAGCCACAGCACGCGTGCCGCTACCTTTGGCAGCAGCACCGTCCCCCCTCTTCCCGCCATTCCGCAACATGCCCTGCAATCCCAGCCGTACCAGCACCAACAGCAACAGCAAGTACGCGGTGGAGGCGGGCCCCCGGTCACCATCGCTCCCAACGCAAACTACTACCCATTCCCGCCGCCACTGCGCGGCACCAGCGCGCGCAGCCACGAGACGGTCGTTTCGCACCGCACCGTGCTCAGCCGCATGCAGGGCAAGGCCCGCGCCGGGCTCGAGGAAAACGAGCGCGCCAACGCCGAAAAGCGCACCGCGGCGCAAGAGGCGGCGCAGCAACGCGCTGCTGCCGCTGCCGCCGCCGCCGCCTCCTCCGCCAGCCAGACGCCTTCGCCTCGCCAGAAGGACGCTCCGCAGTGGGAACCACAACAACAGGTGGCGTGGGGAAGGGACTTGGTCGGCGAGGGCGTGATCCAGGCCCAGGAGGAGGCGGACAAGCTGTGGAGGGAGAAGCAGAGGCGGGAGGAGCAGGCGAGGAGGGAGGATGAGGACCGGAAGATTCGGATGGAGATGGAGAGGTTGACGAGGGAAAAGATGAGTGTTCTTGCGAGGGGATGAGCGGCAAGTCGCCGTGGGTTATTCCGAGTTGAGGATGCTGGGAGGGGGAGTCTTTTTTTAGGGAAGGGGAGGGAGTAATTGAGGGTAAAAAACGCGCTGCTTGCTTTCCTGTCCTTCTCTATTTCGTCTCCTTTTATTTTTTTCTTATCTTTCTATCTACGGTCGCTTCTTAGCCAAAATTCTTTTGTCTTCGATTTTCCCTGCAATACCTCACTCGCTATACCTCTGTCGCTACATCATCTGCAAGTCCCCTCATTGTTCAGCGCAGTAATCTTATTGTGTAATGTCTTTGAAAAGGCGGTCGGAACGGGAAGACGGTGGGGTTAGATACGGAAAGGTAAAGTGTGAGGGAAAGAAAAGCACCAAGAGGAAAAGGTACAGTATAATTACAGGCGTATGTAAATACCCCTAGCATTTTATCCTACGATCTAGCCTCTGACGGATATCTGGAAGCTACAAAAAAGGAGGGAAATGACGGACGTTCTTTTTTTCTCACTTACGTTGAGATTTAGCTAATATAGATCCTTTGTAATTATCTTATGTTTACGTCAAGAAACGTTTTGCATAGTCTTCTCCTCTCCCTCATTTGAGTCTTCGAGCACATGAAGTCCTTTTTGGCTCTTCGCAAATGCTGGAGGTTAGATAAAATTGATCTGTCTGAATTAAGCGTGGGGCCATCTCCATTCTCTTCCAATGTCAGCGCGATATGTGTCAATATCCCTGCACGAAACATTTTCTCAGATAGTCATTAGAAGAATGAGTTTCCTGTTCTCTATGCCATGAAATGCTACGCTACGCTGTATATGCTATGCTCTATGCTATGCTAATCTAAACACGGGCACGCCAATCTACCAACAGTACAAGATAACGTACAAAGAAGCGCTACCAGCAATCAAACAGATCGCAAACCGACATCTACAACGGCCACCCATCGTTACTTCATTTCACTCATCAGTCCATCTTGACAAGAAAGCCTAGAACGCAATCCCACTCTCCCACCACCTGCGCCCGCTGTACCACCTGAACCAATCCGCGCCCTCCCTCGTCTTCCAGCACATCCAATGGCTGTCCGGATCACCCCAGCCCATGGCGCGCAGCGGGCTCAGCGGCACGGGCTGGAACAGCCAGATGCCGCCGCGCGCGAAGTCGTCGGCGAGCAGCGGCGCCGTGAAGTAGAACCACACGTGCACGAAGACGAAGTTGGCCGCGCGCCGCAGCCACTGTGGCGTCTTTTCCAGACCGGCTCCGCGCAGCGCGCGGACGAGCAGCGTCTGCGAGACGATGCCGAAGGCCTGGAGGACGAAGAAGGTGAAGGGGCCGGAGAGAGGGTAGGTGCGGCCGGACTGCGTGTAGCTGCCGGCGGCGTGCAGGCAGCCCGAGAGCACGAAGGCCGTCAGGAGCTGGATCATCTTGGCCGGCAGGGCGCGCGGGGATAGGCGCAGGCGGGCGATCAGGCGTTTGGAGGGCGCCTCGAAGGCGAAGCGGAACGTCTGGTGCCACCAGCTGCCCCACCAGCCCGCCAGCCCCTTGTCCAGCACGGCGGAGAAGGAGCCGAACGTGTCCGGGTACATCCAGGCGCAGGCGCGGGCGCCGATGACGCGCGGGCCGAGGAAGCCGACGAAGAAGATGGGGGCCAGCGCGAAGATGGTGGTGAGTGCACATTTGATGGCGTTGAGAGTCACGAGGAGCCGGAAGACGCGGGTCAGCACGGGCGAGGCGCGGATGAAGGAGGGGAGGAAGGCGGGTGCGGGCGCGTCGATGACGCCCCAGAAGTAGGGGTCGTGCAGGACGATGACCTTGAGCAGATCTAGCATCAGGTAGCCCGTTAGGAAGGTGGTCCAGCCCGCGCGTAATGCCTCGCCGCGTGTCTGCGGCTGCCGCGTCCCGTCGGCGCCGCGGTGGTTGTCTGGCTTGGAGGACATGGGCGTGCCCGAGTTCGCGTGCAGCTGCTCTTGCACCCAGCGTGGCGGCGGTGCCAGTCCGGAAATGCGCCAGTTCCATCCCATTCCACGGAAGTTGCAGAAGACGTCGGCAACCCAGTCCAGCCGCTCGATGAAGGGCGAGAGCGGGAAGTGCTGCCAGGCGAAGGTGCCTTTGCGCTGGCTCGGTCCTGCCGTTGTGCCGAGACGCTTTCTCTCGGCGGCTAAGTCGACATCCTTGATGGTTGAGACGGTAAGGAAGTCTGACTGAGGCTTGTCTTTAAGCATAGTTCCGTTTGATGTTGCAGTTCCATTGCTTCGTAGACTGGCGCTGGCTCCCTCGGTGCGCTCGATCCTGGCGAAGTCGGTCTGGGCATCGTGGGCAACTAGCAGGGTGAAAGTCCAGAGAAGAGACCAGGAAGATATTAACCCAACGCCAAAGGCGGGTGCCATGTTACGGGCACGGGTATAGAGAACGGAATGGATTGACCAGTATGCGTTGAGAGCCCATACTGGATATCTGAGACTGTTGAGGAAAGGAGAATTGTAGTGCGGAACAAGCAGATAGACAAAACAGAGGATAGCACCAAAACTAGCCCAAGGGTACACGAAGGGGACGAAGTCACCTGAGCTGATGCCAGCGTCGTAGGCTGCGTATACCTGGTCGAGAGCCTCGTTGTGAGTGGCCGGAGGATGGTTGAACATGGCTCTGGCTGCAGGACTGGGTATGCAGAGTCCTGCAGAGTGAGGGCAGATGTTAGTAGTAGGGGGGAGGCATCACGCAAACAGGAAATGTGGCGGCGGTAGCAGTCGATGAAAGTAGCACCGCGTGTTTTTGGCATAGATCAGGATCTTGGCAGGCACCACAAGTGCCACATGACGTGGACCCGGTCGCTGGCTCCTGCCACGTGCATGACTAATACGCCGCTTGCGCCGGATTGGGCCTTTCGTTACACGCTGCACTAACCCCCGCCGCTGCGATTCTTTACACCGCACCCAACAAGCCCACGAGCCACGGCCTGCACTCCAAGTCGCCCACCCCAATACCCTTCCAAGCATCCAAGTAGGCCTGAGGAAGCCAATTCCTCCCCACCGCCAAGATGGTCAACATCACGGAGAAGATCAAGGAGTACGACGCAGACGCTTCTCGCCTGACGTAAAAATGTCCCGCACCCCGCTAACGTTGCTTTTGCCTCCAGGATTGAGTCGGAGATGGCGAGGACGCAGAGTAAACTCACCTGCACCCCTTCTAGATGCGCACCTTAAGCTGACCTGTGCAAGAGAACAAGGCAACCGGTACGCCCTTCTGGCAATATTCACGTGACGCAAATTCTGACTACTTTCAGAATACCATCTTGGTCTACTTAAAGGGTATGTCGAAATGACGGCAGGTTTTAACTTTATACTCACATCTGGTCAGAAAGCTTGCTCGACTTCGCGCTCAGCTTCTTGAGCCTACAGGCGGCGCCGGTGCTGGCGGTGGTGAAGGTTTCGATGTCAGCAAGAGCGGAGATGCCCGTATAGCGCTGGTCGGCTTTCCTTCCGTCGGAAAGTCAACCTTCCTGTCCAAGATCACCAAGACGAAGAGCGAGGTTGCTGCCTATGCTTTCACCACCTTGACTGCGATTCCCGGTGTGCTGGAGTATGGCGGCGCTGAGATTCAAATTCTCGATTTGCCTGGTATTATTGAGGGAGCCGCCGAGGGCAAGGGCCGTGGACGTCAAGTCATTTCCGCCGCTAAGGTATTAATGCCTCTTCAAATACATGGAGAGCAATCGGACTGACTGTGGTAGACGAGTGATATGATTCTGATGGTGCTCGACGCGACAAAGCGGGCTGAACAGCGCGCACTGCTGGAGGCAGAGTTGGAAGCAGTCGGAATCAGACTCAACAGGGATCCTCCGTATGTACCATGCCCTCGTACCTCTAACAGCTCTTGCTGACTTTCTAAGGAACATCTATCTGAAGCAGAAGAAGGCAGGAGGCATGAAGATTACCTTCCAGACTCCACCCAAGAACATTGACGAGAAGATGGTCGGCAACATCCTTCGTGACTACAAGATGCTCAACTGCGAGGTCCTTGTTCGCGACGAGTACGGTGAGTACAACGACTGGAGCTCTTACATTGATTTATTGCTGAACTTCTCATAGCTACTGTCGACGATTTCATCGACGTAATCATGAAGGACCACAGAAAATATATCAGATGGTAAGTTGTGCCACCCAGCCTCTGCACCCAAGGCGTGTGTCTCACAAATCCCGCAGCCTCTACGTCTACAACAAAATCGACAGCGTTAGCTTGGACTTCCTCGACAAGCTGGCAAGAGAGCCGCACACGGCGGTCATGAGCTGCGAGCTCGATCTGGGAATTCAAGACGTCGTTGACCGGTGCTGGAAGGAGCTGAGACTGATCCGTATCTACACCAAGAGGTAAGTGAAACAAGACGACAGTTTGACGTTGTGCTCACAGCCGCGCAGGAAAGGAGTGGATCCCGACTTTGGCGAGGCTCTCATCGTCCGCTCCGGTGCAACCATCGAAGACGTTTGTGACCAGATCCACCGGACCATCAAAGAATCGTTCAAGTACGCTCTAGTCTGGGGATCCAGTGCAAAACATGTTCCGCAGCGCGTCGGTCTGGGGCATGTGGTCGAGGACGAGGATGTGGTCAGCATCGTTTCGGCATTCAAGGCATAGATCATGCGCGTTGATCGGAGGTAGAAGGTTACACGGATTGTGCGTGCATCCGCAGATGACCCTTGAGCAAATTTATGATGCATTCTTCTCAACAACATTCCCGCCTATTTATATATAAAGCTATGTGCACACACGGCTCTATGGAATATCTATGGCACTGTTTATGCTAGCGCGCTAGTTTGCTTGATCTTATCGAGTACATGGCAGATGTCAAACGGACCCTTTTCCGCCAAAATTTATGGGTTTAAAAATAGCGGCACCTGCAGCATTATACAAAAAAGAACGTAAAACATGCAGAGAAACTGGTAAATGAGCAGGCGCTACGCATGCAAGGTGGTTACCCAGTAGAGGGTGCCCGAGTCATTCGGGCGATGACATGTGCCGCAGTGCGGAGGCCAATCAACTCCGATCATCCCCGCGACCCACGAGCTCAAACCACGACCCATCCTCTCCCACCGACAATGCGCAAGCTTCCAGAGCTCCACTAGCATCCCAGAACCACCAACAGCTCCGTAGCGATCACCAACATGGCTGAATTCAGCACCACCAAGCTCAACGCCGAGCAGCACCTGCTTCTCGTAAGCCCGCACACGTTTCCCCGCGAGCCCGCCCCGGTCGAGCCACCAAGGTATACTGACACGCCTCGCTGCCGCACAGGACCAACCGCTGCTACGCATGCCCTACGAGCTAGCACGCAAAAACTTCAAGACCGCCCAGCGATACGTCGAGCGCGAGCAAACCTTCGTCACCAAGGAGTTCAAGAGCGCAGCCAACGGCGCCGCCCAAGCAGCCACCACCGGCGACGCCAGCGCCACATTGTCCCAGCTCGACACCATGATCAACCGCATGCAAGGCCTGAAGCGCAAGCTCGAGACGCTACACAACGAAGAGACGAACATCCACAAGGCCACCAAGACCCGCATCCAGCACCTTGACGACCTCTACGGCATTCCGAGTTTGGCCGACGTCAAGTACGACGAGTGGAGCAAGGTGCGCCTCGACCGCCTTCTGGTCGATTACCTGCTGCGCAGCGGATATGGTGAGAGTGCAAAGGCTCTAGCAAAGGAAAAGGGCATTGAGAATCTCGTCGATGTCGATGCCTTTGTCCAGTGCGAGCGCATTGCCGAGAGTCTGAGGAACGGCCGCTGCCAGGAGGCCCTGGGCTGGTGTGGTGACAACAAGCAGGGGTTAAAGAAGCTAGAGGTAGGTAAAACGGCGCGTGAGAAGGTTGAGGAGAAAGTGGACGTGAAACGCTCGCTAGATCAGTACTGGCGATCGGTTTTCGCGGATCGCGGGTGCTTGATTGAAGAATGCCTATCTGGATGCCGACTGCAGTCAACAAACCTATCTGAGGATGAAGACCTGCGGACGGTATGCCAGACAGGTTGAGCTTGATCTTTCACATTTCGCTTCGAAACTTCCTTACAATTGGCCCCTCCCTCGAAGCTCGCTCGAGGCATCATTTGCTAACACCCTACCAGAGCAACCTTGAATTCGAGCTGCGTCTCCAGCAGTACGTGGAGATGGTCCGTACCGGCAATACCCAGAAGCTCCAAGAAGCAACACAGCATGCACGCAAGTACTTGGCATCTCATTCAGATACCAAATACGCTATTCGTGCTGCTGGTCTGTTAGCGTTCCCTCCAGATACGCCCGCCGAGCCATACAAAGTGAGTCTACGGTCTGCTTCTCTTCGTAAAGGATCGCAATGATTAACCTAGGCTCATATCCAGTCACTCTACTCCACCGAGCGCTGGCCCAAGCTCGCTGAGCTGTTCATCAAGACGCACAATACACTTTACTCACTCCCACCCAACCCTCTTCTCCACATTGCTCTCTCTGCTGGTCTTTCAGCGCTGAAGACCCCTTCCTGCCACTCGCAATATGCATCATCATCTTCCAACGCCAACAGCACTTCCACATCCGTCTGTCCTATCTGTTCGACCGAGTTGAACGAGCTCGCCCGTAACGTGCCATACGCCCACCACACAAAGTCATTCGTCGAGAATGACCCGGTCGTGCTGCCGACGGGCAGAATTTACGGGCGCGCGCGATTGATGGAGATGAACACCAAATTGGGTACGCCCAAGGGTTTCGTGAAAGACCCCATGGTGCCAAATCTCATCTATGAGGAGAGCCAGTTGAAGAAGGTCTTTATTTCGTAGATCACTTGCGACAATGCGGGGAAACGTAGAGGAAGATTTGGCATCATGCCCTAAACAGCCAGAAAGAGCGGTATTCCTTCATTCGGAGGTTTGTGTTACAGCGATCGGACAGGCATTTTCATGCGTAGGATGGAGGCGTTTCTGTTGTCCAGGAAATCAAATTGGCGTCGAGAGCCCGGTGTTTCTAAGAATTGTTCGGGTAAATGGTCTTTGGGACGGTTCCCTCGGGCAGAGGCTTCATTGATATGAATTGATCCTTTTGAATTTCTAATTCGCGTGTCTCGAGAGTGTTGGCGCTTTGGTCTTCGTAGAGTGAGCTATGTTTTCTGCCAGACTTGGTCCGGAACCGCATGGTGGGACGCGGGAGTGGCAGGCGCCACTGGCAATATTCGAGACAGTTTTGATCGGTACATAGATCTTTCAGTTAACTCATACTGTCGTCTACGGGCAAAAGATGGGCTGCGTGGCTTAATGGTACGTTCAGAGATTTTACTAGAAAGGACAGGCTAACTGCAAGACTTGGTCAAAAATATAGGCAAAGGCAAAGAAAAAGAGCTCAAAAAGTAAAAAACCCGGGAGTAATAGAATGACTCTGCCAGAGGTTTCTGTAGCAAGCCGCTCCCCTATGGACGGGGCAGGACGGGCGTCTACAGTTTTGCCATTTTTTTAATCCTTTTTGTTGCTTCCTAGTCCCATCATCGCCGTGTCAAACGGTGTTGAGATGCTGCATCGGGTGTGGTTCGAACGGGAACCACTTTTGCTGTTATAGGCAGGCGCAGATGCTGAGATCTTTTGTGAGGTCACCATGGCCGTGTTGAGCCTGGTCGAATAGAAGGCGACTGAATCTTCCGCTGCGCCGAGGGCTGGCAATCTCGCCGGCGAAATGGTCCAGGTGAGGAACAGTTGTACTTCACCTCACTATGGTGGTTCAAGAACGACAAGCTCACTCTTGACACTCCACATTTCGCGATGTAAAGCCCAATCAATATGTCCTTTCAACGATCCTATACCTGGTATAGTAATTTCCCAAACGCCAGCGCCTCGGTCGTATCTTCCATGTACAATGAACCGTCCTAGATCAATCCTCATCCGAATCACTTTCATCTCCACCCTTCTTCCTCTTTTTTCCTGCCCCAGCACCAGCATCGCCGCCGCCGCCTCTAATTTTGCCCCCACCCGCACCATCGCCGGCCTCAAAAATGTAGGACCGCGCACTCCTCTCCTCGCCCTTCCACTTCCCGCCCATCTCACCCTCGATATTACCCAGCGTCCGGGCGTGCTTGTAACCGGGGTATGCGCTGGCTTGGAACTTGAAGGAGCGCTGGACCTTGAGGCCGACGTGGCGGGCGAGGTCCTTGACGTTCCAAAGGGTGTAGGGTTCGCTTTCGAAGAGCGTGACGATGATGGTGGGGTTGGCAGAGACGGGAGATTGCGGGGCGGGCAGCGCGGAGAGGAGGGGCGCCGCGGCGGTGAAGAAGGACACGAGGAGTTCTAACGTTGTTGTTTCTTGCCGTCAGTCGTAGTCACCGCCATGGCTGTTTAGGGATTGATGTGGACTAATTTGCTTGGCCATACCTTGGTTGTACCGGACCTGCCGATTGACATCCGTGCTCTTCCCGCCGACGTGCGGGAAGTTGAAGATGATCCTGTCCCAACCACCGCCGCCGCCGCCTCTTCCCCTCGCTTCCCTAGCGCCCTCGTTTTCCTCCACCAGCCCCTCTCCCTGCCCACCCTTCTTCACTTCCTTATACGACCCCAGCTTTGTCGCGTCCACGCCACACAACACTCTGCATCCACCTTCTCCTTCGATGTACGCCATATTCGCCTCGGCCTGCGGGTACTTGCGCAGCAGCTCGTCGCGCGTATCGTACGCGGTTGCCAGCACGTCGGCGGCGCCGTGGTGCTCGACGATGCTGCGCGCGAAGCTGAAGTCGCCATCTCCGATGATGAGAATGCGCTCGTTGGGGTCGAAGGGGATATATGCGTCTTGGTGCTGCTGCTGCTGGTCGTTCTTCGCTTCCTCTTGTTGCGCGCCGTCGGTGGTGTTGGTAGGTTGAGGAGCTGTCGCGGAGATGGCGGGAGCGGCGATATCGGTCGATGGCCTTTGCTTCTTCCTCGGTGGCTGCGGTTGTGACCCGGCTTTTTTGGCATTGGCGCTCGCTTTCTGCGCTTTCGCCGGTTTGTTTGCGCCCGGCGTGCCCGCGAGGCGGTTGGCGCGGCCTTTCTCAAGCCACGGCTTCTTTTTCGTACGAGCCATGGATTGGCTCGTTGGGAACCTTCGGGGGGCGAAGGTGAGGAAGGAGGGGCGTGAGGTAGCGTGAGGCTTGCGAGAGCGAGCTTGTGCGGATGGGAGACAGAGCTCGGACGGAAATTTAGTCGGAGCTTAAGGTGCGGCTCTGCGGGAAGCTTGGGCCAATCGGTCATGGCGTAGGGCTGAGACAAGCGGAAAAAATCTCAAACTCCTTCTTACGACCAGGAGTTTGCAACGTTGCTTCACTGTAATAGCTGAGGCATCGAGCCGATTGCAGCTAGAGCGTTGGTACAAGGAAAGTTCACTGAAAGTCGTCACCAAGGATTCGGGCATGAGTTTCAATTCTCTCGCCCGTCTCACAATCGAGTCAATTAACCTCCGTCGTCTCCATCAGAGCACTTCTTTGGATGGACGCAGGCCTCTATTAACTTCACTTCGTATCCTTGCTGTTCGTACACGCATCCCTTGCTCATCATTACCCACAATCATTATCGTCTTGACTTCGTTTATTCGGAATCTATTGCAGCCGATCGCAAGTCGTTGCTACGCCCTTGGAAGGCGGCAGAACGAGGTGTCTGATCCAGAACTCCCTCGCCGGCATTAAACTAGCAAGAAAAAAGGCCTCCTCGGTCGCGCAGTGGCCATGATCTTCAAAACATCCTTATCTGCCTGGTGCAAAGCCAATGAAAGCAACGAGATGCTGGCCAAGGAAGGCTCACGTGGTATCTGGCCATGCTGTAAGACGAGCTTCAGCACACTTCCGTATCGGACGGAGTGTACGTCGCCAGCGCAAGTCGAAATTCCTTAGATCCGGCATTCTCCATAGAACAAAATTGCGCATGGGTATCTCAAGCAAGAGGAACGGGCGAACCCATCCGACTGCCTCTCCCTTGAAGCGTGATGATCGGAGTGTCGGGCCGGGCCAGAGAGGGAGGTAGAACTATAATACAGGTTGGATGGACTGGGAAGAGATGACCGCTCACATGTTGAGCTTCATAACGTCTGCGGTGCCGAACGACCTGCCATCCACAGGACATTTGCGAGAACGACCGCGGAACTGCTCGTCTACGCAATCACGGCACATGACGTGACCACACGTCTTGATCGCCGTGTCCTTGAGGTTTTTGCGGCAGACAGGACAAAGGGCATATGACTGGAGTTTATCAGTACGGCAATCTCATGGAGGAAGCATTTTGACAATCCACTTACCCGCCACATCTCGTTCATGTCGTCCCTCTTGTCCTTGTCCTTCCAGTTGTTTAACTGCCTCTCGGTCTCTTGCAAACGAATCTTGAGCTTCTCAACCTCAGCCTCCAACTCCCTCTGTGATTGCTTGGAAGATAACACTGCACTGTCTTTGGCGTTCAGCATACTCTTCAGCTCGGCGATTTGAGCTTGGAGGCTTTCGGTCATGCTGGCCTTTTCTCCCGACTTCTGCTGCAGAATCCGGAACTGATCCTGAAGTCGGTTTAGCGCTTCTCCGCTTTCCGCGACTTGCTTTTCGAGGTTGATCTTCATGTTCTGGTTGGCGCCTTCAATCGATTTGAGCTGAGCGATAATTTCCGCATTGCGCGCGTTCATCGTCTTCATATGCCGGCATTCGGCTTCCCTGGCATCTTTGGCCTTCATAGCGGCGAAGTACTTTTGGTCTGCCTTGGACTTCTCTGCGGTTAACCGATTTACCTGTTCTTCCCAGTTGACCAATTCGGCAGTCTTCTTCGCCGCCAAAGCTTGTGCCTTTTTCCAGGCCACCTCCATGGACGGGAGTTCGTTGCTAAGAAGGGCGTATTCTTTCTCCAGGGTTGCGATTTTGGCGCGAAGTTCGTCCGGTGACAAGCCCTCCAAATGCTGGGTTGGTCCATCGGCCTGCGTTTCACCAACCCTCAGACGGAGGCGCTCGACTTCTGTCTCAAGTGCAGTTATTCTGCTTTCCCCAGCACTTGCCAGCTCCTTGATCTGCTCAGACGAAGCTCTGACATCATCTTGGGCTGCTTTCCTCTGTGCCAGTTCGGACGCCAGCTCGTCCCTCGCATTACGGATGCGGGCAAGATCTGCCTCAGCCTTCGCCAACTGGGACTCAGTCTCACTGATAGCGGCTCTTGACTCCTCATCCATCTGTGCTCGGTACGCTGTGCGCTCTGCATGCAATTTCGTTGCTTCCTCACGAAGCTGCACGTTAGTGGCTTCCAGATGGTTAATACGCTTGATGACGTCTTCGTGCTGGCTCTTCAGCGCCTTGAATAAATCCGTCTTCGCGTAGTCCTCATCGGTCAACCCGGCGAATTTGGTCTTGAGGGCGGTGATCTCTTCAGTCAGCTTTTTGTTCTCGGCAGCAAGTTGTTCGCATTGAGCCTTGCGCTTTTCGGCAACAGCATTTGCCTCTTTACGCGCAGCTTCAATTTCAGCACTGTCGACAGAGCCATTCGTGATAGGCGGGCTGTCAGCTTTCTGCTTCGAGTCATCCTTGCTTGCTGAAGGTACAGGAGCAGCTCCCAACCCAACCATTGCCACAGCCTTACTCCTCTCGCGATCATACTTCCTTTCGGCAAGAACGTAACGCTCCGTTGCGCCCTGAAGCCGAGCCTCATACTGTTCCTTTTCTGCAATAGCCCGGTGAAGTTCTGCAGTATGCTGCTTCTCCAGCGACAGCAGCTTGGAGAGCTGGCCTTGAAGATCCTGAACCTCGGGTGCAGCAGCCGGAATCTTGGAGAAGAGATCGGAAAGAGCCTTCTTTATGCTGTTGGTGCGGGCAGAGAGATGTTCCTTGAAGGTGTCGGAATCGGAAGAGAGAAGAGATGTAGGGAAGGGTGCGGATTCTTCACGAAGGCATTAGATCATGTCTGAATGGACGATCGGGGAGAGAATGGCGACGTACCGGAAGGATTGGAGTCCGTGGCGGGGAGGGTCTCGTTGGCAAGGACGGCAACTTCATCGATGAGCTAATTACGCGTTAGTCATAGCACGGAACGGTGCGCGTCTGGTGATTTTACCTGAGAGAACCACAGGTCAATGACGCGCAAGTGGTCGTCATGATACTTGGATTGATCCTCAAGATCTGCCACACGTTCCTCGAGATCGGCCTTCCTGCGCTTGTATTCGTTCTTTTGTCTTATCAGAGCGTCTTTGGTGAATTCCTGGATGGATGCGCTGTCAGCAGCGAGTCTTTAGTGGCAGTAGCATGCACGAAACCGGAGCTGACGAACCTCGAAAACGCGATCACGGTCGGTGAGCGGATCCAGATCTGCCAGCGCCTTGGTGCCGTTGGATAGTGTCGCCTGGCGTTTTGCGGGTGGTGCGGTTTCATCGCGGTCGGACATGGCTGGTCTCTTGCGGTCCTCCATCTTTGCAACGCCGAGGGAAGGGCCAGTCACGGACTTGGATGCGAGCCTCATGGAAGCGGAGACACGCTGCGACGCGATGGGAGCCAGCAAGTACAAGGCGCAGGCGGGGGCAAGAAAGCGGATGCACGCGAAGCGACCCTGGCGTTGGCGGCGGGCGGGTCGGTGGGCGATGGCGGGACGATTGGGCGTGATCGGGGGATGTTGTGAAGTTGGAGCCACACAAGCGTTCAAGGAGCGGAATAGCACGTGATCAGGGATCGGCGTCGCACGGACCGATTGCCCCACCGCGCGGTCGGCGCGACTCATCTGGCAGGCACGGCGGCTTAACTTTTGAACGCGACGCGCGACCGCCATGCTGCCTTGCACGCAGTATTCTCCCCGCCATTTGCGCCTCTCCTCTTACAAACGACTCCACTTGCTGCCGTTTGCACAGAATGTCGGCCTTTCACGGCAGCTCTGCCATCAGTACGCTCTTAGACTCGAGACAGCTGCAACTTCAAACGCTAATGTCCGCTCCCAGACAAGAGCGGCAAGAAATTCGCTCCCAAAGTTGCCAGACGCCGTCCCGCCGCCGTGTCCGGATCCGAAGCTGCCTCCGCCACTTCAAGCGCTGAGCAAACCCCTGTCGGCACGCCCGCTGCTTCCGCAACCCCCGCGAACGAGCCTGCCCAGCCCGAAACCCAGCATGTCTTGCCCACTCCGCCCGCGACCCAGGCCCCTTCGCAAGCCCAACCTGCTGTAGCTGAGCAATCTGCACCCTCTACTGTCCTGTCCGCTTCGATATTATCCACACCAGTGTTGCAAAATGATAGCGCAGAAGCTGGAGGAAGGTCACCAAAGCGAAGGAAGGTCGAGTTATCCACATCAGGGCGAGAAGCGCCGACTGAAGCGGGTCAATCAGTACCATCGACGCGGTCTGATGTCACTGCTCCGCCAGTGACAGTGCTACCTTCAGGTCAGCCAGCTGTAAGCAATATACGGGGAACAAGTGCAGAGACGACTCAAGAAGCGGCTAGTAATACCCATGATGTACCGTCACACGCTTCGGTTCCGGAGCTATCTCGTCCAGCCGGAGAGCAGAACAACATACTCGGCCCCGCCCCGCAAGATGACTCTGAAGATGTGTCGGCGAGCAATGTGCCAAAGTCGAAGAAGGTCGCACAACCAAAGGCTGTGAAGAGGCGTGGCGCGGCACGGCTTTCGAATAAGGATCTTATACGAGAGGTCATGGGGGGAAATTCGGGAGTTACTAAACCGTCAACGCAAGCCCCCACAACAGAACAAAGTCCAGTTAATGACGGAGACACGCAAGGTGTCGGTTCTGACAATGCTCAGCGCCAAGAAGAACAAACACCTCAAGCTGATGGTGAGGCGCAGTCTCCAAATGATGTGCCCGTGCCAAGCAGACCCCCCAAGCGGACACCGAATGTTACGGCGGCAAGGAGAAGAAAGCAAAAGCCAGACACCCCTGCAAGGGATGACCAACCGGCCGCTGAAGAGCAAGTGGAACCAGAAGTGGCTCCGGCAACCAGTGGCTCCACACAGCCCACTGTTACGAGGAAACCACGCCAACCTCGCACTAGAAAACGTGCAGAAGCAGACATGCAGAATCCCGCAGACGGTCCAAATGAAGATGCTGCGGCGCCTAAGCCGAAGCGCGCTAGGAGGAAGCCCAAGGCCCCAGCCCGTGTCACCGAGGAGGGTGGTGAAACCGAAGGAGCAGAAGCTGGAGGCACAGTTGATCCAGCAGAAGAACAGGGCGTCGCGACACGAAAGCGGCCCAAGAATATCTTGGACCATCTCGTTTTTGATGATGAAGATCGCGAAAACCCTGAGAAAACAAGGATCAATTCCAGCTCCATGCCCATGGGTGTGCTCACGAGGGACATCTCTCTGGTTGGTACCATATCGCAACGAGAAGAAGCACTGTCGAAAATTGATTGGGATGAAGAGAAGCGCAAGCGGATGGAAGAGCGTGAGCGCATTGCTTTGGGAGAAGAACAAGCTCAAACACAAGCAGAGCGAGACGAAGCGCTTGCAAGGCTTCAGGAGGCCGCCAACACTGCCGCTGCTTCTGCACAAGCTCCACAAATGCGGGTCGTGAACGGCGTTGTGATGCTTGATCATTCATCTACACAGGTGGATCGCAACGCACGAGCGCGCGAGGACGCCGAAGAACTTCAGGAAATCGAAGAAGATGAGCTCACAACCCGAGTCAATCAAATGTCCTGGATCAAGGCCAATCGCAAAGACCCGCGTGAGAGGACAAGCTGGGGCCCAACTCGTGCAGACCGGTGGTCGGAGGAGCAGACGGACATGTTCTACGATGCACTAAAAATGTTTGGCACAGACTTCTTCATCATCAGCAAGATGTTCCCTGGAAAAACGCGCGCGAATGTGAAACGAAAGTTTGTTAAAGAAGAGCGGCTGGATCCTGACCGCATCAAGCGTGCTCTTATCGGCGAGAGTGTTCCGATGGACTTTGAAGAGTACAAGCGAAAGACCGGCAAAGACGACGATTTCTTCCGTGACCCTGAGCAATTGCGTCAAGAGCTGGCCCAAGAGACGGAGCAACAGAGACAGGAGGTGGAGGAAGCACAGGCAAGATATGCCGAGCAGCAGAGGCAGCGCAAGCTGGCCAAACAAGGCGGTGCAGATGTCGACGGCGAGGAGGGTGAGGGTGGCAAGAAAGGAAGGAAGAAGAAGGGCGAAGGCAAGAAGGGTAAGAAAAGCAAGGCGCCGATCGGTGGTGAGGAGATCGAAGTGGTTGAGTTTGAGGGCGACGAGCTTGAACACCGAAGATGATCCACAGCAACTGAACCGGAGGAGGAGTGAGGAATTCGGCCTGCATGCTTGCGTGAATCAGAGTCTGACATGAAGAACGCAGCCACAAATATCAGGATTGTTGAACATGCAGTGCAGGTTTCCATGTGCATGCGTTTCCTAATACAGCTTAATACCTTGCAAGGTGAGGATATCACAGGACCTCAAACACGTCTTTCCAATGCGCCACAGATGCGGGACTATGGCTAGGTGCTAGGCGTGTGATTTCTTTGTTCAGATTCGCCATGGGCACACTTATACCGCGCCCCTACACGAGGACCAAATGAATAGCGACCGGTGCAGACTCCGAAGAATATGGCGTTTTGCCAAGTGCGGTGTCACCCCGAAAGAGGTTGGAAATACGAATCATGTCCTTGGCCGGCAGCGTCTGAGAAATGTCACGGTTGTGATTAGGCCCAGATTGCAAAGCAGTGTTCAACGGCAGCACTCATCACGGCGCACGCATGGCTGACGAGGGTTTGCCGCAATTCATCAACAGCGCAAGTGGGACGACAGACATGGCTATGAGTTACAAGGACACGGTCCAGGCGGAGGCCAGGGTTCGTCCAACTGCTGGGTCGCAGCTTGTGGCACCGCAGGTACACTCTAACCCGAAGCCGCCCACGCGTCGGTCGGGAGCGTGCTTGGCTCACTCCTGTGATGCAGCTCTTCCGGGTCTGCCCGAGCTTTCATTCGCCAGTATTACCCGGCGCGGGCCGATGTAGCGGCAGGTGGAGGGTTTTTGTGGAAGTGGAAGTGCTACTGAAAAAAGGCGAGCAACAACATGCATATAGGAGCTCCCACGCCTCCTAGCTCCAAGTAAGCGAGCCGAAATCGCGCCCGCGTGCGCTTGCAAAACGCCGGGGCGAATCCCTTAACCGGGAGCGGCTGGCAAGCTCGCAAGGCCCCCCGTTGTCGGGAACTAATGGGTCAGCGCAGAGGTAAGGACGGCAACTACAGCAGTCGTGGCTTCCGCCGTCTGGCCGCGTAGAGTTGTGTCTCACACTAAGACCGAGCCATTCCAGACTGAGTTCACGCGCAGTCTAGACTGCTTTGTTGCCCCAGACACCCTGCCACCGAGTGCGCGCGGCCTTGGACATCCATGATTTGATCCTCTTTCATCCCCAGCCCGCCCAGAGCCCTTGCCCCGCGTTGTCGTGTCGCCCGCCGAGCTTTGGACAGCAACGACACAACAACGGTAAAACCAAATTTTTTTGTCTACGTCTCTCAGGCCTCCAGGACCGGATTCTCGAGCATGCTACGGCTCTAGCTCACCCACATCCCCGTCCATCCGATTCCGCTCGCAAGCCGCGGTCCCAAGGCTCCCTTCCCGCAACCTTCCTCCGCAGTGGCTGAAGGGCAATGAGCAATGGTTCTCTAGCAGCGGGCAGTGCCCAACCCTTCCTGGACAGGAGGCCCGGGACGCACGCCAGAGAAGACGGATCCTCCATCTACTTCATGTGCAACGACTTCTGGTGCAGCAGAAGTACCGATGCAGATGCCCGTTCGCGTTCGTGTCGCGCCTCCGTTGATGAAGTCAACAAGATCTGCCTGTTGGATTTTCTCCAGATTGACACTCGGCCGACCTTTGTGTTAAATCTGGACACCTTCGACGAATCCTACAGTCTTCTTCACCCCATCTACTGCAATCCGGCCCTGTTGGAGTTTGCAAACGGCAACCTGCTCGCTCTCATCACTGGAAAAGGCGATGCCAATATCATCGGTGCGTTCTCCACAAGAAAACATTCGAAGTTCAGAAAGTGGGCGTATGGTGAAGAGGTCGATTCTCGCAACGGGACCTTTAGGTATGGCAACATACAGTGGACGAAGGTGGTGGTCATGGGCCGATGGGCCGTTGTCAGCAGTGCACCTGACAGACCGCATCCGACCTTGGGCTTTGGGGGGCTTGCTCCGGGTCCTGTACAGACAGTCACTAGAACGCCAACGTCTTTTGGATCTCCAAGCATTGATCCGGATGTGCGACCTAACCGCAGTGTCCAGCACCGATCTCACAGTGATGACATTATCATCACGCAGCATACGAGTTCGGAACCGGAATTTGTAAGGCTTCCAGTGGAATCGATAAGCCGGTTATCCAGGGTAGATGGTGCCAACGACCTTAGCGATATGCTGTCTCCCGGTGGCTTCGATTGGACGGGTGATCATCCCATTCCAAACATGTCTGACCATGTCAGATTCGCCCGATCCGTGGACTGGAGTCAAACACCACTAGGTCCGATGTGCACGTGGACCGCGCCTCTCCGTACGATCAGTAATCTCGTCATGCGAGATCCCAACCCTTCCGTTGTATTTTGGGGGAAAGAGGTCGTCATGATCTACAATGAAGCTTACATCGAGCTCATTGACCAGATGCATCCTATGGCCATGGGGAAAAGCGCCAGGGCGGTGTTTAAGGATTACTGGAACCACTTCGTCCCTGTTGTCACTCGAAATATGTTGACTGGAGAGGCCGTTCCAGAGAAAGACCTGCTAATCTTCCTTCAAAGAAGTAACATTTTGGAAGAGACGTATTTTTCCTTCACCTTCCTTCCCGTTGTGGATGATCAAGGGAACGTCGTTGGCCATTACGAACCCGTGACGGAGAACACAAAGCAGGTTATTTCTGATAGACGACTATCCACATTGCTAAGGCTTAGCGAGGAAACCTCCACCGCCCGAACCCTGGATGCTTTCTGGAGGTCCATATTGCAGGCTCTATCGGACAACGACAAAGATGTACCTTTCGCCACGATATACGCTGTTGAGGATGACGGAGATTCAAGCGACTGCTCTTCCCTGAGCTCGATCAAGAGTGTTGTGGGAGAATGCTCGTTGAAAGGCTCCCTTGGAGTGCCTGAAGGCCACCCTGCCGCTCCTCCTCGTCTCGACCTTCTGGAGGGTATCGAAGCCTTCATCCCCTACTTGCACGAGGCCGTTGACTTGAGAAAGCCAACCTTCGTGGACTTGGCCGATCCGGCTTTCCCTATGAACTTGCTCAACGGTATAAACTGGCGTGGATTTGGCGATCCCTGCAAGTCGCTTGTCATCTGTCCCATCACGCCGACAACTAGCAGGAACGTTCTGGGCTTTTTGATTGTTGGACTCAACTCCCGCCGTCCGTATGATGACGACTACCAGCAGTTTATGAGTGTTACGGGCAGACTGCTGGCTACCTCGCTAGCATCCGTTGTCCTGCACGAGGAAGAGATTCGTTCTCGTGAGAAGATGATTGTGCAGGCAGAACTTATGAAGGCACAGCTGGCAGAGCAACTCGACATTACCCGGAAAGAGGTGGCAAGAAATGAGAAGAAATTCCAGCGCTTTGCGGAGCGTGCGGATGTGGCCATCTTCATTGTCGGCTCGGACGGCCACTACACATACCGGAATCAGTCGTGGTTCGAAATTTTCCAGCTGGAAGACGACGATCTGGACGTCAGAGATGCCTGGCCCCGCCTTTGCTACGATGAGGATCTACCGAAGTGTGAGGAGTTTTTCAAGCGTCTTATGGTTGAGAACTGCGCAATCACTTTCGAACTTCGCCTCAGGAGATCGTGGACGCCAGCAGTCGACGATCCAGCCCTGATAGCAACCGATGGTCACTCAGAGCAAAGCGTCTGGATCCTCTGTTCTGCGTACCCTGAGACCTCAGACAATGGAGAAATCAAAGAAATCGTAGGATGCGTGACGGATATCAGCCGCCAGAAATGGGGCGAGTGGCTGCAGACGCAACGAACGGAAGATGTGCTGAAGTCAAAACGACAGCTCGAGAACTTCATCGACACCACAAGCCATGAGATGCGCAACCCTCTCGGCGCAATCATACAATGTGCCGACGGAATCATAGCATCGCACGAATCTTACATCAAGTCCATCAGGACTCTCAGCGAAACGGAACGGAGACTGTTGGAAAGTGGCATCGATGCCGCACAGACCATCTCTCAGTGCAGTCAGCATATGAAATGCATTGTCGACGATGTCTTGACCATGTCCAAAGTCGACTCTGGCCTTCTCATGATGACACCTGTAGATGCACAGCCGGAAATTCTTGGACAGCATGCTATCAAGATGTTTAAAGCCGAGGCCAAAGCGGCAGGAGTTCATCTTACATTCACAGTTGATCCGTCGTTCCGTCAGTCAGGCCTTGACTGGGTGTCGCTTGACCCAACCCGGGTTCTTCAAATCATCATCAATCTTATCACAAACGCCATCAAGTTCACCAAGCTTGAGTCACGACGCATAGTAACGCTAAGTCTCGGTGCGAGCATGGAACGTCCGTCCAGGTGTATAGTCTGCGACATAGACTACATCCGCACCTCCGCCGCTCCTGAGGCGCCTTCGCTCGTTGCCGACTGGGCTAAAGGCGAGTGCGGTTTCATCCAGTTCGCTATCCAGGACACAGGTCGCGGCCTTACAGATGATGAGAAAGACCTCCTCTTCACCCGCTTCTCACAGGCCTCGCCGCGCACCCATATCCGCTATGGCGGCAGCGGCCTGGGCCTCTTCATCTCCCGCCGTCTTACCGAGATGCAGGGCGGAGCGATTGGTTTTTCTTCACATACACGCGCTGGTAGCACATTTTCCTTCTACATCAAGGCCCGCCGTAGCACGCCGCCAAAGCTACTCGACGCGATGGCCAGTGGCCCTGATCCGGACGAGATGAGCGATGTGCTGACCCCTCTGACGCCCGTCGGCAGTGCGGATGACGAACTGATTAAAACGCCGCCGCCGCCACTAGTGCATTCACCGGTGCGGGCGCGATCGGATTCGCTGGAGCACGATCTTGAAGAAGACTGCAGCCCGGCCAAGAGACCGAGCCTACACCGCCCACATTCGAGCTTGTCAGACCCCCTTCACGTGCTACTAGTCGAGGACAATCTGATCAACCAGCGTGTTCTAGCCAACCAGCTGCGCAATAAGGGCTGCCTTGTCTCCGTCGCCAATCATGGCGTAGAAGCGCTGGCATTCTTGCGCCGGACGACATATGCCTCCCCCAGCTACGTCAATCCCGCGAGTACCAACGACAATAGTGATGGGAGTGGTAGTTTTCCGCCAGTAATGGCACTTGATGTCATCTTGATGGATTGGGAGATGCCGGTCATGGATGGGCTGTCGGCCGTGAAGGAGATCAGACGGATGCAGAAGGAGGGCGTGCTCAGGGGCCATATCCCGGTCATCGCAGTGACAGCGAATGTGCGGAATGAGCAGATTAACCAGGCGATGGAAGCGGGAATGGTAAGTTCATGACTTCCCCTAGAACATTGCGAGTGTTATTAGGCTTTAAGAACTGCAGCTGATGAAATTATTCACAGGACGACGTTGTATCGAAACCTTTCCGCGTCCCGGAGCTCTGCAAGAGAATGCGAAGCCTGATCATTCAGCTGAAGAGCTGAAAGCTCGATCGAAGATACGACGAAGCAGCCTCTATTCGTACACGGATATATCTACGTGATGCACCTGGGCGAGTCTTCTCTGTTACGCCGTAAACGCAGCAACGAGTCATTGTCTTCCTTTCGATGCCTCATTTGGATCTTCTTTCTTCGAAGCTCTATTTGACATGGATTCCCTCGGTAACTCGCAGTCAGATTCCCTTTGTTTTGTCCTATTCACTCCTTTAGTGGACGGCGTATACGGGCGTTCGGAAGCTCGAAGGCGCATGAGGCCGTTATTCTGAGCGGCTTTTTCTGATCTCGCCTTTTCTCTCATGTTACGCTGGCTAAGATGGGTAACAAAGATGGCATTTGGCGCTCTGGTAGAACGGCATTAGTCTGTTTTCTCTTTTCACTATTTCTTTTCCGCTGGAAGTTCCACTGAGGAATGATGATCATACGACCTGGCAGAGCTAGCGCCCCGATAGTAGAAGTCTGGATCGTTGGCTGAGCCCGCTTGTGGGAAGGCTAGGCAGACGTCCGCTGGACGGTGGCCCGGAAGGGGAATCGCAAGGACACATACGCATGGAGACAAAGAGAAATAGCGCCACTAAAGTAGCACAAAATAAAGTTAATAGGAGATTGGACTTGCCTTGTTTTGTAATCCATATCTACCTGGCATTGCTGGATATCTGGGACGCTAAGCGCTTACTAAAGCTTCGTGAAAGTCGCCCAAGTGCTAGCCTGCAGCCTCTGGGCCAAGAAGTAATAAGTCTGTATCATCGTAGGCTCCCACTACTGACAGCATCACGCAATTTTGAAACGAGACTGTTCTAGCCACGTCTCGCCATCCTCAGTTCTACACGCTTCAACTGCCCTCGTTATGAGTCATTACCAGGGCACATGACACAAATTCATCAATATTGGCGGGAGAGAGAATGGCCGGTTCTAGATTCAGCCAGCAGCAGGCGCTTGCGCAGGAATCCAGTTGTAGCAAGGTCAATGTAAGGTCTCCCACGCAGGAGATTTGCAGACTCGTTGTGTTCGGGAGATACTGGCTCTCATTGACTGAATTACTTCATGTCCATTTTGTTCTTAGCGGCAATCGAAGATTAATTGTGCACCTACTCAACTCCGTGTACTTTTTCATGGGTTTGATTTTGCTTTTTCTTATTCATCTCCTTCCTTGCTCTGATGAGAAATAAAGAAACTGCATTTGCGGGCTTGAGTATCCAATTGTGTAGGATATATCAAGTACTTCGGATACTTAATCATGCTGGATCTATTAATTTAAACAGAGCTAAAGGGGTTTATTATTTAGCGTTATACTCTACTCCCGGTTAAACGTGACCAAAGACTATTAATATCTCAAAAATAGATTCTTGGGGGCGAGATAGAGAAAAGCGATCGTTGCAGAAAGCTACAATAATACCTTTTAGTTTTAAACACAATATTTTTTAGTGCAAAGAATGTACCAAGAAAAAAAAGCTTGCGGCGCGTCCAGGCTCACAAGAGCAAAACAAAAGTTACAATAGCTAGAATTCCCATTAATGATCTGGTAAAAGTAGGAGTCGAAGTGGTAAAAAGTTAAAAAGAAAAAAAGAAACACCGATGAGGATGATGCGATTCGAACGCATAACCTTCAGGAAACTCCAGAGTGTTCGCTGGAATCTGACGCGCTACCGTTGCGCCACACCCCCGATGTTGTTGAATTACACTCAACGCTTTGTGTATATATACTGCATTTTTAATTCACTGACAAGTTACGTAGAGGTCCGTGCTCAGTTATCCCTTACTTAGATACTGCCGCACCCTCCTCTTACCTCCCTTCGGCTCACCGCTTTCGTAACTTATATATGCCTGCAAAATCAGTTTTCATAACGGCAGTTACCACCAAGATGACCTACACTCACTATATAGATGGATTCGAAGACTGAAGCGGGAGTCATCTTGTTGACGCAATGCACGAGCGAAAACTATCCGAGCGCTTGCTCGGCCTTGGGGATTTTTGAAAATCAGGACGAGCCTCATGGTGTAGAAAGAAGAAGGCATTTCGCAGTTGATCACTGGGGTCTACATGAAGGAAGCTGTAGAGACGTGGTTCAAATTGCAATGCTTACTACCTTTCTTGAGCATTTGACCAATCACGAGTACCCCTACATGTGATCTACGCGCTAGCGTGTTGTACCCTTCGCGTCGTCGCACGCGTCCCTCTCGACACACTTGTCCTTATCGTCGTTTCAATGTGAACTGCCAACCATGGCAGAGTCGTCCAGACCACAGCCTAACATCATTGACTTGGGTAGCGACTGTAGCATCAGCGACAGCCATTCCAGCATCAGCGACGACCAGTCCAGCGACGACTCCAGTAGTGACATTAAGTTCCAAGCCGGCGAAATCGAAAGCAGCTCCTATGTCGACGACTTCGTAATCTCGCTTTGCACCACCCTGGATTGGTTCTGTCGTGACGATGTTGGCACCTTTGCGCATTCAGCGCCGATCGGCGATGAGGTGTTCAAAGACCCGCAGATTCACATCGATGGCATCGGTAGGATTCCCATGCCCCTTAGTATCGAACATGCGGAGAAGATTGTCGCGCTCTCCGAGAAGGGAACACTGAAGCCGAATGCTTTTCGTTTCGAGAATCCATTGTGGGAACAGCGCGTGCTGCACCGCCTCGTAGATGAGGCCGTCAAAGAGTTGAGAATTGGTGGCAAACCGGATGCGATCGGAGCCCAACTGCGAGAGATGCAGCTGTGTAACAAGGATACAGGTGTCGACGTGCCGTCCATGTGAGCCAGAGCTGCACGGACGCTGGGTCTCATGCTGACGTATTGGGCAGGAACGAGGCACTCCTTGGCGCAGTTGGAACTCTCGTTGTCTGCCTGCCCTCGCCGCACCAAGGAGGTGATGTGCATGTGAAGCTAGCCTCGGCTGAGGAGAAACTCACAAGCTCGGGGCAGCGGCCGTCTTTCATGTGCTGGTACGCCCTGACTTTCTGCTTGAACGTGCCACTCCGCTGAATCTGGGCAGGTATCGTGATATCGAACCCGAGATAAAAGCAATTTCATCCGGATACCGTTGGACATTGGTGTACGATATCAAGAACTTTGAACAACCAGACATTTACTCAAGTTCGATGTTGTCCGCACAAACGAGCAAACTCCACGCGAATTTCGAGACCTGGAAGCATCCCGCTTACGATTTAGCACCCCGATACGTCTACGTGCTAAAGAACGACTACAAGAATCAGCTGAGCTTGGATGCACTCTTAGGTGGAGACCTAAATTTGGCCCGCACATTGAAAGGGATTGGTCAGAAATTGGATTTCGACATCTTTCTGGCAACTATTGAAAAGAGACGACACGGACATGTCAAGTTTGTCGATTATGATTACGACGACGACTGGGCAAGCGAAAACCCTGACGAGATCCACGACATGAAGGAGATACTTGAGGAAGAAATCTCCCTGGTTTCAGTTTTCGACCTGAGTGGGCGACTTCTCGTGGAAGATGTCGACATCGAAGAGGAAGAGGTTCTGCAGGGGCACTGGGAAGACGATGACGCAGCATCAGAGACGGACCTGGAAGACAGCAGCGACCATGCTTGCGCGACGCATAAATTTCGAGGGACCGTAAGTATATTGATCTTAGACGGTGAAGATTGGCTTGCTAAATGATCTATCCAGGCACTTGTGATGATGTCGCACGATGAGGCCAGAGAGTTCCTTGCACATGAAAGATGCTCAACAGCTGTCATGTTTGACCATCTGCGCGAACAGCAAGTAGATGATGCGGACGACACGAAAGCTATCTCAGCTTTCAAGGACTTTCTTCTTCGCAGGTCAGCCGACATGGTACTCTACGGTGATGATCTTGGCGAGCTTGAGTCCATCATCCAAGCATGCATATCCCTAAAGGACACTGAACTCTTTAATTCTGTTGCACTGCCACTCAAAAAGCCGTTGTCGTCCCAAGGACTTTCTGACTTGTCTTCCTGGATATGGGAATCCGGATTTCAGTGTTTTGAGGCAGGGTAAGGTCGGTGGTTCACTTTGCAGAACTTTCACTGACTCTTACAGGCTCGAGAAGTTGACCCCCGACAAAGCCGTGTTCGAAACTCATGACTTTCTTCAGGCTCTTCTAGGCCGTCGGTCTTCCGAACGACCGCAGCTAGGCCCTGGAGCGGAATCCGGCTTCTTTGATTTTGTTGAGCGAAAAACCCATGAGGTGTTGGGGAAGGTCTCTCAGCTCTACTTGAAGGATGTAACAGCATTGGTCGATATGTTGAAGACCACTCGCCGTTTTGAGCAAACTGCTCAAAAGTAAGTAATATTTTGTCATGCATTCGTAGACACCGCTAATGATTGGGGTTGTAAGGGTCGAAGAAGCACTCAGACGACACGCCAGAAACACACCAGTCCTTTTGCACTTTTTAAATGAGGTTTCATCGATGTCTGAGGAGCGACACGAAAGCTTCATGCCGGAGAGGTTTCCAAAGATTTTTGCAGACATGGCCGCTCGCTTCTCCTTACGTCACGACACCCGAAAGCTCGACAAAGCTGTCCGAGAGCAAAAGCCGAAGAATCCGCCGTATGGATATCGGTACCCAGCGCCCGAACCAAGCTTAAACAACAGCTTGTGGACGCTAAGTCCAGGACCGCGGCGTGTGCCGGATAGCGACTGGCATCTTCTTTCAAGTGTCATTGCACGGGCGTTGGAGCTTAATCTGGAAGACGACGTCGCTCCCATCATTCAGCAGCTTCTGGCCGAGTGCAATCACCCCAATCGTGGCGTTGCCAATCACGCCAATCCTTGCATGGCCGACCGCGAGGCAGGACGCATGCTCCTGCCTTTTATGAAGTTCCTCGCTCAGAAAATTAAAGGTGATGGATTGAAGACCCTCGCCGCATTCCCAAAGATTCGGGAGCTCTACCGAGACTTCGTCACGTTCTACTTCAACCGCGCCGTCGGCAAAGAGCCAATTTTTGATTGGTCGCGCACCCCTGCCCCATCTGCTCCGGGAGATAATCGTCAGAACCATCTCTTCATCACGGATCGTGGACATCTCAATGTATTTCTGCAGGACCCGAATTACATTGAAGGTCGCTTTCCACTGCCAGGGTACCGCCAGAAGAAGCTGATTAATTCCGTGCCCCAAGCAGCTGGTTGCACATGCAGCATGGCCACAGGAAGCCTCGTTGTCCGGAAGGGGAAATGGGCGTGGGAGGCGGCACGAAAGAGGTGGGTGGAAGATTGCAAGGAATTCGTTTTGGAAGTAAAGAAGCTCGGCAATGTCATTGACCTGGAGGCTGTCCTGGGGGAGACTTATGGAAACGTGGTCTTGCACTCGGAGCAGAGGGCGATGGAGGAACCTGTAGTGGTAGGTGACGATCACCACGACCTCGTCCCACCACACAAGGTATATGAGTTGGACGGAACGCGGCCATTTTTGGGGGCGCAAATGGCATCTTTGATGGAAAGCGGAGATCATCCGTATGCCTCTTTTTACGGTTACCCTCGTAAGGGCCAGCCGGGGACGCAACGGCAAAACTTGGTCCAACCGCCGTTGGCTGGTACCAATCAGACCCCAGGGCCTCTCTTTCCAACCGCTGGGAATGTGCTTCCACAGTCCAGTGCGCTGGTGGCCAGGACAAAGCGCAAGGCTGGAGAAAACATGGTGAATACGGACGAGAGCAGGGAAGCGGTGAGACGGAAGGTGGATGAAACTAATGTATTGGACTTGACGGACGATTAAGCCGGGCATGCGTAAGTTTTGCTAATTGGAGTTTCGTAGTAATGAGATTGTTTGAGGACGGAAGACTGTAATCGAATGCTGATCTCCTCGCATGCCACTGCCTAGGAATTACGCATGGAAAGGAGAAATGGCCCATTTCTTTTTCCGTGCAAACACAGTGGCGACCGTCTTATCTCATCCTGCGTCACGTCGCTGGTGTCCTGAATCCCCGTCCCCACTCATTGTGGGTCCTTTCTCCTGCATCCGCTCTGGCTCGCTGTCGCACGGTGCTCTTTTGACTCTACCCCACACCTGGAGGCGTAATAACTGCCGATGACTGCCGTGCCCACCTTTTCGGCTGACGAAGAAGCTTTCAGGCGCTGTTGGCATCCGCGCTTGTGTTTCTTGGTGGCGTCTTTTGCTGCACGGCTCCATTGGCCTCGCGTGAGCTGGACCCTTGCAGCGATGCATCCTCCCGTTATCTGGACCCTATAGCATCGTCTCTGACCGTCTGGAGGCCGCGTGGCAATATCATATAACAGCGGTCAAGGTGGTATGACTGTTGGCCCCCAAGAGATCTTCACCCGACTCTCAAAGCCGTGAACTCTCGTGAGATGGCTTCGGAGCCTCTGCGGTGAAGATGTCTCTCCACCTCTAATTGCCTTATTTAAGGACTTCAAGCTTCCAGTGTAGCCTTTTTGCATCAGGTCCAACTCTCGACAAGGACCTCTCCATCTTCCAAAGTAGACTGATTCACCCCGAACTCCAATCACCACAAACCAGCGCCAATGCCCAAATACGTCCTCACAGGCTGCGACGGCAACCTCGGCAGCATAGCCGCCAGCTACGCCCTGACGCTCGCCGGCCCGGACGACGAGCTCATCTTCACCAGCCACAAGCCCGACTCCATCGACCGCGCCCTCGTCCGCGACTGGACATCCAAAGGCGCGCAGCTCGTCCAGCTCGACTACGGCGACCCGGAAGCCAGCCTCGCCCGCGTCTTCGCCGGCGCCGCCGCCGTCTCCTTCATCTCGACCTGGCTGATCGGCGAGGGGCGGCGCGCACAGCACGCCAACGTCATCGCCGCGGCCAAGGCCGCAGGCGTGCAGCGCATCTGCTACACCAGCTTCGTCGGCGCAGACCTGCGCGAGACGGTGGATAAGGAAGAAGACATGCCGTTCCTGCCGCGCGACCACGCCTTCACCGAGGCGCTGATCCGGCAGAGTGGCTTGCAGTACAACATCCAGCGCAATTATCTTTATATGGATAACGTGCCGCAGTTCTTCGCGCAGAGCTTTGCGTTTTGCGGCGACCGCTGGCTGTGTAATAGTGCCGGCGCGAAGGGCGCGTTCGTGGCGCGCGAGGATTGCGGGAGGGTGTTGGGCGCGTTGCTGATGGGGAGGGGTGAGCCGAATCAGGTGTATGCTGTCACGGGGCCGGAGCCGGTTACGTACCGAGAGGTGTTTGAGTGGATGGCGGCGCAGACGGGGTACGCGGGCGAGTTTGTGGAGATGGAGGACGGGGAGCTGGAGCGGTGGTGGAGGGAGCGCGGGTTGCCGTATGATGTGTACGGGGACTTCTCGAAGCTGCCGTGCAAGCTTTGCATGTATGACCTCCTTTGCTGCGGGCAGATGGTGGCGTGGGGGCATATGAAGGAAACTACGGATGCTGTGGAGAAGTTGACGGGTCGGAAGCCGCTTTCGTTTAGAGAGGCCCTGTTGAAGTACAAGGACATCTTTCCCAAGCCTCAGTAGGCTCCGCGAGCGTTCATGTAAGGCTGAGAGGTGGAATTAATCTAAAATGTGGCTGATTACAAACAGGTAAATAGTATTAAGAATGGACATCTACTTCTCCGCGAGACCTTTATCTGGCATCAACTACCTCCACACCCCATCTTGTCTCCCCGTTGCTACCTTCGAAGGATCCCAACTTAGTCATAACGCCATATCTATCCCGATGCAGTTCCTCTATGTTCTGATCTCGAACCAATTGCAGTAGTTTTTCGCTCCCACAAACCAAGCCCAGCACATCGCCGATGCATTCAACATCCCTCAGTAACAGCTTCAAATACATCCGCTGCATAATGGCTATGACAATCGCACTACCAGCGAGCCATATAATGATAGAAACACTAAGCCACACAGAGACGGAATTCATCCGCAGCAGCAGTAAAGGTGTCTTGACTTCAACAGTAGCCGTGCGATTGGTGTGCGAAATCGGATGCAGCACATCTTGATACTCGGGTGTTTCGCCCGAAGTTTCGTTATATATCTTCGTCAAATCTGACGGGAGGCTTGCATTTATCGGCTGGTATGCCCAGCTCCCCGAGTCAAAGGAGACATTGCTGCTGACGTAGTGCTGGAAAAATGTGGAGAAGGTGGTTTGCGCCAGGTCTTCCAGGATGGCGGCGTCGAGAAGGGCTTGAGGATTTTGGTCCGCAAGTTTGTACATCGAGTACGTCATAAAGTCCAAGTTTAAGCCGTTGTCTCGGTCACGTACGTTGAAAGTGTTGTCGTCCGTATTTTCGTCTCCGTAGCCTGCAGTGTCCTGCGCGCCTCCAATGTTCTCGAGGTCAAATGCGCCCAAGAGTGAGTCTAGGAATAGAACGCCGTAACTGTATTCAAAAGGGGGAATATTAGCTAAAAGTCATTTAACCGTATATCATTAGCCTTAAGACTTACCTTGCAGTCACATTATAGGAAACTTCATCATCTGATGAGGTTCTGTTTACTGCTAACTCGTGGCGCAAAAGACCATCTGTCCAAGGAGTATCGATGATGATCGGTTCTTCCAGTATGTCAAATGACTGTACTTTGCCGTTACTTTGGTCCACTGTAACCTTGGCCGCCGCGGACTCTATGATTGGTTTACAGCGGAGAGCTTGTATCGATGACTTGTCCATGTAGAGCATATGTTCCGGAGAGGTGGAACTTGAACCGGAACCACGGTATTTAGTTGACATATTGTATCCATCTCGCAAATCACCATAGATCCATTTCGTGGTAAAGTTTCGGGGCCATATGCTTGATGGGAACGGAAATTCTGCGGCATCAAAGGGTGACCAGTATCCAATGGCGGCGGGAGCCTGTGCTGGATCACTTGCTGTTTCGTTGACGCAACATCTGGGCCGAGAAGGATTTCCGAGAAACGACGTATCTAGAAAGTTGTTCCTGAATGTAGTCCGACCGGCGCGAAGCTCATATCCGGTATCCATGTCCTTTGGGTTGGAGCTCACATTCCAGACTGTCGAGTTTGTCAGATCCCATTCCGTAAGCCATGCCGAGATGTTGTTCAAGTTGTCGTAAGGCGTGCATTCAATACGGCCTCTGATGCCAGGAGTTGATACGGTAATGTTGGTGGCCACGGGCAGTAGTCCCTTCTCTGTCAATTCATTCCTGCCTTGGGCGGCAAGGGAGTTCGATATGCCGTTCACGTCGATGGGAACAAAACTCCAGCCATCGAGACTCCAGGCCGGTTGTGATCCATTCAATGCAATCTGTATGGTAGCACTGTATAGCCAGTTGGTCGAAAGGTTCCCAAAGAGATTCTCGAGCACTTGAGCCTGATGAGATGGACCTGCATGGACTGATGGACCAGCCGTTGTGGTATACAAGAGTGGGATTTGACGCAACTCCAGTTGCCGTTCTACGATATGGGTCTGAGAGATGCTACCTTGTTCACTCTCGAAGAGTGCTGACATAGACATTGTTACTGAGAAAGAATAATCAGTTCATAGCGTCCGATATATGTATAGGAGCTCTACTTACGTATAGGAGAGAGTGATGTTCCAACAGTAACAAAGGATAAGAGCCAGTGTTTATTTTAAAGCAGCCTTCACGGCTGCCCATATCCAGTACGATGACTGGTAAGACAGACCAGCACCATGAGAAATACATGCCGGCCGTTCTGCCATGGACAGATAAGGTTGTAGACGGCGAAAGGTTGTATCCATCGCGCCCCACCACAAGTTAATCAGGACAGCAACCAGGGTCGTGATAATGGATATCCACGAGCCTGAAGATACGCGCGTGTCGAGCAGAGTCGCTTGTTGGACAAATGCCGATTGGTACAGTAAGAAACGATCTGCGAAGCCTTTGAGCACAATAATTGCAGCTGCAACAGCAGCAAGCAACAGTAAGAGTGCGATAAATGCGCGCAACCGAATGACCACGGGTCTCCAGTCCTGAGCTGAGGAGGTTGACTGATTCGCGTTGGCTACTTCACTGTCAGAGAAAAATCCAATGAAGCGAGTGTCACAACTTACTGGCGCTGATGTCATAAGCAGCCTCCGATGCGTCCATTTCGTGTAGTTCGTTCGCTCTCATGTAGTACCGCCTATCTTTGAGCTTGTCGTAGAGTTCAGCCTTGTTCACTTGGCTGTGCGCTTTTAAATTCATCCGCGTTTGATCTTCTCCTGTGAGCAAGCCCGTAAGGCAGGTGGTTGTTGCGGGATCTCGGCTCAAATTGAGAGGCCTCATCCGAAGCCGAGAAATGGTCCAGACAATCAAAGAAAGCAGGAATGATACTAAAAGAAGTATTGCCAGTGCGATAGCAATATCTGCAATGACCACAACACGTCTTTCGATTACCGTAGTACGGCCTCCGATGAGTTCGGTATCCGAAGCACCGTTGCGGAAAAGGGATGATTGGAGAAGCTCTCCCAAGAATCTCTGTTTGATCTTGGTGGCGTGAGCTACCAGCTCTTGATCATCCATCATTGCTCCCATATTGAAATTGTAAGGAGCTCCAAGTAAGGCGGAAAGCCCACCGACGGCGGGACGAGACCTTGTCGATGGAGGGTATATGTATGATGTCCAGTTGTCGTTAAGTGTTACGTTCTGCAGCTCAGTAACATTAAAAAAGCTCTCTGGTACTGGGATCCGTTTACTCCGATACTCGTCCTGGTCGAAGCTGAATTCGGAAGAGGATTCTGATAATTGAGCATGGACTGTAATGTTCGCTGTGTAGTATTTGGCGGTACACAGCTGACCAGCTACTCGAAAGTCGGGTGAAAATGTCCAATTTGCTGAATAGCTTATGTTTGAAGGCGCAAGCCAAGGAGTGCTGAACAGAATCAACTCTCTATCGCGGCACTCCTCGGAATTATTCATTTAAATCGTACCAGGGATGGAATCATCTATTGTCAATGAATACAGAGATGTTCTTGGCCAAGGAGGGGTGATTAATTTCGAGATGTCAGACCACGATGCACCTCCGCTCTGTAAAAGGGCCACCTGGGTCGATATGGCGAGGCCGTAGACACATCCATCTTCTGAACTGAGTTCGATAGAGGCCATCATTCCAGACTCATCCAGCGGCTCGTTGAGAATGTTGTAGGCGGTGTAACTGACATTGTTAATTGACTTATGCAGCAAGGACATTGGTTCGCATTCTAGTTCGGTATTGAAGACTTGCGTTTCGGCCTGCCAAATTTGCGCAGACGAGGAAAGTAGGGGTCCGAGAGGAGCGCTACCTGTCACAGAGTCCGAGGGCCAAAATGGAAGCACTGTGTAGTTATCCGATATCCATGCGGACGTCGAAACATCTTGTAGGATATGTCCGATTGTGCGCAAGTAGGTGTCCCTTCTGGCATGGAGAGGAAGCGGTGAGTTCTGTTTGAACACTGTGCGAGCATACTGGATATCCTTTGTAATTGGTACATCTCTTGGTTCCAGAAAAGAGGACGAGAGAGGTGATATGGCCAGAAATCCTATGATATTAAGGCAGGCAGAGGACACAAGGAGCCAGCTCCTACGGCCGTCGGCCTTCGTGGAGAGCCCACTAGCTAGAGCAGTCCACCAGGCCATTGGTGCCTGGAATATTGTTGTCTTGGCTAAGGAACCACCTGGCCGGGCCAGCCTGGCAAACGGCTCCGTCCTTTTAACATCCTCAAGAAGCATCGTCGTTAACTGGACGTACAGAACAGCAACAAGCGAGGGCGTAAATCTCCATCCGAAAAGGATCTTGGAAGACCCATAATCTTTTCCCAAGCCATGATTTTTACCAGAGAACCAGAAGAGAAGAAGGATAACCAAGAAGAGAACTAGGCTTGTCCCGCTGAGAATACCGAGGAACCATGGTCGCAAAGTGTATGGAAGCCATTTTGGGTTCCGCTGCTCTTTGCCTTCTGTTACTTCTAGAACCCAGGGTGAGTTAGCATTATGCTTGTGACTTGGTCCTTTGGCTCCAATTCATATCGTAGGCGTACTTGTAAGTGCATCTTCCTCTGCTGTTATACTACTCCCGATATTTTCCGCCGGCTCACGAGTAGCAAGAAGGGTACTCTCACTTGTTGCTTCAGGATTCGGGACAGCGGACGGACGGCCTTGGTCGTGGAGAAAGCTATATTCAAATGGACCGTTGTTGCTGTGGGTAATGTCTCCGTTGTCGATTTCCTCGGTAGCGTGTGGATAACTAAGGAGGGGAATTTGAGTTTCGTTCGTGGTGCGATGCACCGGGTTGTCATGCATTTCCACCGGGCATATATAGGTAGGTCAAAGGGGGCCTCGCGTGCTTCAAAGTTGTTGTTGTCGACGAGAGGTGTTTGGGAGGAAGTTCGATCAAGTAGTTCGCTGATAAATATACGCTTTATTTTTAGCCCGGGGAAGTCTTGCTGTGTAACCAACAAGCGTGGCGGTACTTTTTTGTTAGTAGCACGGCCATTTTCCAAGCCGCGGGGATAGAGGTCGTACTGAGACCAATTCGGCCAATGAAATTGCATTTCTCCCTTCGCACGGAGTCGCGCGTTTGCGAGAGGATCCACGCTAAAGGGTACTTAAAAGATTCGCGCGCAACCGTGCATGCCGTGGATGCTTCGCCCCCACGTTAGTCTCAAAAAAGCAGTGATCGTGCCGAGGTTGTTTCGCGGTGAGTTGAGGGCCACTTTCTTTTGAGACCCGTTGTGCCCCGAACAGGGTGGAGCACCACAACTTATCTATCTCCGTGAACGCATATCAATATGCTCCAACGTCTGGCCTACCACTGCATACCACAGAAATACGTCTCGGTTTGCAATATTGTTGTAGAGTCTCCAGTGCTTCGTTTTGGCAGTTCGGCAATTTCACTCATGCCGATCTCGGGCGATAGATATGTGACCGAAGACTCCGAAAGCGACACAACAAGACTACCTTCTGTGTTTACAGATAAAGTCGACATTACAATTCGGCTAGATCCGATAACATCAAGAAACACGATAAGCCAATTGTAATTTAAAAGGCCATTGCCAGAAATATAAGCCTCACGACCCCAGCAGATGCATTCTCGAATTAAAGTTGAAATTAGTCCACTATGCTGACTTTTTTGCTACTTCTCTGCGCCAATTTTGCCACTTCTACAAAAGCGGATTCCTTCAAGAATGGCTTTGGTGTGAACAACAACAACTTTACCTCCACCAGTGATAGCTCCTTTTTGATGCCATTATGCAATGGCATCGATATCGAGGATGCAACAGTGGATGACCTTCAGCGATGGATGACCCTGGGTCAGCTATCGAGCCAGGATCTAGTATCGTGTTATCTTGCCAGGATTGATCAGACAAATCCGTAAGCGCGAAACAGCTGGTCCAATATACTATCAGCTCACACGTGTTGCAGGTTCCTTCATTCGGTGAGCGAGGTCAATCCGGAGGCGCTCTCCATTGCGGCGTCCCTTGACCAAGAGCGGACCAAAACCGGCATTCGTGGACCTTTACATGGCATCCCCTTCATGGTGAAAGACAACTTCTACACAGATGACAAGCATAACACCAGCGAAGGGGGTTTGGTCCTCTTGGGCGGCCGGTATTCTCAGGAAGCGACCGTCGTATCCAAAATCCGCGCCGCAGGTGGTGTCTTGCTTGGGCACGCCGCGCTTTCCGAAGCAGCGGACCACAGAGCCTTGGTCAACTTCTCCGATGGTTACTCTACCCGGGCTGGTCAGACGAGAAACCCGTTCAACTTGACTCAATTGACGTCAGGTAGTAGCGGTGGCTCCGCTGTCGCCGTCAGGATCAACCAGGTTGCTATTGCGTTAGGAACCGAGACGCATGGGTACGAAAAAGTACTCACTCGAGTGCTGTGAGCATGGCTGACTGAGGTCCAGTTCTTTGATGCATCCGTCGGCCCACCTTGGCTTGCGTAGCATTAAGTCGACTCCAGGGCTGATGTCGCGTCACGGCATCATTCCCGGGAGCTTCTATCATGATACCCCTGGTCCCCTGGCTAGGTCATTCAAAGACGTGGCACTTTTGTTGGATGTCATGGCTGGTGCGGACCAATACGACAACCTGACTTTCTCCGCACTTGGTCAACTTCCAACAAATGGCTATGTGGCTCATGTCTCAAGCAAGGATGAGCTGAAAGGAATGAAGATAGGATTGCCCTGGAATCCATATTGGTCAACGAACGCCGTACGTGATATATTTCCGGCAGTGATATCTAAACAACGTTTATTGAATCAGCATAGGCTATCAATACTCCGGGCCAACGAACCTTGTATGAGAGTAAGGTCAAGGAGCTCGAAGCTGCAGGCGCAATAATCTACAACATCACGGTAAGACAAGTCCGCCGGATTCTAATTGCCAAGCGTTTTACTGATATCCTGCAGTACATCCCCAATATCAAGAGCATTGCCAATCCCTACGGTTTTGGCCAGCCCTCCACCATCCCTGCCGAGTATGACCAGCTCATCGCCTACAACACTCTCCTCGCCGTCGCATACGGCGAGTGGTTGATCAACTGGACCTTCCCCGAGGACGATAGCCGCCACGGCATGCACAGCCTTGCCGAGATGGCAGCCTGGAACGACGCCCACAACGCCAGCACCGGCGCCCTGGGCAACTCGACCTGGTGGTTCAACACCGTCTCCGGCCAAGACTTCTACGACGCCGCTGTCGCTACTAACGGAACGATGGGCGACGTGTTCTGGAAGGCTTTCGACTGGGGGCGCCGCACCGCACGAGAGGCCATTGACGGGGGTTACGCCTATGTGCTCGACAACGGCACCGTCATCGAGCTTGACGCCCTCATCGTGCCGAATGACAACGGAGGGGGCGGCGACTCGGCCTGCGCTTCCATTCCTTCGTATGCGGGTTATCCTGTGGCCTCGGTGCCTGTCGGCCAGAATGGCTTTGACGTGCCTTGCGGCATCTGCATATATGGGCGGCAGTGGAGCGAGGCGAACTTGGTGCGTGTAGCATCGGCGATGGACGACCTCTTCCAATGGAATGCCCGGCCGGCATGGCATAACTATGCCACCGCTCAGGGCCCGTGGGATGCCCGATGGCCAGGCTACTCCTGTACACATGAGTCACTTGATAGATATGCCTGTGATCCAGAATAGGGTATGTGGAAGACTTAAAGGCGCCTGTGCCAGCGAGTGCCTGATCTGAACTCAGTGGTCCTTTGTCGTCAAGGCGTTGTGATGGAGATCCTGGCAAACAGTATCAGTATACTTCGATGTAGCAGAAAAAAATGGGACATCAGTAACCTGTAGCCCGCGCCCTTCTTTGGAAAGAAACGCAGATGTCCGTACTCCGCCTAAGCTCTCGGGGTTCTCAAGTGTCCGTGAAACCGTGTCACCGCCTGATCAGAGTTTTCCTCAGTCCATCAAGGTGTTTTTCCCGTGCATGTCTACCTGCACTCTTTCCGCATCAAATTCCGCTGCAACAAAAGCAAATGCATCGCCAACAACATGATGCCCGCCGTGAACGGCACAAGCGGCCGGCAGGCCGCAACCCCTTCTGTTGCCGTGGCGCGCGGTCGTCCGTCGCCATGCCTTTCTCCCTAGCCATTGCCGCCAATTGTTCAACGTGCTAAGATGTCGGGTCAAAGACGCACTCGTTACAATTGACGTAATCGGCGTCGTCGACGAAGTGATGGCCGGGTCGTACGGCGATTCGAGCCCCCTACGCCCAGGTCCGCAGCCGCAGGGCTGTTTTCAGCGCAGGAGAAGAGTGACAGGTTGCGGCTGGGCGCAGAGAGCGTGTGAGGGAGCGGCTGGTTCCGGATGAGGTGGGTGTAGAGTAGGTAGTAATCCACCACCGCACTTGCCAATTCCGCTTCGCGCCTTCCCCGTGCAAATGCCGGCCAACGCGGTCGCTGAACGTCCGGACCCCATCTATTCGTTTCTCTTAATCTCTCTTCGTTCCTGCGCTTCAAGTCTGCACTTCCAGACTCACCAACTGCCAGCCCTCCACGACACAAGCTACAACAACCAGTCGACAACCGATCAGCAAGATGAGCTTTCTGGCAGTTCTGCAGAGGATCTTTTGCCTCAGGCTGTCCTCGTCCCATCAAATTAAGTGCACAACCACACGGCAGGACATGGTGCCCGAGACCACAGTTGTTCCTTCGACGAGCGTAATGGCGGTCGGCGTGAGTGTAGTCTGCACTTTCAGGCTCACCAACTGGCATCAATCCTTCACAACGACAAGTCTCAGCAAGCAGTAAGTAGCGAGCTCCCCATATAGCCAGTTATCAACGCTGACAATGAACAGTCAATCTCAACCACCAAGACTTCAATCATCCTCATAATCACTCGACCACAAAAGCCTCAATCATCCTCACATCCTCCTCACAATCAACTAACCAACAATCAACTCAAACAATCAATCATCATCAGCTTAAACATCAAAATGAGCTTTACGACAATGTTGCAGAAATTTTTTTACCAGCGCCTTTCCTCATCACACAAAATCAAATGCACGACAACGCGACAGTCAGGGTGGGTGTGGACGAGTGGCGTGTGTAGGAGAAGGTAGACGTAGAGTAGGTAGCAATCCATCGTACTTATCAGTACTGCTCCGAGCTTCCAATCTGCAAATGTCGGCCAACACGGTCGTGAGACGTCCGGCCTTCAACGCGACAGATGTTACGCACATGGTATATGAGCTAACCACGCCATCGAAATGACCTACATGGCGGCGTGGCATAGTATGCACAGCTTTAAACCAATCGTATTCGTAAAAGTTCTCGCAGATTACCCTATCTGGAAGCTATGTGTGCACCAGATGCAGCGTGCGTTCCTAGTCAATGGCATCTTTTGATCGTGCGCAATTGCTTATGTACAATTAATCGCCGCTTGTGCGATTGGCCCCAAATTTTAAGTACCTGGATGTACGGACGACTGAAAAGTCAGTCTGAGAGAGCCGCTGTTTGAGGCGGGGTGGGAGGGGTCGGAGATTGAGGGGCTTGCGGGGAGACACAGTTAACAGCGGTCACGGTGGGCCGCGCAAAGGATTAAATTGAAATCTCTGCCAGCTATGGGTCCAGGGACAAGTGTGAATCCTGTCTCTCAGCGTGTTACGCTTGTCGTGTGCTGCTGTCGGCGGGTTGTCAAAGCTCAACCCCACAACTTCTGATGGTACAGAGGGCGTGAATATGGGTCAACACCACCACTTAACCACAACACAATAATGCCGCAAAATAATTCCAATTCATGAGGAATATAGGTTTCTGGGTCGGCAGGAAAAATTCTTGAGCGAGGTCCTTTATAATCTCGTCGACCCCCGACTACGTTGCAACTTTTCTTTTCTCTAAGTCTGCACTTACAGACTTGTCGACAATCAGTCCTCCACGACGCGGCAAGCCAAAGCAAGCAGTAAGTAGCACCCCCTTACAAGTAACCATCAACCAACTAACAGTTAATAGTCAATCACCAGTTGAGCCTCAAAGTCAATCTCAACTCAATCATCCTCACAACCTCCTCACGACCTCCTCACAACCTCCTCACAACCAACCAACACACAATCAACTCAATCAATCGACGCCCAGTCAACAACCAGTCGACAATCAATCAATCAGTCACCATGAGCCTCTCGAAAATTTTGCAGAAGCTTTTTTGCCTGCACATCACCAGATCACACAAAATTAAGTGCACGACAACTCGACAAGACATGGTACCAGAAACAATAATTGTACCTGACAACCTACCATGGCCATATGGCACAGAGTAAAGCAGCCGATGGGGCACAAGTGGAGGGATTTTGGGCTTTTGTTTTGCCGCATTCGGCATAGAGTTTTGGGAACTGGGGAAATTTTTTGAGCAGGGAGTTTTGAAATGGGCATTCTGAATCGGGGAGTTGGAAAGGCACATTCGCTGGGATACACTCTTTTTTGTATACACTCTCTTACAAACACACTCACTACAAACACACTCACTACAAATACATTCTTTTCACACCTTGATTCTGTGCCAACTCCGTGAACTATCGTACAGGACGACGCGTCCGAGCCGGGTGGAGGAGCAGGCTGCTGCGGCGGTAGGCTTGTGCAGCGTGGCGACGACGACGACGACGACGCGGGCGGCGTGAGCGATGCTGGCGGAGCGCGACCGCCTCAGCTAGGTGGTGAGGTCGGGTGCACTTCGAGGACCCGGCGTGGTTATGACGTTGGCGTGCTGATGCGCATGCCGGCAGCGCGGGCGAGTTCGCGGTCGACGGCGTTGGAATCCAATTTGGCGCTGGACATGGTGTTGCGGGTGCTGCAGAATTGGTGGCCGTGTGGCTGGGGCGCGCGGTCGGGCGTTCGCAGCATCGTGCTGTGATGTCACTGTCAGTGCGGTGGGTTCGGAGCGTGAGGCGCGGAAGCTCAGAGGGAAGCAGCGAGAAGCGGGACGAGCCCGAATTATCGACCGCAAACGCCGTTTGTAGCTCGTTTCATGCTGAGTTGGTGAGTGCATCGCACGGTGTAAGTTGGCGGCGAGAAGGCTAGTGTTGATGCCGCTCGAGGGCGGCGTGGGTATGAGGCGGAAGGTGCAAGTGAAGTCGCCCTGCAAAGATGATTCCGTAGGCTGATGAAAGGAACACAAAACGCTTGCATGTGCAAAGAGACAGCGCAGCTATTAATACTCTTAAGTACTTATTCATTCTTCACTGCCTGCTGAATATTATTGCGCGATTGCAGAGAAGAATATCCGACATCAGGGAAGTGAAGAAGTGAAATATGGCAAGCAGGATACTGGACTTGATTATCTGAGCATTTGGATATAAGAGGAACAAAAAAACCCCCCCGCAATGAACACTGTGAAATGGTTGTTTTACGAATAGAAAGTTATATAGATAGGAAAAGGTGGGGATCATAATGATCTAGATTCTCTATACTTTATCTTTTTGCTGATTGGCGGGTTTGAAGACATAGAAAAGAAAAATTGTGCGACAAAATTGATGAAATTCTTAGAATATAACATCCGATACACTTGTTCCTCAGGTACCTAGGTACGCTTTGTTCGTTATGTTAGAATTTTACTTTAGCTAAGAAGGCATAGCTTCTACACCAGGCACAAATCTTAATAATTTCTTATACGATCAGGGTTCTTCACGCTACTGGGTTTGCCCGGGCCGCCAATAAACTTACGGATCTTAGTGATATGACCTACGAGGCCCATTTACTTAGTACTTAGCATTGAGAAAAATTCGGGCCGATGAAGTTCTTGTTAGTATGCATCTATTAATGCAGAATTCGTGTATTATGTCTGAGAAGTTTCGCATGTAATCATAACTCTATAGCATATCTAGAGCTTTGCCTGCTTGCTAGCCTTTCTCTTGGCTTCTTCCTCTCTCTCGGCCTCGGCCTCAATTTCGTCATCCCAAGGCAGCCTAAACTTCGCGTGCTTATCGTTCATAGGAACATTGACTTTGTGATGATCGGCCGTGGCGTACACAATCTTGCCATCCAGCGAAGTCATTTCGCCCCTGATCATGGCCATGGTCTTCCCGGCCTGGACAACGCGTGAAGTCAGCAGCACAGTGGTGCCAATGGGAACTGCACGTAAATATGAGATGTTCAAAGTGCGGGTGACACCGCCCATGAAGCTGTCAGACGTCAGTCAAGAGCAGTCAGAAAATTAGCGTTGTACGTACAACCAGAAATTAGGTCGCGACAGGGGATTTAGCGCGGAGGTGGTAGCCATGTCTGCAGCCCATCAGCCTCCTCTAGCGCGGAACCAACATGGCGGGAAAGCATACCAAAAATAACACCGGCGGCTCCGCCGTGCATCACGTCGTTCAGATTCGAGAATTCGTTGCCGATGGTGAGCTCAAATTGGACGTAACCTTCCGGGCCGGCGTCGACTAGCTTCATCTTTTTCATCACCTCGCTGTCGAAGTCCTGCCGGGAGTTAACATGGCGCCAGAGTCGCACGGTGCCGGATGCGGAGGTTGGCGGATGGTGGCACCTACCACATGGCCGTTTGGGCGCTGCGCAGCGATGAGCTTGTACCTGTGCGCGCACGTAAGCTTCTGCAGTGGGGCCGAGGGCAATTGGGGGAGAGGGAGCTCACCGATCGAACAGGGCCTGGACGGCGCGCATGGCCTTCGCCCTTCCGTCAGCACCTGCGCTCGCCATGGCTTATTTTGGAGGCGGGACAGGGCGGAGCTGAGCTCAGAGGGAGCAGCACAGGCTGATATGTCCCGGCGCTCTAACGATACCCCTCCTCGCCTTGGGTCAGCCCTGGGGCCGGACACCTCGGGACGGCGGGGATCTACGGCTAGCGGCGTCGGTGGCGGCTGTTCGCGTAGAATCCGAAACCAATCATCACGACGCGAAACAAGAGCTGGCCGATCATACGTCCCGCGCCCACCTCTCGAGACTCAGCCCTGGCTCGACACGTATATACCTTGGCATCCGCAGCTGGCCTGCTCACTGTTTCTCACGTCCTTTCGTTCCTCTCCTTCTCCCAAACAGCGCTGGTCTCCTGCTAGCCAGCTCCGGCGCGCCATGGCTTCTCCCTCCCCGCCCGTCACCAAAGAGGTCCGCCGCAAGGTGCTCAAGGTGCTATTTTTCTCGCTGCTGCTTGACCTGGTATGGCCCATCAATCCTTCGAGCTTCTCCCAATTGCTAACAGCTTGCTCTCTGCAGATTTCCTTCACATTCATCCTCCCGCTGTTCCCGAAGCTCCTTGAATTCTACCGCGACCACGAAACCGCCCAAGCCTCGTCCAACACCGTACTCAATCGCGTACTCTCCGGCTTGAACGCCTACAAGAATGCTTTTGCGAAGCCCATTAACGACCGCTATGACATTGTTCTGCTCGGCGGCGCACTCGGATCGCTCTTCTCCTTCCTGCAAGCTATCGCCTCTCCCATAATTGGCACGCTCTCGGACAAGTACGGACGGCGCACGGCGCTGCTCTGGTCGATGACGGGCAACATTCTCTCGGTGGCTCTGTGGGTTGCGGCGACCGATTTCCGCACATTTCTGGCGTCGCGTGTGGTGGGCGGATTGAGCGAGGGCAACGTGCAGCTGGCCATGGCCATCGCGACTGACATCAGCGACGAGGCGCAGCGGGGCGCCACCATGGCTCTGGTCGGCGCCTGCTTCAGCATCGCCTTCACCTTCGGCCCCGCTCTAGGCGCCTGGCTGTCGACCATCACGACCGTCGCCGCCAACCCATTCGCCACCGCCGCCGGTTTCTCGCTCTTCCTGATCGTGACCGAGACGCTGTATCTGTACTTCGCTCTGCCCGAGACCCTGCCCACTGTATCCAACGGCGACGCGAAGCCCGCCACCGCCAATGGCAAGGTCAAGGACGAGAAGGCCGAGAAGCCCCACGTCCGCACCAACTCGCACGCCCTGCTCAACTTCACGCACTTCATCTTCATCCTCTTCTTCTCCGGCATGGAATTCTCGCTGCCCTTCATGACGTACGATCTCTTCGCCTACGGTTCCAAGCAGTCCGGCCGCCTGCTCGGCTTCATCGGCCTCGTCGCCTCGCTGCTGCAGGGATCCGTCACTCGCCGCCTGCACCCGCTGCGCGTTGTGCAGACGGGCGTGCTGAGCTGCGCCGTCGGCTTCTTCCTGCTCGGCCGCCTGAACACCGAGAAGCAGCTGTACGCCGCCGCGGCCTGCCTGGCCGTGACGAGCGCGACGGTTGTCACGGGTTTGAACAGCTTGAGCAGCTTTGAAGCTAGCCAGGGCGAGAGAGGCGGCAAGTTGGGTAACCACCGCAGCTGGGGTAAGTTATCACTCTTTTCCCTTGTCACTCGGGTCTTACGTGGACCCTGGTATTAACCGCATTTGCTAACTTGGTCGCTGCAGGTCAAATTGGGCGCTCTCTTGGCCCTTTGATTTTCTGTTCCTTGTACTGGTGGGCTGGTCGCGAATTTGCCTATGCTGTTGGTGGAGCAGGCATGGTTGGCGTGTGTGGGGTGGTGTTTGGTGCACTAAAGATGCCGCCTGGAACGGAGGTTAAGAGGAAGAGTAAGGGTGCCGCGGCGGATACATCTGTGAAGTCATAATTGTAGTAAATAGTGTGAAGATTTTGTAATAGACACGTTTGAATATTTGCACAAAGATCACGAACTACCATGAATGTTGTAGTGGAGAGCGAAGACAATTGTCCGTGACGGGGTATGTTTTCTTTCCTCTGAGCGTACATAAAATTCCAAGCTCTTCCATAAATTGCCAGCCCAAGTTTCCGATGAACGCCAGTCGATGCTTCACATATGATACAGAGGCCGGATTCAGCAGTCTGCCATCTATTTCTTCTTCTTTCCACCGCCCTTCTCTGTGGATCCGTTAGCGATAGCCTCCATCGCACTATCTTAGACTTATTCTTACCTGGCGCGGTTCTCTTCTTCTTCGGTGCACCCTTTCCACGAGCCTTGAGCCTGAAAAACCAGAACCATCAGCATGCGTCCAACGAGATACTGTATCCCTTCCACCACTACCGCGATTTCCACCTCATCTAATACCCTTGTCCGCAACCTCTTCTGAACCCCCTCAACCAAAGAGAGAACGGGTATAACATACGCAGCAACATTCTCCTGCCTGTCCCACTCGGCCAGGTCCAAGCCCTCCCACTCCGGATACAGCTTCGCGAGGTCGTTGAAGGTGCCGATGCGGCGCGGGTAGTAGGACGCGACGGAGGGACCCTTGAGGCGCTCACGCAGGATCTTGGTACCCATACGGTGGCCTTCCGGGTTGAATACGGTGTTGAAGACCTTGCATTGGGCCTGATGGTTTCGCACATCGTCGCAAGTCAGCCTTTGCTTGAATTTGGGATATTGCGGCGAGTTGGCGGGTGGGATTTGAAGGGTTGGAGCAGGTCAATGGGTTCCGAGATGGGCGCGGACTAGAGTACTACGCACCCTCATGAGGTCGACGATGCGCGAACGTGGGACCGCCATGGCTGCGCGCGCGATTGGTGATGCTTGTCGTCGCCCGACAGCCGTGCGGTCGTTGCGGCACGAAGTTGAGACCGCAGGCGGTGAGCAATTTCTGCCAGCTGAGCTAGTGCGCATGGGGTATAGTTCCCGCTTCCAGCGGGGCGGCATCGATCTCCATCGCGTCGCGTCTGGGAACTTTTTGATGTCTGCAACCAATACCTGACCTGGACTTTGTTCACCACCGCCTCCACATTCTTGGTTCTAGCTCTTGCAAGCTTCGCTTATCTTTCCAACTACAGTTCACTGCAATCTTTCCGCGAATTGACCAACATCGGCATTGCCAAATCCCTCATCATGAAGCACAACGGCGGCGGTCCAGGCGGCAGCCGCAATGCAAAACGCCCAAGAACAGACGGCTCCTCCCACTCGCACTTCGATAAAGGCAACCCGCACAAGCGCTCTCGCAACAACAACAATAACAGCAACAACACTGGGTCCAACCGCCAAAACACCTCTGCGCCCAACCTCGCCGCGACAACCGACCTACCCATGCCGCTCCCTCCCCTTCCCACCATCCACGACCCCACCAATGCCAAGCTTGTCTTCACGCACACATCCGTCACCAACTACGCGACCGAGACGTACGACCGGCTGGAGTGGTACGGCGACTCGGTCATCGAGATGGTAGCCACGGACCTGCTCTGGGACATGTACCCGTCGCTGCCGGGCGGGCGGCTGTCGCAGATGCGCGAGGCGCTGGTCAACAACGCGCGGCTGGCGAGCTTCGCGCGCGGCTACGGCTTCGACCAGATCGAGGCCGACGGCAACGGCGGGCGGCTGCGCATCTCCCCGCGGACCTGGCACGGCGCGCACGCGACGAACCAGACCAAGATCCTCGGCGACGTCTTCGAGGCGTACGTGGGCGCCGTGGCGCTTGAGGACCGCGAGAGGAACAAGAAGAAGAAGACGAAGGACAACGATGATGCGAGCAACATCGACACCGACACCACCGACCGCGCCGACCGCTGGCTCCGCCAACTCTGGACGCCCCTCCTCCTCTCCTCCGCCATCTTTGCCGACGAAAGCGACAAGGCCGGCGAGCAGGTCAAGATGCGTGCCTCGCGCGCCTTCGCACCCTCCGGCTCTGGCCTCAAGGCCTGGTACGAGGACGTCGGCGAGATGACGTACGAGAACAAGGCCCAGCAGCGTTTCAGCGTCGCCTTCTACCTGTCGGGCTGGGGACACGACCGGTTGCGCTTAGGCGAGGGCGTTGGTCAGAACAAGAAGATCGCGCGGGCGCGTGCGGCCCAAGACGCGCTGGACAGGATCTCGGCGGTGCCTGAGCTCAGGGAACATACTGAGAAGGTGGAGGCGTATCTGGCAGAGAGGAAGGCGAAGAAGGAAGCGGAGGAGGCGGAGAGGCAGACGAAGAGGGAGGCGGAGGAGACAGAGAAGAACAAGGAGGCTCAAAGCAGCCAGTGAATGGCAGGATTGAGATAAGGATTGGAAGAAGGAAAAATGAATGGGTAAAAGGTTGATCAAAAAACATAAGCATTGGACGGAGTTTTTGAGCTGGAATCTGATCGGCTTTTTGTACATGATACCCCGAAAATTGGCATGAGCATTAGCACATTTGAAAGCCGCCATAGATGAGATACAGAATCTCCATTTTCTATACTAGCTCCTACATGAGGTGCTATCTTGCAAACTAGTCTTGAGCTCTTGCTACGCTAGAACTCTCACCGAGTAAAGAACCACACATGTTCCATCAGTGACCAATCCAGTCAACCTACCAACCTTTTAATGCCGTAGAAGTACTGTCAACCTAACAGCCAGTGTCGTCGTCGTATAACCAGAAATCTTGCACTTGAACAACAACACCCGTACCGGTCAGTCCACAGCCGGCTTAAATACCACCCAACAGTCCAGCGTAAGCCAGGGTGGAGTCATGGTGATACGTCGAAAGGCCGTCCTCAGGCGAGGACCTTCCGCTAACAACACCCGATGCCGGGCGCTCAGCCTTGACCACGTCCATCATCATTGACAGCCTCTTGATCTGCTCCTCGCAGGCCGCCCAAACCTTCTTCGTGCCCTTGCGCTGCTCCCTCCGCGCCAGCTTCTCGAACCTTCGCTGAACCTCATCATCCTTCAGCATCGCACCGTCACCCTCGATCTCGAGGTCACCAGTGCTACGATCGATGTTAATCTTCTCATTGACCATGTTGAGCAGGAATTTCGCCTCCATAGTACGACCCGGGCGCCTGAAGCCGCCGCCGTACTCGTTCATGGTTGGAAGGTCGACATTTTCGTACTTCCACAGCTGCTGCTGCTCCTCGGCCCACTGCACGAAACGCGTCGCCCAGGCTGCGGCGTAAGCGGGTCGGAGGTAAGATCCGTCTGCGGGACGAGAAACGCCACTGAAAGGGTTAGTCTTGCCTCCTGGGTGGGTAACACGCCAGCGACGCTCGTATTCAGCGAATTGGTAGTTCTCGATCTCGTAGGCACACTTGAGTGAAGGCAGGAAACTCTCATTGACAGCGTCCAGAACCCAGCGTGCGATGCGGAGTGCGAGGTAAGGCAGCGCCGCGAAAGAAGTAGAACGGTGACCAGGGGCGCCAGAGGGAAAGCGGGCATCGTGGTGTTCCTTGAGAACCTGAGCACGCAGATCGGCATGCATGATCTTCTTGACTTCATTGACCATTGCTTCGTGCTCGCTAGGGTTAAGTCTGCGTATTTCCTCGTAGTCAAGTGGCTTGAGAATTTCCTTGACGTTGGGTCGCTCAGGATCTTTGCTAACGTCATCCATGGATGCGTCCTGACCATCGGCCCAAGCATTGAACTCGCTAAGAAGCTCCTCAAGATGAGCATCGAAGACGTTGTAACGCGTACTGGCTCCAGAAGAGGCGCGGCTGTGCTTCCTAGAACGCTTTGTCGTGCTCAGATCAGTAGTAGAAACGTTCGGCGTGTAGCGGCTACTCACGGAAGCATGGTCAAGGTCGGTCGACTTCATTGTAGCTGGGGTGTCAGCTCTCGGGCTAAACAAACCAGGCTCCCGAATCGCCGTTGGCGTCTTTCTGCCACCTGGTGTGCCCCTAAAAGAAGCTGACTGGACCTTGCCCGCAGGCGGCTGGGCAGGCACGACGGTACTACCAGATGCCAAATGTGCCTTTTGCTCGTCACTTTCAGCACTGAAGTATCCATCAAAAGACATGTACTTCTTGCTAGTCGGCCCCGCCATGGAGGAGCTAGGAGTGCCAGCAAAGCTCCTGGAAGGTTTCCTGTTCAAGCTCGGGATAGTAGGACTTGCAGTGAGAGAAGGGGTGTTTGTGCTCGACACAGCAGTCTCGAATGACGTCTGCGGTGTGTTTTGACCACTGAAAGGTGCGGGGATTGTAGGAACGGGTGGAGCGTCCCTCGGCGTTGTTACAATCTGTCTCTCGACTGCACCACTGTTTTCCCACGACTTCGTGCTCTTCTTGGGAGACTTCGGAACCTTAAAGGCGCTGGTGATCAAAGCCAACTTGCCACGCTTTGAAGGGGTCTGAGCGCCCGAATGACCATCGAAGGACGTATGAGCCGATGAGTTCTTGCTGTCTGCTTCAGACACTAAGGGCTTAGTATCGGAATGGGTTGAGGAACGTTTGTCAGAGCTGGCAGAAGACCGCTTGTTCGTATTTGGAGATGAACGCTTGCTCGTGCTGGGCGATGCCGGAGTGCTCGAAAAGTGATCGGTCGCTACACTCGGGCTATTGGCGAACGCGGGAAACGGGCCTCCCATTCCGGCCGCGGGAGAGCATGGTACGAGAGGTGTGCTGGAAACTTGGCTTGGCGTGCCCATGGATGGCGTGCTGAAGAAAGAGTCTGACTTGCCAGATTCCCCCGATAAGCGCTTCCAATCCCCTCCAGGCAAATTCAACGCTATCCTTCGGAGTGTCAGCTTCTCCTCATACACTTTCAACCTGGCTTTCATGTCCGGCTTCTCCTTCTGCAGTATAGGCTTCAAAATGTTCTGAGCCGTAATGTTGCCAATAGGTGAGAGTTGACCAGTCATAACCAGCCAACACACCTCCAAAACCTCCTGGATCTGCTCGTAAGCTTGTCGGTTCTCTTCGTCGCAGGGGTCGATCGCGCCATCTTTCGCTGCACCCAAGGAGCCCAGGTTAGCATTGATGATAGTCCACTGCGTTTGATCTAGCTGAGGAGGCTTGTGCATGTAGTCGGGCCAGAGATTAGGCCATGGGTGGACTCGGTCACCTGAATGCAGCCTTCCAGCCTCATGGTCTACGGCCATCTGGCTTAGGGAGCTTGAAGTAGACGAGCGTGGTCCGGTAGCGTAGCTGTTTAGAGTGGGGGCTTCGTGGCTCGCAAGAAGGACCGGCTGGTCAGGGTCGAACGGGGTGTTGTTGAGAGCAGTGGTGGGCTTGACGGTTGGAGGCTCCTTGGTTGAAGCCAACTTGCTCGTCCTACCGTCGAGGATGGTGGTTATGACCGAACCGCCGTCAGAGCTCTTACTGGGCATGCGATGAATGATAGTGTCGACATCGTCATCATCAGAGCTGTCAGAATCCGCAAGCATGGACAGCCTCTGGATGTTGGGTATGAGAGCCTCAGCAGCATCTTCAACTTCCTTCTTCGTCGGCACACCGCCGTCGTCCTTGATCTTGTCGGCCTTTGTGTCCGTCTCAGCCTCATTGGCGGCCTTCTTCTGCTTCTCTTCCGCTTCCTCCGCCTCCCTCATCTGCTTCTTCGTGTATTCGGAGTATTCCGGGCGGGTGCAGGGCGGCTCGGTTCTCAAATGCGCATACTGGTATTCGGGCTTGTACAGGTAGCCGCTGAAGTTGGCTAGCTGCTTGCGAATACTGGTCGCGAAATCCTCTTCCTCGGCAGCTGCAAAAAAACAGACAAGTATCAAATGACTTCCAACCACCAGAAGTATTGGAGTGAGGGGAACTTACTGAGATCAAGTTTGGCAAAGCGTTTGGCGGCTTTGGTGGCGCGCTTGTGTGCCACTTGCTCTTGCTGCTCGCTTTCCTCGAGCATGGCTTTGATTTCGCCCAAAGAAAGGGTCTTGTCTTTATCCTTGTCGGGCTCCATATTTCAGTGCAGTGCTGCGAAGGAGTGGATGCAATATGTGAACGACGCCTTGTTCAATTTTCTAAGCAAGGAAAATTTGGGTGTTCAGGGTTGGAGTGGAAGAAGAGGTGACGTCGGGCGAAGATTTGAAATAGACGGCGGTGCGTGGTGAATGACAGTCGCTGCCTGTTTTAGAAAGAGCGATGCTCCAGGTGAATGTAAACGGAAGGCGCGCCCCTCCCAGCCGCCTCGCGAGGTCCACTCCACGAAATAGGACGTGAATGTATGGATTTGAAACGGCCAACAAGATGTAAATATCCCCGACATGCGATGCTGCCAATACCATCACTTCGAGTGTCAGCGAATCTTCCTCTGCATGAACACATTTTCGTTAGTCATGTATTTTTGCGTCTCCAACGCAAACTCGACCACCGCATCTGAAAGGGACCTTTACCTGAGTAGTTTTGATGTCTCAGACATTCCGACTGCCGCCGCGATCATGCAAGACAAAGACCGGCGAGAAAGGCTGCAATGGACAAAGGCAGCTGACGAGCGAAACAACCTACCTCTCCTCACTGCAGGGTTATCACACGTCATCAGGCTATGGATAGCGACCGTTAATGAACATTTTCGGTTTCAATTATCTAATCCGAAATAAATCCTTCCCTTTCTATGCAAGTTCGTCTCAACATAATCTGAGGACTCTTTCGAAATCTACAGGGAGCCGTGCCTAAGAGAAAACATGCAAAATGCGCTTTTTTCCCAAGGTAGTCTCTGCTACATCTCCAGAGACGTGCTGAACGCCGGGTCTCATGCTCTACTCTAGGAAAGTAAACAGGTTCGTATGTACAACGTTGAGGGCGCGGTCAGCGTCCCTCTCTTCGATAACGCACGAGATGTTAATCTCGCTGGCACCTGTAATTGCATTCATTAACATCGTCTTCATCTGATGTAGAGACATCAATGAACATACCTTGCGAGATCATCTCAATGTTGATGTTGTTCTCTCCGAGCACGGAGAAGAAACGGCCGGAAATACCAAGCATGTTCTTGAGCTGCTTACCAACCAAGCTCACGATGGCCATGTCCGGCACAAGATCGATGGTACCAATTTGGCCGAGGTCAATGACGCAGCCCTTCAGCTCCTCATCCTGGATGTGGTACTCCTCATCCGTACCATAGGTCAGCATGGACGACTCGGAGTGCAGCACCAGCGAGACGTGCACCTCGGACGAGGAGATTAGGTCAACAGACATGTTCCACTTGTCCAGGATGGCGAAGATGCTGCGCAAGAAGCCGGGCGCGCGAGTGCGCTTGTTGCTGTGGATGTTCAGCACCACGATGCCGCGCTTGATGGTGACGGCAGTGGGGCGCTTCGGGCCCTTGAGTGCGGTGACATTGCTGCTGGAGCGCGTGCGGAACAGCTTCGGGTCATGCAGCGGGTTCCTGCCATTGAGCTCCTCCTCCGAATCAGGGAAGATGACAGTACCAGCATTGCGCGGGTTCATGACGTTCTTAATGCGGATGGGAATGCGCGCGCGGATGACCTGCTCCATGGTGAAGGGGTGAATGACCTCCGAGCCATAGAAGGTCAACTCGGCCGCCTCAGAGGGCGTGACCGAAGGCAGCAGCGCCGCAGTAGGCACCTTGCGGGGGTCCGCGGTGAAGATGCCGTCAACTTCCTTCCAAATCTGGAGCTCATCGGCCTCGGTGCCAACGGCGCAGAGTGCGGCGCACAAATCAGTGTAGCCGCGACCAACTGCATTCAGCAGTCCACCCGGGACATTTCCGAAGTAGCCCGTCACAACGGGGACCTTATCTCCGCAGGACCTCAGCTCGTCACCGAGCGTCGCCGCCAGACCCGCATAGAAGTTCTCATCCAGGGCCTTATTATGGCCCGGGCTGTGGTTGATGACGTTGGAAAGGTCGACGTATTGAGCCGGTACACCGTGCTCCTCCAGCAGCGCGGCCATGTAGCGGCAGCTAAGCTTTTCGCCTTTGCTGATGATCTTGTCCTCGACGCGGACACTGACCTCCTCCAGGTGCTGGGCCGACTCGAGGATTTTGATGAGGTGGCGGCATTCCTCATTGACGTCCTCAGTGTACTGCGCGATGATGTCGGGGTTCTTGATGGTATCGACAGCGGCCTGGATGTGGTCGGTACGGATAGCCTCGACGATTTCGACGTAGCCCTTCGAGCCAGGGATTTCGGCTTCACGCGCCGAGCGGAGAAGCCTACAGGGAGCGCAATGGTCAGCGTCGGTTGAGCTAGCGATGACAAAGGAGGGGGTACCTGTTGGTGGTGCCCTCCAGCTTAGTATTGTTGCTGCGGGCAGAGCAGACGATTGCGACGCGGTTCTCGCTGAGACCCGACCTGGCGAAGGATTAGCGGAATGCATAATGGTTGCCAGAGCAGCGCGTGCTCACTTCACAATCTCCGCTATATTGACGGCAAACTTGCCGACACTCGTGCCCCCGAACTTGAGGACCACCCATCCTCCCGGGAGTTCTTTCTCCTCTTGGTGAGATATTCTTGAGGAACCGTTGGTGAGTGTGCCGGACATTGTGACAGATGTGCTTGGAAAGCGGAGGTGGCGAGCGAGCAGGCAATTAAGGGCGCGAGTAGAGCGTGGTATGATGGTTAAGAGTCAGAGAATCAGCGCGGTGTGGGGTGTGCGTCGTGAGAGACCAGCGAGTTCGGCGGGGCGTACCGTGGCACCGTGGCGCAACCCTGCAGGCATTGTCATTTTTTTTATGTCTCGGCACCCGATAGCGTCACCTCCTCCGCCCAACGCCCCTTCCGATGCCTAATAACCTCAGGCCCGATTCGCCCGCACACCCGCGCCCTCTCACCGGCAATTGGATGAAAGCACCGCGTCATGCGTCGTGAGGCATTTATTTTATTATGTCGTGCGCTGTCATCAACTGTGGTTACTGCTACAAATTGGGGGTATTACGTCGGCTGCGACTTTTGTATAGAAGCTGTTTGGCCCTCCCATGCGCCGCGCTATGCATCCGACCTGAAGAATATGAAATCATCAACGCCCGTCGGGACGTGTTGTCCTAGCGCCATGTCGTGCGACTCCGATAACCCCGAAATGCCAGTTTGAACAACACCCGCTGGAAATTCATCGCCTGTAAATATCCCTTTCTCGCTCTCTCCGGTCGCGATCCCTGTCGCGATCGCGGCGATCGTAAGCATCGCTTCCAGGGCTTCTGCTGCGCGTCCGACGCCGTCCTCCTTCATCGTAATCAAGCGCATCATCGTCACGGGGACGTCTGTCCCGATATCCTCTTCGGTCATCTCTTGATGGGGGTCTACTCCTGTCTCGAGAACTGCGGTCATCTCTGTCTCTGTCGTTTGAGCCACGCCGACCACCGTCGGAGTAGCTTGGTATGTACGTGTCGACGTTTGGCGGCGGTCTAGGTGGGCGAGCCCCACCAGTGACGTAGGCTCTGTTCGTGGGTGGGTGTGGCAGCGGGTGTCTGCTACCTTCAGGAGGCGGCGGAGGAAGGCGCGAGCCTGGTGGGCCGGCATAAGGTAGGCTGGTATGACGATGTGCTTCAGCTTCCCATGGCTGACGGCGAGGAGGACCTCGCTGATCATATGGCCCACGTCCATCATACGGACGTGGAGGTCCTGGGGGGATCGCACCCGGTGGTCCTCGGTCACGCGGATAGCGGTCTCCGTTCATGTATCCTCCATGTGGTGGCGGGCCGCCGGGCCAATCGCCGTTCGGGTGAGGGCCCATGCCGACGGTGCCACCCGCAGGCGCAGGCGGGAGGGCTTGTTGTTTGCCACGAGCAGTGCGGCGGTCTAGTTCGTGCGAATCTGCAAAGCGCGGGAGATCTTCAGGTCGTGCAGGCTTCGGGTGTTCCTTGAAATACGGGTGCTGAAGGGCGTCGATCGCATTGATCCGCTTCCTCCAATCCAATTTGAGAAGTTCTTGCAGAAGCGAAATCGCCAAGGATCCTTGCCTGGTACTCGGTCAGCAAAAGCTTATTTCCAAGCAGGGTTTTCACGCACTCTCGGAAAACATGAGGAAGGTTGCCCCTTCGCGGGGCAAATTGTTTCACTCCGTCGCAACCGGGCAATTGGCTCCATCCTGGCATGTTGTCCTCTGTGGGAGAGCCGACCAAATCGAAGATGATCTGAGTTTGGTTGAGGTCGCTGTTTCCAGCGAGAATGGGCTTTCGTTTGAACATTTCACCGAAAACACAGCTTCGTGGAAGTTAGTCTAGTTCACCAAGACAAGACTGAGTGGCTCACCCTGCACCCCACATGTCGATCGCAGTGGTGTACCGACGAAGGTTGAGTAGCAGTTCCGGAGGACGATACCAGCGAGTGACGACAAGCGCAGTATAGTCTCTCTGGGCCTCCCCACCGCCTTTTCCAGGCTTGGGTACCGGTTCATCGTAATGACGAGCGAGACCGAAATCTGCGATTTGCAGGATGCCCTTGTTGTTAATCAACAAATTGGCAGCTATACTGCGTTAGTACGGAGTGAAATGGTATGGGGACTGTCTTTAACTGACCCTTCATATCACGATGCAAGATATGGTTCTAGAAGGCAAGGGTTAGCAGCCGTAAGTTTTGCGCCATCCGGATAACCATACATCATGCAGATACCTCAGCCCCTCCAATAGTTGTAGCATGTAGCATTTGATCTGAGGCTCGGTCATGCGGACGTCGGGGTTGTCAAGGAGGCCGGAGAGATCGTGGTCCATGTAAGGGGTGACCATGTACAGAATCGCGCGTTTCCTTCCTTCGCCTATGGCCCAGTCAGACCCAGCCAGTAGAGCCAGTAGAGTATTCCATACGTACCCCTCGTCCGTTCAACAGCCATTTCTTCCAACTTGAGGACGTTTGGGTGGCAGAGCAGCTTCAGCAACTTGATCTCGCGAAGCGCAGTTATGGGAAACTAGGGTCGGTCAGGATCGGGCGCCACTTCAGGAACTCACGGTACTCACGCCGTCCTTTTCATTGTGCATGAGGATCTTCTTGAGGGCAAAGATGGTTCCAGTGCGGCGTGATCGTGCCTTGTGAACTTCACTTTGTTGTCGTCAGCGCGGACTGCAGCTAGAGGTGCCGGGGCGGAGACCTACCCAAAAGTGCCCTCACCGAGCTTGCCCATGATCTCATATTCGCGGATACTAGAGCAGCCATGGAACTTTCGGTGGGCGAGGCCCGTTGCGGGCGCGGAAGATGGAGCTGTTTGCGCCATGGTGGGCGCGTTGCGAGATTGGAATATCGCCGGAGCGACGCGGGGTTGATTTGCGTCTGGAGATTCAGTCGTCGGCGTGGAGTAGAAGCTCGATCGGCCTATGTCGTCGCGACATGTAGACGGCGCGCGGCGGCGGCTGGAGACAAGGTGGTCGGCGGGGTAGTTGCCATGCGCGTTCGGACGGCGGGTGACTGGAGGCGGCACGGCGATGCGATTTCTCGCGCTGGCGTCACCGTGCGGCGCGGCTTGAACAGACGGGCGAAGGGTCGCAAGGTACGCGTTGTCCAGTGCAGGGCGAGATTCTGTTCCTATCGCTGCAGATCGCCAAGCCTGCCTGACTCTCCCGCCCGCCGCTAGCCCGTGCTGCCCGCAACCTCGCGCCCTCCAGTGCTTGACAGCTGCACATCCGTACTCCACATCCTCCACCACCAGCCCTCGCTCGGTACGCGCATTCGCCTCCGCCCACCTCCGGCCGCCCGGCTGACTCTTTCCGCGACAGATACTCCGAACAATGGCTGGCCCTACCGGTGCTCGCGGCCACGGCGGCCACCCCATCCACGTCCACCCTGTTCGCCCGCTCTACCGCTTCTTCGCGACCGGCCTCGGCGCCAGCATGTGGTTCTTCGTACGCCCATGTGACTCCGTTACTATATCCGATGCTGACCGGAGCTGTAGTTGATGTACCGCGCGAAGAAGGACGGCGCTGCGCTCATGGGCTGGAAGCATCCGTGGGACCACTGAACGCGCATGTCCGGAGAAAGGGAATGTACCAAAACAATAGAACTTTCGACAATGGAATGGCGCCCGGGCACTGTGTCTTGTACATATGCATTTGTGGCAGGCTGAGACAAGAGAAGCACGCGTTGAGAGATTCAAGCGCAGCCCTGAGATTTTGATATCCTTTCATAATGGGAAATGCACCCGACATTCAATCAAGCCAGACACGCACCATGGACTTTACATCTCGAAAACCAGGCTGCCAGGATTGGATCGGGTGTTCTGCGCAATGGTCCATGGCACGGTGAAATTCCTGTCTTGCCGGGGAGATTGGTGTGAGCTGAGGTGACCTCGGATGTGTACGGCTTGTTGGACGCATACACCAGCATTATTTTCTTGGCTACTGTCGGTGAGCAATCTTCGGAAAAGTTTAAGGCTTCTTCATCTGTTGAAGCTTGAACACAGTACATTGTTGCTTTCCCACTACGGCCCAGGACCTCAAGTTCATACAAGTTGAAGCTATATCATCAAGCTCGACACAGATTCTGAAAGTCATTCCCAAAATGCTCTACACGGCTTCTAGTACATTCTTCAACGCCGTTGCGGTCACGAATGCCCCTCGAGGCTACCATTCACGCAACCCGATCGGTTGGCTTCTCAAACAGATAGTGGGAAACGCCCCATGTCTCCCCATTCTCATACGCGAATAGTTCTGCGCAAGCCATGTAGAAAATCTGCCACCGGTTGTACCATGTCGTGGTACTCTCTTTCCCGTACGTCGCTTTCAAATGGGGCCAGATTTCTTTCTTGTGAGCGGTCATCTTCGATAGCCAGTCCTGTTTTGCGGTCAGCATGCCGAATGTACAATTCCTCTCCTGTTTCTCACCTCGCATGTCTTCGCATAATGCTTGCCATTGACCCACCACTGTTCCTGCAGGTAAAGATCCCTTTGGAAGTAGTGAAGCAGATCTGTGCTCGGCATGGTTCCGCCGGTGAAGAAATGCTCCGTCATCCAACCACTCTCAAAGTCGTACGGCGTGCTTTTGTGCGCAAATATATGCACAAACAGTTTCCCGCCCGGCTTGAGGGCGTAAGCCACCTTGGCCATCAAGAGCTCGTAGTTCTTCATGTGCTCGAACAGCTCAATGGAAACCACGCGGTCAAACTGTGAGGGCTCAAAGTCATAGTCCACCACATCTCCGGTGATGACTGTCAGGTTCGTCAAACCCTTCTCCTTGGCGCAGGAGTCAATGTACTCTTTCTGGGTGCGAGAGTTGGAGAAAGCCGTAATAGAGCTGTTGGGGAATATTTCGGCAAAGAACAGCGACGCAGATCCCCAGCCGCAGCTTCACGACAATAAATCACATCAGAACACGATCTCGGCCACATCTTTCACCGTAGTCGCGGAGTAATGAAATCAAGTACGTACCCGAGATCGAGAATGCTCATCCCATCCTTCAGCTGAGCTCTTTCGACGTACAACTTGAGCATGGCCATCTCAGCCTGCGCCAGCGTCTCGCCGCCCTTCGGGTACAAGCAGCAAGAGTACTTCATGCGGGGACCGAGACAGGCACTCAGCACGCCGGTGCCGACCTCGTAGTGCTGCTCGTTGGCGGCCGCCGTCTCGACGGCGATGGGCCGCATGCGTAGCAGCGACACGTACTCCATCTTGCGTGAATACGCCGCCTCGAGCGTCGTGGACGCGATCTCGGCTAGCCGCTGCTTCAGCTGCTGCCGGATCCCAATCCGGATCACCGCCTGCGGCAGGTACCCGCCGTCCAGCAGCGTGTTGAGATAGTCGCCATTGAAGATGTATTCTGGTGTGGCCACGTCAGCGCATTGTTGGGTTGTAGTGAAGGGGCACATAGGGAAGAGTGGAGTTTGTCCTACCGTAAGCGGAGTTCATGGTGAAAGCTGGGCCGTTCAGCAATCAACTTGGCGGTGCGAAAGGTACAAATTAGCAAATGTTGTTGACGGGCGCTTGCAGAGGGGTTTGAGCCGCAGCATTGTGAATGCGGTTCCCAGCAGCGTGGTTGTGACACTAGATTGTTTTGGATGTTGACTGTGCATTTTTGGCTAGTTTTGTCATGATGTCATAGACTTTGAAAACGGTCTCAGGCTGCAGCCAACGACTCAGGTCGTTGACAGCCGATGTTCGTATGCAGCACCGAAAAAGAAATAAGGTTGGCTTTTTGAAAATGAAAATGAAATCAAGAAAATTACAAAGTCGGAGCTGTACTGTGGAGTTGCGCATCCACAGTGGTAGATTCTACAGTGATAGACTTTACAAAACGCACACAGTAGAGCTTCATTTCTCATGTGTCAGTGATCCTCTCCAGTGACTCGGTCGTGAAGTGCAGCTTTAAACGTTCTGAGACGGTCCTGTAGCAATAGCGATAGGGCAGAGTAGCGCAAGCGTGGTGCTCAGTCAACAATGCTCTGATGACCATTATCCTAGACATCGAAAAGTAGGGTCGATGGAAACGAGAATGAATGAATGGAAACTTTGGGAGGTGTGTTGCAGCGATCGGGACGTTGTGATGTTGTCAGTGGCCGGTCTTGTGACAACGCTGATCAGCCCGCACCCAACCATTGATAAACCTTGCATTTCCCCGCTTCCACCTTCTGTATCTTCATAGCTCCACCCACCCTCTCTATGCCTACGTCGTTGAAACCCGTTGTAAATCGTTGTTGGCTTTCTACTTAGCCTGCTTGTCATACGAACGGCTTGCGCGTGCTTCTATGGCTACCCGGACCATGTTCCATGGTAACAAACCCAGTTTAAACTTGGTTCGCAGTCCCCAGAATAGGAGCGGTGTGCTTAAAATACTAGGAATGTCCTTGCCGCCAAGAAATTCTTTCAAAGTCGAAGTATAAACTTTTCACCCATTCCTCGTTTCCATCGAGCACTACAGGAGCCTCCGAGTTCCTCCAGCTTCATCGGAGCTCTCCCAGTACTTTCCCCCCATATTTAGGGTGCTGAGAACGATTCTGCAGCCTTCTTTACCCGGGAAAATGTCGGGAAATGTCGGTATTCCTGTTTGAAGTCCGGATGCCCCCCACGGCCTCAAAATTGATCCTACAAGTTTTATATTCATCCTGCAAATCCCAAACTTCAATACAACCATCACGGTGGTATGGTGTAATGGTAGCACAGCACGTTGTGGTCAACAACGCCATCTAAGATGGTCCAAGATTCGCTATTAGTTCCGTGCCAATCTGGGTTCGATTCCCAGTACCGCCAAGCGTCTGCGCTTGAGCCTCTCAGAGGTTCCAAATCTTCTTTTTTTGCTCTTTTATTTGTCTATGCAACTTTAGATTACTACAATCCAGTTTTGATCTACAGGAGCTCCAAGTTCGGCACTCACGGAGGCGTTAACACTTTATTTTTGCCCCTCAAGCATACTCTGGGTATACAGCACCACTCACTTCCATCCGATGGCGAGTGGAAGAATGGCGACTGTACGAAATATCATGGTCTAGGAGGGGAAGTCAATTTTTATCATAAAGTCTCGAGGAGTGGGCATGTGACTTTGGGTGAGATCTCTTTGGTTTACGATGCAGTCTGGTTTCCATTCCACAAAGCTTGCCCTCCTTCCTAATATTTTTTGGACTGCCGGACGTTGTCTCTTGAACCTGGGTTCGGGTGGGCCTAGGAAAAGTTTGAACCGTGGACTAACATCATGACTCAGCACGGACCAGCAATCAAGCCTTTCTATTCGCCGAGCAAAACGACGACAAGTAGAAGAGAAATCTAAACGAATAAACACTAAATGTGCATAGATTCTGAAAAAGCACAGAAATATTGAACTAACCGAAACTTATAATGATAAACGTCACACTACTTATTATAATAGTTGGATCTGCTATCCGGTACAACACGTACAAATTCAAGATCCGCACGTATGCCCAGATTTATGTATCAACTGCGTACGTACAAATGGCGTAGCATGGAACAGTAAGACTTGAGTATTCTGTAACCTACTGTGGAGGTACTCCGACTCCTCGGATCAGCCGCTGCCCCTCCGCCGTTTCACAGTCGTGTCTCCAGTCATGAACGATGTAGTTTGGTGAGCCATCCCACCTCTGCCATATACGAAACATCAAATTCCTTTTCCAAGAAGGAAGGCTGTAGAAGAACGATGTAATGGCCCTGTATCGAGACGAGTCATCGCTATCTCCAGAAATTGATCCTGGCACCCAGTTTACGTGATAACTTTGCGTCGGGGGTTGTCTGGACCCGTTTCTGTCTGCGTGGAAGGAGCCCAACAGCTGCAAGTTTTCCAATGTAGCATCTTTTGCTACTTCATCCTCAAAAAGAATCGAAATCTGGTTCAGAGGCGGAGGATTCCTGCCGTAGTCAATCGCCACGAATATGACCATGTTCCTGTCCGGCTCACTGCCTCTTGCCCGTCCTTCCTCGAAGTACAGATCTCGGATGCGCTTCGGGGCGTAGCCGTGCATCTCCTGGAAAACCGCAACCCGCTCTGCCTCTTCTTTATCCAAAGAGAGCTGCCCCACAATTTCAGCCAGATAGTCATCTTTGCGGGGCAACCTGATATGCGGGGGACACATGTCGCTGGTTCCAAAGAACAAAGCAAGGATCTCTGCAACCTCGCTCTTGAGGTAGTAGCGCGGATTCAGAGCCCACCGGAGAAATCTGCGTGCTCTTTCCTCTCCGAAAACCTCCGCCATCCGCCAACGTATTTTTTGCGTGGGACCCATAATTCCCAGTTTGAGAAATTCAACAACGTAGGTCCAGTATTCAAGGTCCACGCACTGCAACCAGCAGGATCGCAACAGCGCCCAATTCAAGATTTCGTCTCTTTTTCTGTCTTGGTTTTCGCGAATCCTTTTCTGAAGAAGCAGAATCGATAACGAGGTGTTCGAGATGGCTGATTGCAGATTCACATGTCCAAACTTGTGGTGTTCTCCGAGCAGAACAGAGAAAACAGTCATATTCCCGTACTCCAATGCATTCTGCAAAGGTGTATTACCGTTTTCGTCAATTCTGAAAATCTTCCATTCCCGGCTAAGGACGAATTTGGTCAGGGATTGCAAAGGCTGGAGTATTTCGGCGCGGTCCTGGTAACCGGGAGGTGGTCGACGGGCGAGAAGTTGCAGTGTCTCATTGCTGTGCTCTGAAATCGTGGGGACCAAGGCGCCTGATCTCACAACGAACGTGACCAAGTCTAGATCATAGCGCTTCAGCTCCAAAGCATCTGATATCCACGTGCCTCTTTCTCGTGTGGGATCAACGCCTTTCTCAAGCAGAAGCCGTGCCAAATCCTGCCAGTTGGGAGGCCTCGGTTTCTGTACCGCGAGCTCCAAATGGTAGAATTCAACATCCGCTCCTTTTTCGACAAGAAATTCTGCACATTTATACACCCTTGAGAGATCCCGGATATCTCTTTCAAGCATTAGAGTTAGCCAATCATTACGCGCAGAGATAGGACGGTAGTTTGGATCAGCACCGGCATCCAGAAGAGCTCGGACTACTTCAATATGGCCGTGGATTGCTGCGACGAACAATGGAGGGCGAATCGATCCAACTTCCGGAAGCAGAGGGCACCCGTGTTCCAGAAGAATTCTGACAACACCTGTCCAACCATACAGGCTTGCTTGTGAGAGTGCGTATCGCATAGACTCGGTCAGCACTTCGTGGACTTTGTCTGCTTCGTCAAGAATAACAGCAATACTATCGGCATTGGGGCCATTTTTCTCTTTCCTGGACTGACTGGTTTCGGTAGTGATCAAGTGTTTCGTGGCGGCTATGAGTAAATTCCGATAACATGGATCAAGTCCGGATTCTCTCTCGCAGCGGATCAGTTCCCTCAGAACGTTGGCTTGCCCATTTTCGATGGCGAAACCCAAAGAGTTGAGCCCTTGATCATTTCGAAGCCTTGTAGAGACACCGAGTCCGACAATTTCAGCGACATCATAAGTGCTGAAGAAATTGTTGGATATCATATGGTGTATTGGAAGGACACCATGTTGATCCGGAACGTTTAAGTCGGCACCATGTGACACAAACCAATCGAAGACAGGTTTTTTACGATGTCGTATGGCCAGATTTATTGGTCTTTGAGTTTTCAAGCCGAACTCAATGCAGTTGATGTCGCTTCCAGCTTTGATGGCAAAATCCAACATCTGTTGCGCCACTTCAGGATGATGATTTCCGGTGCATGCCTCCTGGGTGCAGTGGAAAATAAGCATGCGACGTTCCTGAGGTTGTAAGTATGACCGGCCGCGCATGTTACCTGAGTCTTGAACGGCATTTAGGATCCCGTATGCGGTGTCGAGATCTCCACGTAAGATGGCCGGGTGGAGAAAACGATAGATGTAAAGACCATTCGGTTCGGACTCCTCGCACAGCATTAGCAGGAAGCTTGCTGTCTCTTTTGCTGCTTTTCTTGCATTGTGACCGTGGTACATCAATCTTTCCGTTCTTGTTGCACTGCTGTACGCGCCCGTACAGAATTGAAGTAAAACCTTTTGCAAATTGTCCCCCTCTTTTGGGGGCTCCTTTGCCAAAGCTTGAAGAATGTACAGCTTGAGTGCCTTGAAGTTATGATACCTGCATGCAATATGCAATGCTGAGTTTTCTAAGCGCAATCCGGTTAGAGGAAAGGCTTGAGTGAGCTCCGCCTGACGGGGATATTTCCGGCCGAGCAGTGGATCGGCTCCAAGTCCAAGAAGATAAGTAATCATGCTTCGCGACCCGCTTGCGGTAGCAAACGCGAGCGGGGTACCAAAAAGGCAAACCGGCAATTGGGGATCCAATAGCTCTTCAGTTGTAGAAAGCGCATTGAGGTGTCTTTGCATATGGCTCTCCGCATCCTCGCTATGCGTCAAGGCCTCCGTGATTTGCTTCATCTCTTCTTCTGTAAACATGAACAGCCAGTGCATTGGGCCGCAGCCAGCCTGATCAAAGCTCCAGGGGGAGTTCTGTTGTTCAAGTAGCCACTTGGCAAGACCTTGGCGGCCCAGTTTGAAGGCCAATTGAAGTAAAGTTTCCCCATTCGACGAGAGGACCGTGGATGATGACTTCTTCATCATCGTCTTGCTCAAAAGCTGTCCCGTCATGGGTATCTGAGACAAAATCTCAGCTGGCAGGGTATTGGTAGTCTTCTTCCCGAAGCCCATTCTTACGAACCTTGAGAAGTCCCAATTGGGTATGTTCCGGGGCTCACCGCCGAATGTATCTGGTGAAATACTTTCGAATAATGCTTGGAGACAGACAAAGATGTCATTTCCTAATGGAAACCCCTTCGAAGCACTGACAGAGAGGTAGCGACAAGCTTCTGGGAGATTTTCAGGTGTTCCAAATCTCTCAATGCACGCCAATGCTGCCTGAAATGCCGCCCTAGCAGAAGTGTTCGAGCGGCCCCATCCCATTGCGGCTGTTATGTTTTCTTCCAACAGCTGAGCTTTCGCTTCTTGTGGGATCGAATGAGTTGATTTGAAAATCTTCCAAATGTTAGAAAGATGCCATGTAAAGAGGTGATGTGGATAACGTACATCAAATGACCATGCGTCAACCGGAGATTTTTCAGCTTCACCGAGGAAGTAATCGGCAGGCTCGGGTCTACTGTGCGTAAGTGTTTCAATGTTCTTGAGTGATATGAAGTATTTGGATGATACAGACCTGTGGTGCTTCAAGAGTAGTGGAAGATCCGTCACCTCACCTGCTCTACGTTTCACCTCTACTTGAAGGCATGATTGTATGATAATGCACAGCTTGTCGAGTTCACCCTGTGTGAGCTGTCTTCCAAATTCTTCCCTCAGCTCTTCGCATGCGATATCGGCCAGATAAGGTGCTACCAAATATAGGTATTGCTTCATGATTGTCCCTGTAGTTTGGCTTGGCACAACAGTAGCGGAAAGACTTGAGCTCGATTCCGCTCTGCTGCTTCCAGTAGAGCCGAAGCTCGTTCTTTGATGGCCCAAAGAGGTTGTCTGCACCTTTTTATTCTTGTGATAGTAGCGACCGCCATCGAGCGCTTCCCAGCACAACAACCCAAAGGACCATATGTCACATTTTTTGAAATCATGCTGACCCTCATCTACAGCTGTCGGACGGAGGACTTCTGGTGGGTTGTACGCTAGCGTACCACCATACTTCCGGTTGCTCTTCACCTCCCCACCAGGAATCGGAATAGTGAGAGCGTGACCAAAATCGGAGACTCGGGCGGAAACTTTACAGGATCGTTCCGGATTCAGTTCCGCGGGAGTGACCAAGACGTTATCCAGCTTTAAGTCTCCGTGGGCAATACTGGTTCCGTGTAATGCCTGAAGGGCTTGAGCGACATCCCGGCATAGGACAAGCTTGTCATAAACGGAGTTTTCCTTCGAGGAAAGGAATTGCCTGAGTGTTCCAAACTCTGCATATTCTGTAACCAGGAAAGGGATAGAGCCTCCGCGCTGTGAGTTCCAGCCCCATCCATATATACCCATTATGTTAGTATGAGTTGCAAGCCGTGACATGACCTAAATATTTGTTTTGATTAGATCTGCCCACCGCAAAGTTTACCAAGAGCGTACCTCGACATCCCTCAGAACACATGCAATATGGCGCTGGAGAGGTTGCAAGCCCACTGGGAGCTTGATCTCCTTTACTGCGTAGATTTTTCCATCACGCCTTCCAACATGGCGCGTCACTTTGTACGATATTCCTTCCCCGAGAGCGCCGTCATATTCGAGCTCCGAGAGTGTGAATGGCTGCAATCCCGATTTTCCTAGAGCGCCTAGAAGCTCTCGTAGTGTCCGACTTTGCGATACGACAACTGGTGATAAGCCAGCAACGCTTGACACCGGGATCGAGTAGGTCGCATCCGCGCTCTACAGTAGTACCCGTCAGTTCGAACCTATACTCCTGAAGATCAACATCAACGCACCTCGAGATACCTGCTGGTCCAACGAACAGCCATGACATGGTGTTTCGCAACGCTACAGAACAGGTCGAGCGTTGAGTTTCTGGCAAGGCTGTGGTGGCGCGCACATTCAGCCGGCAATATGTAATGTTACAATCGGAATACCGCGGCAAATGTATTGACGCATCGCGCGGCTATTATGGGCTAGATGCATGTCAGCTACTACCCTGCACATTCATGCGAGGCTGAGCCCCTCTTTTGAGTAACCTTCGCCTACAGATTTCGATGAACCTGTTCCGACGTCTCACCACAAAATTCTTTGCAACTTTGAGCAACCCGGAAACCCATACAAATTCCCTTTGACGGTTCTTACTATTGAAACCCCTTCGTCGTTTTCACCTATGGCAGACATCATAGGTCTCACCGTAGCCATTTGCGATGCACTCCTGAAATTGGGGGAGCGTACAACCCAGCTCATTCAAGATGCAAAATCTTTCAACGATGTCAGTATCCTTTCCTTACTCAATTGTCTTCGCAGGGATGATCGAGTGAGTCGCGACGCTCATGCCATGTTCAGGATGTTGGCCGGCTTTCAAACAAAGTGCGCAGCGAGAACACGCGCACGCTCATGCTGAAACAACTTCTTTTCGCCCCTACACCAATATATGGAGGGCTTTCACTCTTTCAGAGCTTCAGCGAGGATGAGCAGGATGAAATCAGAGTGTCTCTTGGTCATGCCGCACACATGCTAAAGGAAACATGTGAACTCCTGGAGAAGCATAACAGCGCACGAGAACAAGGTCTCCCTCCGACACGCCCCTCTCGCTCGCTCTCCATCAGATCTTCCCAGGATTCCTCTCGAACTCCATCCCCAAGCTGGCTTTCCCTCCCCAAAACTTCCTTTATGATACTACGCTGGTCGTTGTCAGACAAGAAACGTCTTGAAAAGAGTTTGAATGAGTTCTCGGCACTCAAAAATGACATACACGAATATATCAAGTTTCTATGCCTCGGATCCGACCTCGGCATTAATACCGCGCAGCATTTAAAACGTCTACAGGAAGATCAGAGCTCTATTGAACTGGGCATCAACAACGCTGCAAGACTCCAAAGCCTGCAGCTAACAAAGATTGCCACGCAACCGGAACAAACCTCATTCGAGCTTCCGGACTCATGGAATCAATCTCTGCGCGCAGCCATCCCGATAGAAGACCGGTTGTCCTTCATCGAGCACTCCGGACGTAAATACCTCCAGGAGCGACGTCAGTGCAATTTCGACAGCGAAGGCAGAGTAGAACGAAGAACCAAATCTCGGGTCGACGGTCTCGCGCAGCTGCTTAATCAACCCAAGGATATTGGCTTCTGCATTCCCCGCTGCATCGGCTGGAGCCAATTCCCCGCGCGGCAGAGCGTCGCCTTCGTCTTTGAAATTCCCAACCGGGCCATCATCGAGCCAATCAGCCTGTTCAAGCTCATGGACGCCAAGGATGTCCAGCCGGGCCTCGAGGAGCGGTTCAAGTTGGCACACGCTCTGGCGAACTGCATCTCTCAGCTGCAGCTGGTTAAATGGGTTCACGAAAGCTTCAGGAGCGACAACATCCTCTTCTTCCCACGAAACCTGGAGAGGGAAGCCGAAGAGTATGAGAGCGCCTCGGGGATCAATTTTGGCCAGCCCTTCGTGCTGGGATTTGAGTTCAGCCGGCCAGAATTCGGTCTCAATTGGTCGGAAAGTCCTGGCGATGATTGCGTTGAAACTAACGTCTACCGGCACCCGGAACGGCAAGGAACGCCTGTGGTGAGCTTTTCAAAGATCCACGATATATACGCTCTCGGTATGACTATGAACTCTGCAACAGCTCTGGTTGAAGGATGGCTGCTGACTTTGGAGCTAGGTGTTGTTCTCCTGGAAATTGGGTTGTGGAAGCAGGCGATTACCTTGCAAAAAGATCGCTTCCAATATTGTCGAAATCCGGAAGTCATCCGCGAGCAGCTCATCAAGCATGCAACGAGGAAACTCGCAGGAAAGATGGGATCCAAGTATCAACAGGTAGTCCTAAAGTGTCTCACAGCCGATTTTAGCGTTCGAAACGACACGAAGGAGGATCTCAAGCTACAGCAGGCTTTCCGATTACAAGTTGTTGATGTATTGGAAAGGACGGCGAATAGTGTGTAGACAAATAGAGGAAGAGAGAACAATCGGGGCGTTAATTCAGCTCACCGCTCCCCATCACTGACGCTTAACTAAGAGTCCAAGACACGAATGTCTTGGTCAACGGAATTTAGCAGCAATCATACCTTTTCAGGAAAAGTGGGGTTACCAGCCAATGACGCAAGCTGATGCACGCCTCTACAGAGGGGGTATCGCAGCCGAATATTAGCGTGAATTTGTTTTTTTACTCATGTCATAGGTAGCTGAAGCTATCGTCCGGACGAGAATGTCGAATTAAAATTTCCACATACACGTCCGGATGAGAGCTTCAACTACACACATGTGTTATTTTTTCTAAGGGGGGAAAGAAAATTAAAGACTGAGACATAGTCACGCCTGGGGCCGTACGCTGGCATGCGGCTGCGATACCCCTCTGTATGTACAACTTGGGGGCCAGAAAATCTTGTTTCATATGCAAGAAAGCGCGACATTTATTCGATTCGAGTCCGCCATTTGACGTCATAGCATGACAAGTCTCAACGGTAGTTAATACAAGGAACGAGGCACCAATTATTGCAACAACCGAAGAGGCATATCAGTTACCCTCCATTTTCGAATGGATCTACAAATTTCAAAGAGGAGGCATGACACACAAAAGCGATATTATGGACTATCCATCCCTCCAAACTTTGTGGTGCGAAGACCGTCCAAACTCTCTACAATGCCTCATTTGTAGAAACCCTTTTACAAAGGACCGCTCGCTCATTCGAACATTCAAAATACAGCCTCATGGCACCGCTCTGGAGAGACACAGCTGTTCAAACATCATTACTTTGCCTGGAGAGCTGATAGCCATCTACGATCGATGTCTCGGGTGCCTGGTCTCCTCCAAGATAGAGTACATCACTATATCCCACGTTTGGGACTCTGAGGTGTCAAAGGCACAGAATGCTGGACGAGATACGGTCCCGTCGACCAATGCGCAAACTTCAGCTTTCACACTTCCCATCAAGGTATACCATGGTATCTTCAAATCTCTCGGAAAAGACCACGAGATCTGGCACGACTACATTAGCGTCCCTCAGTGGACCGAAGATCTGAAAAGACCAATATTGAGGACTATTCCTCAGCTTTACAGCAAAGCTTTCTTCACCCTCGTACATCTGCATGATGTTCCACCAAGAGCAGTTCAATCCCTGCGAGCTGATGCATCCGAGGACAGGATTCGAGGCATGACAGAAATCTGCAACGGCGTTTGGTTCCGCCGGATCTGGACTGCAATGGAGTACGTCCGCAGTGAGCGTGTACGGGTCATGCTCGAAGACTACCGAATCGCCAACGACGTTGAAGATCTTTTCCTGGGCGCGATGGCAGAAGTGTGGACCGAAGAAACGAGGCGTCAAGGGAACGTTCACAACGTCGAAAGGATGGCAACCGATAACAACCTCGTGGCATGGCGGCTCGGGCCTTTGAAGAGCATCGGCGCTCTGCGAGAAACCTCGTTCGGCCACGCATTCAGCCTACTCAGCAGGCGGCTGTGTACGCAAAAGCACGATTTCTTCTACGCACTGCTCGGTATCGTGAAAGCGGAGCTGGATGAGAGTATTGACGAGGACGATCGCCAAGCTTGCAGACAGATCGCCAAACAGTGCCTCGAAGTTGGGGACTACAGCCCTCTTTTGATGCTTCCGCGGTTCGAAGCTAGGCATCGTATGAAACTCCACGGCTACCATGATGTGCGTCCTTGGGGATTGGGCCAGGAGCTATCCTCTTCACCCATTCAAAATGGACTTGTCCTTAGACCGACGAATCTCACCCTGAAGGCCGAAAAGATCGGGATCATCAAATTCGCCCGCAAGTTCCAGTCCTTGGCTTTTGACGAGCCCACGATGCTCGCGCACCTGGCTAGCATCGTCCTTGACTATACAGGGCCTGACCTTGTCAGCTTTGTCTCGACCCTCGGCACCAGAATGTGCGGGCAGAACACGCAGGAGATCCTGGCCCATCTGCAAAGATGTGGAAAAAGACGACAACTGAAGACCGCACTGCTGGAGCGCTACAACTCCCCAAGGAAGACGACATGGCCAATCGAGGGGGAAAGCGGCATCAAATGGATCGCCGAGGCCATAGGGCTCTCAGACATGAGCTTGACAGATAAGGCGGAACGGATGGGGGGCGATACGCCCCTGGGTTTCATTAGGGCACGAGGCGGCACCATTCACGGAGGTGACACTGGGGCAATCATTGGCGTGGCTTGCCAGCGCTGCCGTGAAACTTTTCTTTTTCGCGCTGCGCTATCGAAGCGCCCCTCCGGAGTTCTCAGCGCCTTGGCGTATCGCATTCCTGGCCTGGATTACGGCTACTCATTGAAGGACGGGGTCGGTGTCATCGTACAGGATGAAGTGATAATTGGTCGTATGGTCTGGGCACGCCCAGCCTGTGAGTGCCGCGAGATCGAGGATGTGGAGCTGGAGTATCCTGATTGGGAAATGCCAGACCCGAACAAGTTTTCGTACGGTGGGAGATAGGTCCGGATTTCGTTCTTCTAGTATTTCTGGAGATTCTATTGTAACTGTGCACATGGATCTTTCTCGGTGGAGCCACAAGTAGCGGGAAATGGGTATCGTTTGAGGACAAGATACTTGATACTTGTGTTGATAGAGAAATGGCAGATTTTGGCGTAAATTTATTTCTCTGTCCTGGTTTTTGAATTTAGCGCTAGATGAATCTGATACTATCCGACTTGGTTAGTATTTTTTCGGCAGCTACCGTTAGGTATCATCAGCGTTTGCAACTGATGCTTATCATTCTGGCTTGCGCCATAGGGTGGGCTCAAAGAGCCTGGATAGCAGTTGCCATGATCGGAGACGACAGGTTTGCTGTTAGATCTCAGGTGAACGTATTGCGATTGAGGCTGTGCTTGAACCGCTATGAGTGAAAATCGAGGTTAAGAACGGAACGGAAGAAGGGAGGACCAGATTTTCAACACCACGCGCACGGACCCAACCCAACCACTTTCTTGCCTATCGATAACGCGATCGCGCACCAACAACACCTGCTCAACAAACGAAAGCACAAGCTAAGCAGTCCAACCAAGCGAGAGGCCATCAGAGAGCGGCGAGCGGGATGTCGCGGCCGATCCAGACGTCGGATATCATCTTCCCGGAGCTGTCGACGGATTTCTCGACGACGCTCTCTTCGCTCAAGCGGGCGACGCTGTCCATCTCCAACCGGCTGCGGTCCATCTCCGAGGATGCCGAGTTCGTGTGCGCCGTGGCCGACGCGTACCGGCGGCCGCTGGTGGCCAACGAGCGGTGCGGCAGCTGGTACATCCCGCTGGAGCGCAAGGCCGCGAGCGCCTATTTCAAGAGCACCGACGGCCACACCGGCGAGTGGTCCTTCAGCCTGAGGCGACTGAACATCCAGGTGCTGGAAGTTGTGGGCGCGAATGACGGGTAGGTGAGCGGAGTGGGAATTATCGTATCCCTGGAGATCAAGAGCTGATGGCGCGGTAGATGCATAATTGTCGACTCTACAAGACGAGGTAAAAGTATGTATATTCATCCAAAGTGTTTCTCTCGTTTTTCTTCTCTTTCCTCTCATACCACTCTACCATTCTTCTCGTCTCGTTTCTAACCCGGATCTAAAAGGAATGCCCGACGCCCTCTCCAAAACCGTCCCCATCTGGTGCGCCATCTGGAACGCCCTCCTCTTCCCCTCCACCTCAACCCCCTCAGACCCCATCCCCATCCACCTCCCCCCAACCACCGTCTCCGCCTCCGAACGCGCTCAAATCACCTCCCGCCTCCCCACCTTCCTCGCCGCCGCCCGCGCCCTCAACCTCCCCCTCGACCGGCTGCGCGCGCAGCTCAAGAAGCCGCTGCGGCCGCTGTGGGTGACGCGGGACTCGCCGTTGCCCGGCGACGACGAAGGAGCCGCCGAGGGAACCGAGGGGACCGAGGGGACTGAGGGAGGAGCCGGGGGTGAGGGAGCAGGAGTGATACCGTCCTTCCCGGACTTCCACCCCGTCATCCTCTGCACGGCCAGCCGGCGCGTGCCGGGCGGCGAAGTGAGCGAGGGTGGCTACGTGCAGGGCGCGGGCGACGACAGCGAGGGCTGGGCGCGCGGGCTGACGGCGCCGCTGTTTTGGGGGGAGCGCCGCGACGAGCTGTTGCGGGCGTCGGAGGCGGAACTACCGGAGTTGATTGCGGAGTTGGTGAAGGAAGCTTCCTTTTCTTTTGCTGGGGCTAGCGCCGGTGGTAGTGTTGATGCGGTGCAGCTGGCGCCGGCGGGGTGGGTGTGGGTTTGCGCGGCGGGTGCGTTGAAGGGGAGGGCGGACGCGGGGCAGCAGTTCGATGCTGTGGTGGAGTGCGGCGATGCGCCGCCGGACGAGGCGCTGGTGAAGGGGTTGAAGGGCAGGTACCTCCACCTCAAGTGCGGGACGGGTAAGCTGGGGAGTCGGGACCTGCGGAACGAGATCGCGAAGATTGAGGAGTTCGTGCTAAGGCGCGTGCCGGAAGGCGGCGCGCGGAAACTGGCTGTCTGCTGTCAAACTGGGAAGGACCTGTCTGTCGGCGTGGCGCTAGCCGTGCTGTGCTTGTACGCGGACGAAGAAGGTGAGTAGTAGTACACCAGACCTGCTGCTGCTGTGCCCTGCAGCCATGATTGGATATCACAGCTGGCTGACGTCGATCCCACCACAGGTCAACGCCTCGCCAACCCCAACGACGCCATCACAAAAGACTTCATCCGCCAGCGCCTCAGCTGGATCATGACCGCCTACCCGGCCGCCAGCCCCTCGCGCGCGACCCTGCAATCCGTCAACGCCTTCCTCTTCTCCCCGCGCGAAAAGTTTCCTGCTCCTCATCCTCCTCCTGTTCCTCCTGCTCCCCCCTCCTCAGCCACTCCCTCCTCAACCACCCCAATGACCACCCCCCTCTCCAAAACCTTCGCCTCCCTCACCACCACCACCGCGAATCCCTGGACCCTCGCCCGCACCCTGACCTCGCACCTACCCCCCAGTAGCGGCGGCACGCCGTCAGGCAGCTTCGCCGGCACGGCGACCTTCGCGCCGCGCGCGCCGACGGCCGCCGGCTACGCGGCCGAGTGCCTGTACGCGGAAGAAGGCGTGCTGCGGACCGAGACGGGGCTGGAGGTGGCCGCGCGGCGGCGGTACGTGTGGAGGTATCGAGAAGGACGAAGGGAGAAGAAAGAGGCGGGGAAGGAAGAAGAGGGGGAGCAAGAGGAGGGGATCTCGATCTGGTTCGTCAAGGAGGATGGGGAGAGCGTGGATTACTTGTTCTTGGATATGGAGTTCCAAGGTGGCGAAGGAGGCGGCAAGAAGCTCAGGGCGAAGGGGAGGCATCCGTGTGGGCGGGATATGTATGATGCAGAGTTTGTGTTTGGGGGTGGTGGTGAGCAGGGGATGGTCGTGACGTACGTTGTCAAGGGCCCGAAGAAGGATTATATCAGTGAGACGAGGTACACGCGCTGAACCAAAGGTGAGAACATGGAGAATGTTCGATTTGTATACGTATACTGCCTAGGTTGCAGGCGATTATCAAAAGAGCGTGCTATGTAGATGTTGGTCATAAATCATGAGGGTAATGAGCGGACGGGTGCTGAAGACGCCTGAAACCACAACTCCCACGACCACCAGGAGAAAGAGTGTCTCGTTCCATCATCAGGACTTGTACCATGCCTATCACATCAATTTAGCTCCAACTTCCCACCGTCACATCAGCCATTCTTCCCTGCGCAATACAGGCGTGTGCCTCACCCGCAGAGAAGTGGCGACAATCAAACTTTCTCCACCACGGGCGCCAACCCAGCCCTCATCTCCGCATCTTCGACCGTCAGCAAGCGATACTTGCCGCTGCCCAAGCCGAACCTCCGCTTAATCGCCTTCCAGCTCTCCACAGCAGCCAGGTACACGACGACGCAAGCGACGACGATGCCCCACTCCCAAGTGATGGCCTCGTGCTTGAAGACGATGCGGTTGATGACAGGGATATAAACGACAGGGAAAGTGATGACGAAGCCGGCGACGACGGCCCAGAAGAGGAAGCGGTTGCGCCAGACAGCCCCAAAAACGGACAGCGCCTTTGGCGGGCCACCCTGGACGTGGGGGTAGAGGTTGAACAGGCTGCGGCTGAAGTGCTTGACCTCCCACGCCGTGACGAGCAGCAGGAACGACAGCGTGGCGTAGGTGGTGGCGCGCGCGCGGAAGACGGTGTCGCACGAGCCGTTCCAGCCTTCGTTGCAGTCGGTGCCCAGCGCGCCGGCGCCCTCGCCGAAGGCCACGGACGTGAAGGCGGCGATGCACAGCGAGCCCATGAAGGTGCCGTAGATGAACTTGTCGATGATGAGCTCGGGCGTGAAGACGCCGACGCGCAGGTCGTGCGGCGGGCGCAGCATGATGTCGGGCTGCGCCTCCTCGACGCCCAGCCCCAGCGCGAGGAACGACGACGTGATGAGGTTGACCCACAGGATCTCGAGCGGCGACAGCGGGAAGACCGAGTTGCCGTCGTGGTCCTTGAAGGCGAGGCCGATGAGCAGCAGGATGACCTGCGAGATGTTGGAGATGAGGAGGTGCAGGAGGAATTTCTGGATGTTGTCGAACAGCCGCCGCCCCTCTTCGACGGCCTTGACGATGGACGCGAAATTGTCGTCCGTCAGTACCATATCCGCCGCCTCCTTTGCGACATCGCTACCGTTCAATCCCATGGCGACGCCGACGGAGGAGATGCGCAGGGCGGGTGCGTCGTTGACACCATCGCCCGTCATGACGCAGAACGCTTTCCGGCGGTGCATGGCTTGCACCATGCGGACTTTCGTCTTGGGACTGCACCGGGCCAGCACCAGGGGCAGCGTCTCGATGGCATCGATTTCGTCGTCTGAGAGTTTGTCGAACTCGGAAGCGGGCATGATGGCAGACCCCGAGTTTGCGTTCGGCGCGGCACCACTCAAGATGCCTACCTCGTGCGCAATAGCCGTAGCCGTCTTGATGTGATCACCCGTAAGCATATGCACCGTGATGCCGGCCATCTGGCACCGACGTACCGCCCCGGCTGTTTCCAGACGCGGCGGATCGTACAGGCCGACCAGACCGACGAACTCGATGTTCGATTCGGCCGCAGCGCGATCGGTGAGTTGCTGCGAGTCGTCATTCGGCACCAGCTTGTGACCGACGCAGAGGACGCGAAGACCATTGCCGGCCATTTCCTCAGCCATGGAAATGATCTGCTGCTTTTCCGAATCGGAGCTCAGGAGGACCGGGAGCATGACCTCGACCGCACCTTTCATGTAGGCGTGGGCAGAGGCTGCAGTCTTGTCCTTGTAGATGATGGCCATGCGCTTGAAGTTCGAGTCGAAGGGGAATTCGGCCAGTAGTTCCAAGTTCCCGTCTTCCATCAGAGTGGGCTTGCCCGAATTGAAGCGCATTGCGAGAACCTGGAGGGCAATCTCGGTAGGTTCGCCGACGCTGATCCATCCAGCCTCCGAAGCAGTGCTGACAGACGCGTCGTCCGCAGTAGACTTGTAAACGGAGGAGAGGTTGCACAGGGCGATGGCCTTCAGGAAAGTCTCCAGGTGGGGGGATTCGGTGTATTCTTCAAGATCGATGTCACAGTCATTCATCTTGATAAACCCACTTGAGGGGTCGAATGGATTGGTAGTATCGTGGATCGTCATTGTTCCCAGGGCCGGGATCCATGCCTTGCGGGCAATCATCTTGCCCTGGGTCAGGGTTCCCGTCTTGTCGGAGCAGATGTTGGTCACTCCTCCGACGGCCTCGAGAGCGGAGAGTTTCCTGACAATGACATGGCCCTTGGCCATGGCTTTGGTGCCGACCGCGATCGTGATGGTGAGCACCGCGATGAGAGATTCCGGAATGACCGCAACTCCCACGCAGATGCCGTAGATGAGAACTTCGCCTTGGACATCCCATTTGGCCGCGGAAAAGACAATGACCGCGAGGAGGATGGCCAGAGCGAAGAGGAGCAGGGCGAATTTACTCAGCTTAATCTGCAGCGGGGTTCCTTCCAGACCCAACACGACCTTGAAGCCGTTTTTGAAGCGGTTCCAAGAGCGAATGATGATGTTGGATCCTTCCGTCACTTGGCCACGGCTGCGCAGCATCTCGGCAATTTGTCCCACTTCAGTGTTGACGCCGGTTGCCACGACAATGCCAGTGGCTCTTCCCTGAGACATTGTGGTCGCCGAGTACGCCATGTTGGTACGATCTCCGACGGGGATGTCGGAGTTCTCGAAAATCTTATGGGGGGTCTTGTTCACGGGGAGTGACTCTCCAGTTAAGAGAGCCTCATCGGTGGATACGTTGATACCGTCAATCAGCCTCAAGTCCGCGGGAACGATGTCTCCGACGTTGAGGTGGACAATGTCACCAACGACTACAGTTTCGGCCTTGACATGCTCGATTGCACCGCCTCGCATTACCTTGGATACGGGCGCGGATAGCGCGTACAACGACATGATAGCCTTCTCTGCGTGGTAGTCTTGTACGAATCTGTCCCAGCACGTCAGCAAATCCCCTACACGAGAAAAGCCGGCGAGTCTCACCCGACGACGATGTTGAGCAGAATGACGGCCGTTATGACTCCGCCTTCGATGTAGTCATCGATTCCGAAGCTAAGAGCCATGACAATCACAAGAACCTAGTTGGGTCAGTGACGCAGGAACGAGGCACAAGCATCTGAGTGTCGTCTTTCGACGAAGTCATCAATGCGTGACATTCGCCACCCGTTGTTGATGGCGAACGTCACTGGTCTACATACTAGGGTCAGACTGTTCGACACCTGTCTCAGCAGGATTTTCCACAAGGAAAGCCCTTTAGCTCCCTCAACCTTGTTAAGCCCATCTCGCTCGAGGCGAGACGCGGCTTCGGCACGAGAGAGTCCATTTCTGAGAGCTGTTAGCCACCGGTACGACGGGCATGCGAAGGAGGTGGGCTTACTGGGGATCAACGCCTAGTACCCGGGCAACAGTGGCCGCGGGTACGGTATGAGCGTCCTTGAAGCCGCAGCCTTCTTTGCCGTCGTCTGTGGAGAGGTCGGTCGAGGGCGCAGAGGTCAGGGTGGTGCCGGCTGAGCCGCCGTCCTTCTCGGCAGGGAATGCAGTGCCTTTGCTTATACGTTCCTCTACGGGGCCACGTATAGGAGGTTCAGTCGTCTCCTCGACATCAAGGGTGGTGTCTTCTATCCCCATTCACTAGGCTGAGGTGCGGTCTGAGGGGTCCCGGGGAAGCGTGTGAATGAACAGTGGCGAACAAAGAAGGTTGTCACAAAGGACGGTATCCAAAAAGGACGTAGACCCAGGCTGCGGGGTTGCGGGTGGACGTTAAATAGCCCAGACCTGCCGTGGCAGGCCCAGTGATGCATCCTTGGCTTGTGGCTCGGCTTAGTCGCCTCATCATGGCGAGCTGCCGGCGTCAGCAGAACTCCCGCCGCACAGCGCTCCACCAAAGGGGCAGCCGGAAACGCTTTAGTTCTAACTCGACCGCGGGACTACTGTGGCTGGGCATGTTCCGCTGCGCTTGGACTCTTGGCTGAGCGCGGAGCCTGCAGGCGACAGAGGTACAGGTACTTGCGTGCGTTCATGAGGACGAGGAAGCGGCCAATGGGAGCGCGGCATGCGAGATACATCGTGAGGCTGCCATGGGCCCCCAGGACGCCTGATTGGAGGCGGCCTGGGCGAGCGCCATTGTTGAGAGGCGAGGAACATGTACAATTGGTTCTTGGAGATGACGAGTCTCGTGATCAAATGCGTAATGTGGAAAGCCAAGGATGCGCAGCGCTCTTGGCTTAGTCGATAACAAGGAACAGGTCTCCACCTGCTCGCTGCGCCCTGCTGTGATTTCGGGGAATGCTGAGCATGCTGCCGGTATCAGTGCGCGTGTGCGTTGTGTTCAGGAGCTGCTGGTTGCAGTGGACGAGTGACGGAGCTGCAGCTGCTCTGGACCGCGGATGCACCATCCTCCCGCCCCGCGTTTTCGGCCGCTTTTTCCGAGGCCCCTGGCGCCTTCCCCCACCATGGCCAGCAATCAGCATGCCGTATCTGTATCACGCGGATGCCCCAAAGCAGCCGCATGAAGGAGCGTCGTCAGCTAGAACCCCATTCTCGTAATGTCTGCCTCTTCGTCTGGAGAATGCGTTCAACATGGCTCTCATCAGTGATCTCGTCCTCGACGACGCCAAGTTCGACGAGTCCAGAATCAGCGAAGCAACCGCTGCACTGAACGATAGGCTCATCGAAACGCAGCTAAGCATTCCGAAGTGGCACGAGGTAAGGCTGTCGTGTCTCACAGGTAGCACGGCGCTACAGAACCGCAGGCTGAGTTCTGCGTGCAGGTTGGGGCAGAGAAGTTCCGTCAGATGCGCTGGAATGGGGAGACCACTTTGCCCAGACCTATCGTCATCGATTCCGGCGTCGACTTCACGATCCCCTCCCGCGATGCCGGCCGCAACATTCCGTGCCGCATGTTCAAGCCCGCAAGCGGCAGCGTGAGAGGCGTTCTCATGCACATCCACGGTGGTGGTTTTGTGCTGTGCTCCGAGAAATAGTACGCTTCCGCCGTGTGCCGATTGAGCTCCTCTCGCTGAACAAGTCCAGTGCAGACACGTATATCAAGTCGCTTGCCGACGGTTGCCAGCTTGCTGTCGTTAGCATCGGTTACCGGCTGGCGCCTGAACATCCCCACCCTGCCGGGCCCAATGATTGTATTGATGCTGCCGAATGGCTTATCAAAAAGGCGAGGCCCAACTACGGTGCTCCGTTGATGTTTATCAGTGGAGACGTAAGCCACGACCTTCGACCTGACGCGCTTTAGCTGACATTTTACGACAGTCGGCTGGTGCCAACCTTAGCGTCGTGACAGCACTTCATCTTCTCAAGATGCAAGCTAATTTCTCTCTGCGTGGTCTAATTCTGCATTATGGCGTCTATGACCTGTCCCATAATCTGCCGCAAGCAAAGAACTTCAAGACACACGGCACATTGGTCCTGGATCAGAGCGACATGGCGCACTTTGCGGATGCATACTTGCCCGACAAAACGCAGGAGCAGCGTCGTGACCCTGCCGTTTCGCCATTCTACGAGGATCTGTATCAGTTCGGAAGGGCTGCACTACCGCCCGCGCTGTTCACGTGCGGGACCCAAGACCCTCTTCTGGACGACACCCTGATGATGGCCATCAAGTGGAGATGCACCGGGAGCGAGGGAATCACCAAGATCTTCACCGGGGCGCCCCACGCCTTTGCCTTATTCCCGCCGTCCGTGTGCGAGCACGCTGGTCCAGCGATGGAAATGACGCAACAGTTCATTTTGGAGAAAATGGCCTAAGCGATTGTGCGTTGATACCCATTCACGGCGTAAAAATTTTGAACATGGACCTGGGTGACTGCATGTCAGAGCGGAATGAGACCTGGCGAGCCGTGGGATGAAGGCCGTCAAGTCAATTTTGCGCACTGGATCACTCTTGGAACTGAAAGAGGGCCAATTATGGAGTAGGATGATCTCCATGTTGGCGTGACAAATAAGGTTCCGTTTTCACATGCAGCATGTATAATCTCATCGTTGACCAGGACTTGCATTGTGCCTAATCGACTAAGGCTAGACGGTTTCAAAGGCCCCAGAGGGTGCCGGTGTTAGAAAATGCCTGCCTGAATGTGGTAATGCAAACGCTCGGTATCCTCGAAGGAATTTCGACCAGTTGCCCCATCTTCCCACAATGCGACAATTCGAGATTGAAATTCGCGATCGGCCCACGCTCCGCACCCGATGCTGCCGTGCCTTCGTTGCCGACGGAATGACGTAATGCTCCGAGAGCTGAGTTGGTAAAGTCGATTGCGAGCCGTGTCAGGAGTTGCCGTTGATTCGTAAGGTTGTTGTCATGGTAGGTTGCGGGGTGACAGTGTTCGAGAAGGCGAGTCGTTTATTTGCTGAGAAATTGTAAGCGATCGGAAGTCGAGGCGGGGTTGCGCTTGCGCTCTGGGCGACAACATACCTTCTGGCCCTAACCTTTCTCCTCTTGCGCTTGAGGCGGCGAACACGCTTCTTCCTCCACTTCGCTCTCATCTTGATAACTAGATGAACTGAGAAAAGTCAGCCGCGTGATCCTCGTGGCGGTGCGCTCGCTGCAATGAGCTCGTCGAAGGCAGCAGAGAGGTGCTGCCGCCTTCTTGAGGCCATTGAGCGGCACAAACGGGCAAAATTTCACACATACCTGGTTGTCGAGATGAGGTTCGTTGGTGTGGAAAGAAGATGGTCTGAAGCTGCCCGCAGTGTTCTTGTGTGTTGCTTAAGCGAGCCTAGCCCCTGTAGGGTTAGCGCGGATTAGTCAGAGAGCTAGGCCCTCGTCCTCGTGACAGCTGCGGCCAGTGACACACGCCAAGCCGCGTCGACCATTTGCTGCCACTCGCAACGCGTCACCCGTCCGTCTTCGAACCGTTCGCCCAGGCTGAGGCGGGAAATCGCAACCGTCGTGAGGGGCTAACGTGCGGGGAAGATGGTGGAATCCTCCGAACCTCGAACGGGTCATGCTGGCCCCCCGGTCGCTTTCCTCGATCTTCGGCATGCGGCGAACGAGTACGATGGGAGAGACTCAGGTCAGTGCTGCACATGTGCTCCGGAGCTTCCGCCTGACTCGCCATGTAGAGGGTTCGAAGTTGAGGATACCAATCCACTCCAATGAGGAGTTTTATTTTGGAAGAGATTCACTGGAGTCGAAATATGATGCACCCCCAACAATGTCCAAACGTCACCTCAAATTTCACTGCATTCTCTTCGATAATGATGGACAGTGGGGAATTCAACCACTTGTCTACGCCAAGGACATCTCAACGAATGGCACTTACCTCAAGAGAACCCAGACGCTTGATACTGTCATGATGCGCCCTCACGCCCAAACTACTCTTCTCGAAGACGATGACGAATTGTGGGTTGCTCCCATGATGTTCCTTCGTTATCGTGTGGACGGAGAGCACAAGGGCAAAGATCGTGCTTTCCCACCTGAGGTGCAAATGGACATGAAGGCAAGCTGCATGTGAAGTCCTGTGAGCAGACGAATATCTTACTGTTTTAGGTTATTTCCCGTCGATACCAAGTCAAGTCTCGCCTGATTGGAGAAGGCGGCCATGGTGCAGTCCATGTAGCCATTCACCGGAAGACGCAACGCCAGCTTGCTTGTAAACTCATCGACTTGAATTTTCTGCATCAAAGTGGGAGAGACATGGAAAGACTGGCACGCGAGTTTGAGGTTTTAAGAGACCTCGACCACGTAAGTGTACGTGAGTATTCTGCAGTGCACAGTTCCTAACGTATGGTAGCCGAACATCATCAAGCTGGAGAAAGTCTACCATAGCGATGCGGGCCTGTAGGTCGATCCGTTTGCAACCCATCTAAGCTTCACTAAAATTGTTCAGCTACATCTTTCAAGAGCTCATCCCGGGCGGCGATCTATTCTCATTCGTAACAAACAGGTATGATTTCGGCGTGCCAACCATTGAGGCCGCCGTGATAGTATACCAGATCCTCAAAGGCGTCGATTATCTACACGAAAACGGCATCGTTCACAGGGACATTAAGCCAGACAATATCTTGCTGACATCAACAAAGACTGCGTGTCGTGTTGTCATCACCGATTTTGGTCAGTCGCGCTACTTGCCTGAAGATAACGCTGCCCAAAGGATGGTGACTATGGCGGGAACGCTAGGATTCAACGCTCCGTAGGTGCATCGCTGTCATTGGCCACAGCAGGCTCCCTTTTTTTTTTTCCCCCGCAGACCTTCTGTGTTCTGCATTACTGATTGTCTTTAGGGAAATCTTCAGGCGAAATCCGAAAGTTTCCGGCAGTTCGGGGTATTCTAAGGCAGTAGACGTCTGGTCTGTCGGCTGCGTTGCTGGACTACTTTTAAGTGGTAAACCGATCTTCCATGACAACGATGCCGAAGACCAGGGAACTGCTGTCAAGGTGTTGAGCAGCAAATGCAATCTTGACATCCTGGAGAATGATCCTGTCTGGCAAAAAGTCGGCCGCCGAGCGAAAGATTTCATCCGTCGAACAGTTGTGTTGGACGAGAATGACCGGCTCGATGCGAAACAGGCGCTGCAACATGAATGGTTCTCAAGTCAAGCATATGCTGATGAACTTCAAGCGGTGTATCAGCACGTCACCAAAGACTGGGAGCCTCGAAGACAGATTTTCAAGATCATCGAGCACATCCCCACATCTCGTCCAAAGATGGTACTTAACACCTCTCAGTTCTTTCCGCCGCCAACTTTACCTGAACGCCGTCCACTCTCTATGGTGGATCTATTATCAGGCCAATCACCAATGATGCCAATCATAGATGAGGAGGTGATCTGCCCTGGCGCGAGTTCGGCAAAGCCTTCATCAACAGATTTGGGCGAAGAATCAGAAATCCCCAGACCGCCAGAGTCTTGGGGAGATACCCCAACTGAAGAAGAGTCACACACGGTGCAAAATGAAGCTACTCATGCGACTCAACAGTTTTTAGCGGAGAACAAGCCTGCTGCAGACGTTCTCGTTCAGCAAGATTCAAATAGCGCAAAACACCTTGACCAAGAAAACCATGGCCAGCAGCAATTGATTCCCACCCAGCTCATGACCCAGAACCACCAGAAAGAAAAACAGAATATCCTCTACGACGCTAACAGCCCCCAGCAAAGGGATTCACTCAACTCTGCAATGCCAGGTGCTTCTGACGAAGAGAATATGCAACGCAGACTAACACACCTCTCGCTATCTGACCAGCAAGACGAGGTGGATACCGATTGGCATGGGACAAGGCAGCCATCCTTTGACTTTGATCGGGACATGGGTGAAGATTCACACTCACACCAGCAATATGCCATGCCGTCATCAGGCAAAAGGCAGCCTTCATTTGATTTCGACCAAGACGTGGATGACGCTAACTTCTGGGAGGCCGCCGTAACAGCGGAGTTCAAGCAGCCGATAGCGAAGAGGCTGCGTACTGGCTGACTGGTTCAGAATTGCGACATCTGATTCAAATCAGTGCTGAATCAGAATATGAAGGTCATTAGCCAGCACTGAAAGTCAGTGCAACGTCATACTTGTTTCATTTCGACATTATGATACTCTACGAGTAGCTATACTTGCTGTAAGTAATGGGTTCACGGGAAATGTTTGCATGGAAATGGGCATATCTGATTGCTAGGAGCTGTTAAGGTCACGGATAATGTTTTGCTTAGACATCTAAATCAGACGCTCATTTGATTATGCTCTCGTTGTGCATGCAGCACAAGATATTGGACGTGACACCAGCGCTATTTTCTATCACCACATCTTCTGCAGTCCTACGCTTGCCTCAGCGAATCCCCCCAACATTCATCGCTCCACGATCACTCATACGCCATTTACAACGACTTGTTCATGAACTTCCTCTTGATGAAGCTGAGCCAGTACTTGCTCGGCGCCGCCTGGTCCTCGGCATACACACGGTTCAGCAACCTCACGGCAAGCTCCTGACGCATCTGTGCGAGGTACTGGCGAAGGGTCTCGGCGTCATTGCGGTTGGCGGGGGCCTCGAAGGCCTGGTTGAGCGGGAAGCTGGCATCGCCGGGGATGGCGAAGTTGGTGTCAAGAGCGAGGTTCATCAGGGCCTGCAAGTATCACGCCGAAGCAGCGTTAGCATCCGTCCCATCACGACCAACCTCCACACCGCAATCATTCTCTGCCCCGTTTCACCTGCCCATTCCGCCAATGATATTCCTTGTTTCATCCCTCCGGGGTTGTGCAGATGTGTGTATATTGGGTCAACGCACCTTCTCGGCGTCCCTTTTGCTCATGCTCGGCTTGATGACGCTCAGGGCCTGGCTGACGAAGAGGATGCCATAGATGAGGACGCGGTCGGCGGGGCCCTTGATCTCAAAGTTGCGGAAGAAGGTGTTGGCGCGGAAGAGGGCGAGGATCTCGTCGACGGGGTCGTACGACTCGTGCGACGCCTCGACCGTCAGCTCCGTCACGTCGGCGGGCAGAGGGGGCAGCTGCAGCGCCGGGCCGCGCGTGCGGGTGCGCAGCGGCAGCAGCGCGAAGTTGCCTGCAGCGAGAAAGGAAACATTTGTGTAAGCGGACGGTTGGTGCCGGACATGTGTGCTATGGTGGCGTCGGGAGCGGCATTGAGTGGTGTTGGAGGTTGTGCGAGTTGCGGCTCCGTGGTGGTGCCTGCGGGGAGCTGGCGGGGGCTGCGGCGGGAGCGGGTACCTATTATGTGCTGGTTGGGCTCATCGAGGAAGACGGAGTGGTAGGCCTGTCAGGGACATTAGCACAGCGTTCGAACAGCAGGATTGCGTCGACGTACGGGCATTTTGGCGGTGGTGGGATGTTTGGAGCTTGGGTTACGGGGGAATCTCTGGGGGGGCGGGCGCTGTCCTATGATGATGCGGGTCTGCCCTGCTCTGTGCCCGACCGGCCGCAAGGCTGAACGTTTGCCGTGTTTGCATCACTTTACGCGCTCCGCAGGCGCGTCTTCCGCTCCTCACGCGTCTCGTTCTCTCCGCCACATTCTCACGTCGACTCTTAGCTTCGCGGTCCTCTTCTTCGCACTCAACGCTGTCGCCCACCATGTCGGACTTTGAAGGCGACGAAATGGACGTCGATGCGCCCGCCATCGAGTTCAGCGCATCCAACATGGCTGCGAAAGGCAAGCGCAGTGCCGCGAATCTGCCTGTTGAGGCCGAGGACACCCTTCCCTGGTGTGTAGAAGCTCACTCGGGCCTCATGCAGATCATGTAGCTAACAGATCATGCAGGGTCGAGAAATACCGCCCCGATACCCTTGACGATGTGTCCGGCCACCAGGACATTCTTGCGACCATTAACAAATTCGTTGACTCCAACGTACGTGCCTACGACAAAACATTGAAAGCTCTCTAATAACGAATGTTTAGAGGCTACCACACCTGCTTCTCTACGGTCCTCCTGGTACGGGTAAAACGTCTACAGTTCTCGCGCTGGCAAGGCGAATCTATGGCAAAAAGAACATGCGGCAGATGGTCCTGGAGCTCAACGCCAGTGATGACAGAGGCATTGACGTCGTGCGGTAAGACTTGCACCTCCTTGCTGCTCCAGTAGCCTTACTCACGCTCAATTCTTTCCTACAGCGAGCAAATCAAGACCTTCAGCAGCACGAAGCAAATCTTCTCGTCGGCACCTACAGCCGCGTCGGGCTCACCGTCCCTCGCGGGCTTCAAGCTGATCATCCTGGACGAGGCGGACGCGATGACGGCGACGGCGCAGATGGCGCTGCGACGGATCATGGAAAAGTACACGGCCAACACGCGCTTCTGTATCATCGCCAACTACACGCACAAGCTGTCGCCGGCGCTGCTGTCGCGCTGCACGCGCTTCCGCTTCAGCCCGCTGCGCGAGGCCGACATCCGGCGGCTGGTCGACGAGGTCATCGACAAGGAAGACGTGCGCATCACGCCCGACGCGACCGACAGCCTCGTGCGCCTCAGCAAGGGCGACATGCGCCGCGCGCTCAACGTCCTGCAGGCCTGCCACGCGAGCAGCACCCCGCTCAAGAAACCCGGCCAGAAGGAGGCGAACGATGCCGAACGCGAGACTATCACCGAGACGACCATCTACGATTGCATCGCTGCGCCCCACCCCGAGGACGTCAGGTTCGTCCTGCGTACCCTGCTCGAGACTAGCAATGTCCGCTCCTGCCTCCAGGATATCCAGCGCCTCAAGGCTGCTAAGGGTCTAGCGCTCGCGGATATACTTTCCGCGCTGTCCGAGGAGTTGATCAAGCTCGACGTCCCGCCGCAGACGCGCGTGACCTGGATGGAGGGCTTGAGCGAGGTCGAGTACAGGCTGAGTGGTGGTGGAAGTGAGGTGGTGCAGACAGGTGGGATGGTTGGTGTTGTGAGGAATGGGGCGGAATTGGCTGGTGTGAAGGCGAAATAAGGGAATGCCAGTTTACTGGCCTGGGTTGGCGGGAGGAAGAAAAAAAATATCATTTGCATGATGGGTGTTATCGGCGTTGGAGGAACGAATCAATGGCTGTTGATGGCAGGAACGAACTTTTTTCTTTTACTGAGAAGAGTGGGGATAGAGCGATGGCGGGTGCAGCCAGGTCAACGGCTGATAGTTGAGATACAGAAAGACATTTAATGCCGATAACAGATTAATCGGATGCTTTACACACGTCTTTGGTACAAGTTTGGTCACTATTCGTTGGTATGGAAAGGTGGACATGGTTCGTTCCACATAATCAGGGCATAAGCCAACCATCTCAACAACATTTCAGCAAAACGCTACATCGAAAACATTGTTTCATCTTCTTCATCCGTTAAGCACTCCCCTTCAATACGATAGAGCGCGTGAATTGCGACGCCAATGCCTTTCTGCTAAGCCGGGAAGGCGGATTGGCATAAGCGCGAAGCCGTAGAGTAATACCCTAAGAATACAATCATCGGAATATGGAGATAGCATGGAGAGCCTTGAATATACATAAGATTACAGTGACTAAAATATTATCATACTTGAACGACGCGTCATTGTTGTGGAAAAGCTCGCAATTTTTTTTTCTAACAAAAAAGTGTTTCTGCTTGTGACACATTTGGTCAAGACTTTATTTAGTCTTTGAGGCGACAACGCCTCTTCCTCAGAGAAGGCGTATCAATTTTATTTAGATATCACTGCTTTTTCTCATAGCTCAAAGGTGTAGGAATTTCCTATTGGTCAATTGATTTGATGTTCCCTCGCATCCACAGCCCGTCTTCATTACGTCTACAGAAGCTATGGCCCACATTCTTTTCTTTTTTTTCCTCGTGTATCTCAAAGTCGCCAAAGAGGCGCATCGGCAATCTTAATTCGATAATGAGAAAGCATGTGCAGAATTGGCGCTTGTTGCTTGACGGATTAATTTTTTAGTGGAATGTTTCATTGGATCAAAGTTTCATCGTCGCTCTCCACTCAGACGCGAACATCAGACTTAAGGTGTTGGTTCTCTGGTGATCTTGTAGCATAAACGCCGTCGGACAATTTGAATTCGCCGCGGAATAACGCCACGGAGTTTGCTTAGATGCTCATCAAAAAGCCAATCCAAGCTTTTCAGCGAGCTGCAAAGTCAAATTGATCGCTGCAAGCGTGCCCAAGCGACGACAACAACAACGCGTACGTATCGTATTCTGAGGGTCCTTCTCTCTCTACAAAATGAGTGGCTTGTCAATGAAGTTTGGCGAGCTAGGCCTAAAGGCAGTAGTGAGTGCGATAGTGGAGTTCTTTTGTATCTAGATAGGTTTAACGAGATGCGTAGGTGCATTTGCGTGCGTATGCATGCGGATGAGGATGATCAGTGCGGTCCGGCGGATGGTCGGAATACAAAAAAAAGGGAGCTGCAAGGTAAGGCTGCATATTGATTGAGCGTCGGGAGGTGAATTACGAGTCTGCTAGCTGGCAATTTTGAGGATAGACGCTTGGCTGACGGGAAGCAAGAGAGTCATAACGTGGCGGTGCCAGTAACAGCAGTTTCAAGAGGTGTACTGAATCAATGGCGTAAGCACTGGGCTACATGAGGAATTGCAGCCGGGAGATGGACAGGAGAAGGGATGCGGAAAAAGCGCGGTGTCAGGGTCCTTGAGATTTGTTGACAGGTTTAATCAGATAGAGCGAGAGGCAGGCAGATCCGGGGCTTTTGTTAGACAGGCTCACATCAATACCTGAGGCGGACATAGGTCCGGAGAAAGTGTGAGCGCAAGGGCAAGGCTAGTCACGGAGAGTTAATACTCCCTTAGAGATCGGCCGGTATCAACCGAAAAAGAGAGCAAAGGCGACATTCTGCAGCTGGGGGCCTATTGCATGCGCGGCTCCTGACACTCAACGTCTGGGAAATGTGACTCGTGGTTCGACAGCAGAGCACGCGTCAACGGCAACGGCCGGTTTCTCGCTGTTGCACCGATGACGCTGGAAAGATGGCGGGTGAGATGATAAGGGATACAGGCGGCGACCAGGCTGGGCTGGGCTGGGCTGGGCTCTGATCGGCAGTCGTTCAGTGAGGCTGCGTGGTTCATCTTCCATGGGCGCGGGAGATCAGCTTGAAGACGGCCATGTGCAATGCAGGAACCACGCGCCGAAGAATACTTAGAAACAGGTTCGATGGCTGGAGCGGCGGACGGGGCGCTACTGGGTGGCCCGGCAAGGAGATCCACACTTTATTTCATCATAAGGAAGCCGGGAAATTCGCAGCGGGCCCTCCGCGAGTCGGAGGCTGATGCACGGCGTCGTCACGGCGTGTAGGAGAGGTTCCGGGTGGTGCGGGTCTTGGGCATGCAGCTAAGCAGCGCGTCTCCGCACTGAGTGCGTGCGGGTAACTGCACCAAAGCCTATCCAACCCTCTTTCCCCAGATTAAGCAAGTGGAGACTCTGGCAAGACGTTCGAAGTTGCTGGGCGGGTGGTACGCTAGAGTCCAGGGGGCCCGCCCAGGTCGAGTCGATTGGTGGTGACTGTGGTGCGCGGCTGACTGCTGGCGCTGCCCGCGGCGTCGGCCTGCTGCCCGCCACCTTGGAGTCTGGGGTAGCAGTGCAGACATGTGAGCTGGATGCCAACACGCGCCGTGTCATTGGTCCGTCGCCCAACGGGTAGATCGCAGCGCTGCAGGCTGAGATCACCGAACCAAGCGGTCGTATATACCGGCAAACGCTGCCGGCCCTCGCGGTTCCTGCATCACGGCCTCCCATGGTCGCGAGGGCCCACCGTCCAGGAGGCACCTCCGGCATTCGCCTGCAGCCCGGCGGGTCGCGCACTGCGCCCGAACCTCTGCACCCCGACGACGTGACGCGGCGGCCGGAGGAGAGGAAATGCGCGGATGCGCTGGATCGTCGCGGCGTCGAGAGGCGCAAACGTTGTTGTCGCCACGGCTGTGTGAGGATGGCAGATGGCTGCCGCCTGTAACTTTGTGGCCCCAGGCACCATTCCGCCGAATTCTTGCCGATCTCGAACCATGTGCATGACTCTCTTCCATACCTGCTCGCGATAACGCCCCCGAGTCGGCAGTGTTGCGCGAGACCCGCTTGACGCGGCTCGGCCACATGGGCGTCGCCGGGAACACCCAGGCTCTGGCCCCCTCTGCAGTGCGTGCTACCTTCGTTGTGGCAGCCCGCGGCGACGGCGCCACTCCTGAATCTTCCTCCCCCGGCGAGCTAGCGGACGGATCAGCCGCTAGTCATGACCCGGCCCGCCTGAGCGTTACCTGCCTTCGGCAAGAACACCATCTTCGTCCCTCATAAGCATGACCGGGCCCCCAAACCTGGAAGTGTGGAGCCCGGGCCGCTCACTTCTTGAAACCTCCCCCACACAGAGCCCCGATGCCGTCGGATTTATCCATTCATTCCAGCCCACTTCCCTTTTACGAGTACACCTTCGCTGCACCCAGCCAACCCTCGCATCATAGCATGCGACTAAAGCCCCTACACACCCGCGGGAAGCCATGGCGCCCGCTCTGAATCCGATTGACTACTATGTTCCCGTCGTGAATCGCGGAATAACAATCCGCGCCTCGTCTCTCACCTGCATGGTACAAGTCCTGCCTCCCTGAGCCTGCATCACACCAACTGACCTCCCCAGCTTGTATCGTGGGTAGCCGTGAGTTTAAGATTGTGGACGCGCTGGAAGCTAGTACACGCTCTCGGTTGGGATGATTTTTTCGTCAGCCTAGCGGCAGTATGTCTCCTGGATTCTGTAATACTAGCCTCGAACTAACACACGTAGTGCTGGGCCCTTTTTGGAGCTATAACATTAAATAATGGTAAGTCCATGGCCATCCCCTTTCCATGTCGTCGCATCAATGCTTGACTCGACCCTCTGGAACTGGCCTCTAACATTATGCAGAGATTCCCAACGGGTTGGGTCTCCATGAATGGACTATAATCACCGAGAATCCGGATGGTACTTCGAATTACGAAACCTACTCACGTTATCTTATGGTATGTACCATAACAATGACCACCAACTCGGCCTAGTAGCTCACATCAAATAGTGGTTTTACCTTACCAACGTTTCCTACGCTGGCGCAACAAGTTCCATCAAACTGTCCCTACTGTTACAGTACCTCCGCATATTCCCGAGAAACACTCACCCGACTATGTTTCGCATCCTCCTTGGTCTTATCGCCATCGTCACAACTTGGGGGGTCACCTACCTGTTTCTCATCATCTTCGCATGCACTCCAGTGGATAAGTCTTGGAATTTGATGAAGGAGGGTAAATGTATCATGTTTGGCGACTTTCATCCGAGGAACGCATATACGGCCTACGCCAGCCAAACTGCTTCCAACATGTTCCTGGACACCATCATCCTGATCACTCCTATACCGCTCTTGTACAAGACGAGAGTCGGAAAGAGGGCAAAGTTCGGTTTGATCGGGCTCTTCAGTGCCGGGTCACTGTAAGTTCTCTACTGGAACATAAGAAGAACGATACTAACCGATACCAAAAAGTGTCGTCACCACAGCCTCCCTCCGCCTCTGGTTCGTCATTAAGAATCGTGCCGGCACCCATCCTACCATCGACCCGCCGTGGTACGCACCGTACGTTCCCGTTGTCCACACCCTCATAACCTCCTTCCCCCCAAACTAACCGCACCGCACCTCAGACCCATCATCCTCATGTCAGTCCTCGAAGTCAACCTGGCCATCCTCACCGCCTCAATGCCCATCTTCTGGCCCTACCTCGCGCACATCGGCGGTTCCGGCATCAAAGTCATGCAAGAAGTCATCGTGCGCTCCGAGCCACGCAAAGCGCCGTACCAGTTCTCGAACGCCTCCCTCACCGGCCCTTCGCCATCGCCCTACCCGCAGCGCCGCAACACGACCGAGACCACCGACGACGACGACGACGCCGCGAGCATGGCCAAGAACGGCTCCGCCATCGTCGCCACGCGCCAGCGCAGCAACTCGGACGCCAGTAACCGCCGCTTAACGATCGGCTTCTGGGACGAGGTCTTCACGGCGGGAGGCGTCGATCGCGGGTCGAAGGGGTCGAAGAGGAAGGATAGCAGTGCTAGTAACAGCCAGTACCGCCGCGAAAACCACTACACGGAAGCGCTGCCGTACGATGGCGAGAGGCACAGGTTGTATTACGGCGATCCGACGGTCGCGGAGCTCGTGGTCGGCGATTTGTTTGCCGGTGAGCCGGGTGGGGAGTCGTCGCGCGGCGGCGGCGCCAAGAGCAGTTTGGAGCGGGAGGTGTATATGGGGACTTGGGACGAGAGGGTTACTGGCAATCAGGCCACTGCGTGGTTTGAGCCGGAGCCGGTGGCGTTGGAAGATTTGAGAGGGAGGGGGAAGGGGAAGTAAGAAGACGAGAGGTGGTTCATTAATGTTTTGGAGTGACGGTTTTTTTTTTTTGAAAAAAGCAGGAGGAGGAGGCCAACTTTCCTTTTTCGTGGGGTTTGCTGATACGTTCTTTTGATACCACTCTGTTATTTTCTTTTTTTTTAAGAGGAGGGAAGACAGGCCGGCTGCGCGGAAGGGAGGATTCTGCACGCAGCTTCTGGATGGGAAAAAACGGCAATGGCGGTAATACGGCGTTTAGACGTCATGAGTACGGTAATACATGAGACATGGCATGCGAGCTGAGACTGGGTCTCGGCTTTCTGAAAGTGCCACTTTACCAGAGCTGTTCATCCAAGATGTATGAAAAAGAAGTGATTGTCTACGAATAGAGAGGCTGCCGTAAGTTGCAGTTGAATGCTGATGAATGCGCAGAATGATCCATAAGCTATCTGTGAGGCGGCGTAGAATATTGTCAGACTATATCAATGGCTATTAGCACGTCCTGAAATCAGTACGGCGTCGTGTTTGCCTTTTTTTTTTGTTTCATAAATATATACGCGCCAGTAACTAACAAACAGCAAACAACAAACGAAGAGAGGCGAATATCATGGAATCTCCCATACTTCGTCAAATGCAAATTATAATTTGTCTTGCAGCGGATATCCTTAATTGTACTGCCGTGTGCAATTCTACGGGCACGTATGCTCAAGACATTTCGGAGAATATCCAGACAATTTTGTATGATAGAATCGCATACATTGTATAGAGGAACTTGTATTCTTGCAAGAATGCTACTGCGTAAAGTACTCAAGCCATAATTGCAGCTGAAAACTTGAAGTGATGATTCAAACTCAATCCATGAAGAAACATTATAAGACGCACCATAAAAGCCCTGTGAGGTATTCCAGCGTATTTTGTAAGTACTTAATAACATATTTACTGAACAGAAAGGCTGGAAAGTACGTGGTTGAGTCACAACAGGGTCCCGTGTCCCTGCGGCCCATGTCATCTTAAGGGTTATTTCTGAGCCCTGAGGTTTATGGTTATAAGCCAAGTTGTGCCATTGCTTTTCATCAAAGCAGCAACAAAACAGATGTTCGCATCGGGTCTGTGGTTTAGTGGTATAATACTCCCTTAGCATCGAAAAACCCTTGACACCTTCCAGGTTAATTAAGGGCATTTGAGACCTAAATGGGAGTGGTCCCGGGTTCGATTCCCGGCGGATCCATTAATTCCTGGTTAAATTCCAGGGTTATACCTTCTTTTTTGCCCATTTTCCATGTGAAATAGAATACGTGAATACGTGTAAAAGTGGAGGCCCAGTGGCCTTGCTGAGCAAGACGTTTTGAAAGGTGATTACAGCGGGCAAGGGTCTCAGGCCCACGTATAATGCACAAAGGCTCACAATAATTGTGCTAGAGATCTCCTGAGCCGGGCTTCTGAACGGCATCGGACTTGAGGAGCTGTGCCGGTTTGCCGGTTGAAACACACTAGAAGAACCCGATTGCGTCCGACTTTTTTGCTCGCAGTCCCCGGGGATGTCGCCGTCGATCAGACAGTGAGCAGTTTTCCAGACTATTAATGGTTGGTTTAACTAATGACGTATACCAGGCTGGTGAAAAGTGGAATCTTAGAAAAGGAAAAACCTTCATCCATGGAAGCTTCACTTCATTGTCTACAGTGCACAGTAAGTTCATTCTGCTGTTGGGTAAAGTAGTGAGAAGCGCCGAGCGGTCGGTGTGGCGAGGGTCGGAAGTGGTGCGGGATTGGAAGTATTGCCTAATCGGGAAATGTTCTAAATCGGGGAATCTAACCGCCACCGCCTTGGAGGGGCCCAAACAATTGCCCCGCCATGTCGAAAGCTCGCCGACACATCAACCACCAACATGGAGTACGACACCAAGACGCGTAAGTAGCCTACCGGTATGCGCTGCTGGCCAATGCTGACCTCGCTACCCAGCGCCGTACAACACCAGCGACAAGACGTCGTTCGCCTACACGTCCGCAAAGGACCGGTGGCCCGTCATCATCGTGAGCCCTCACCCGCTCACCTTAGCCTCGCACTACTGACCCGGCCAGACTGGAGGTATCGATGATGTGCACCGCGCCGCGCTCGCCGCCACCGACTCCGAAACCGCGAACGAGGGAAAGCAGATCGTCGAGACTCTCGCGAAGCTCAAGTACGAGCTGCAGCACAACCGTCAACTCACTCCGCTCCCCGACGATGGCGAGGCCGACGTAGCAGGCTACAACAAGGAGCTTGAGGCTCTGGGGAACCCGACCTGGTACAACGTGCCTTGGCTCTTTGCCGAGTGCTACCTCTACAGGTAATTCTGCTCGTCGCTCGATTTTGTCGGCAACAGTCTTGTTGACCTACACAGATAGGCGCATCAACACCGCCTTCACCCTCTCTCAAAATTGGAAGAGCTATGACATCTTCGCCCGTCAGAAGATGGATACTTTCCGCTCATCGCGCCCCGCCGTCCTCGAACTCGCCGCCCGGTACAAGGATCTCATCACCCAGCTCGAGTCTGGCAAGGCGCAATCGCAGGAGGACAAGGAGGAGGCCGACAAGATCCTGTTCATGGAAATGTGCGAGATCTGTCTATGGGGCAATGCCACGGATCTGTCGCTTCTGACTTCTCTGACATACGAGGACATTCAGAAGCTGCAGGGCTCCGAGGCGCGCAAGGCGTCGGAAAAGAATATCGTGGTCAACGACCTCGAGGCTGCCTACAAGGTGCTCCTTGACGCCAAGAAGGCTGGAAAGAAGGATCGCAGGGTGGATATCGTGTTGGACAATGCCGGTTTCGAGCTCTTCGTCGACCTCATTCTGGCAGGCTACCTGCTCTCGGCAGGCCTCGCGACCAATGTCGTCCTCCACCCCAAGTCGATGCCGTGGTTCGTGTCGGATGTCCTGCCCCAGGACTTTGGCGCCCTCCTCAACGCCCTGGCAAATCCGCAGGCCTTTTACACAACTCAGACGGACGACGACAAGCACGCCGAGCGTACGCCGCAGCCGCTGTCACAGAAGGAGGTCGAGGAGCTGGAATTCCTTTTCCAGAGGTGGGGCGGATTCCACGCCGAGGGCCAGCTCACCATCCGCCCCAACCGCTTCTGGACCGAAGGTGGCAGCTACTGGCGTCTCCCCAAGACCGCACCCAGCCTGTACGAGGATCTGAAGGAGAGTGAGCTCGTCATCTTCAAGGGTGACCTCAACTACAGGAAGCTGACCGGTGATGTATGTACCCACCTCCCCTATTTGATCGCCATGATACTGATTAAAAGCACAGGCTAACTGGGACCCTACCACCCCCTTCGTCGAGGCCATCGGTCCTCTCGGTCCCAAGTCTGGCGTCCGTGTTCTTGCGCTCAGGACGTGCAAGGCCGATGTGGTTGTCGGCCTGCCCCAGGGTAAGGACGAGGAGCTGAGACAGACGGAGAACGGTGGCGGAGATAGTGGATGCCGCAAGTGGGCATGGAGTGGCAAGTGGGCCGTTGTGCAGTTTTCCGACGGCAAGGCTTGATCACGGGTTTGTGAGCGAGATTGCTGATAGAATAGAGTAGAAAAAAAATATACATTCGTCGACATCATTGCGTCATGGTTGCTTTTAAACTAATACTACTAAAGAAGCTCTATACATGTGTACGGTCGTCAGTCATGCCAAATGATTCTGCCAGCAGAACCCTTTTTCAGCTGCTCTACAGCAGCCACAACACCGCCGTCTGCAATCCGGCCACGCCCAAACACAGCGTCAAAAGCTTACTCCAAGTCGGCCCCGCCATTCCTGCAGCATCCGACGCCGCATCCGTCGCCTCCGGAGCTACACTCGACGTCAGTCCATCATTATACTGCACAAACGCCTTCTGCGGCAACTCCACCAGGGCACGCTTGCCTTGCTGCTGTTGGCCCGCCGCCGTCGCTGTACCCGTCCCTGTCGTACTATCCGTCCCATTCTCGCCATCCCCCGTCATCGACGGCGTCAGCCGCAGCAGCGCCGCGGCGCCGCCTTTATCCAGCGTCCACGTCCACGAATCGCCATACCCGAGATCAACCGTCGTGTTGGCCCACACGTCCTCGACGACGTAGTAGCCCGACGACGCCAGCCCGAGGTCCTTGGGCGAGATGGTGAAAACCTGGTCGGAATCATCCGGCTTCGAGCCGAACAAGTCGTTGTTCCCGTTCGCCCCGTAGTTCGCCAGTACCGCGACGACGACGCCCGTCGTCTCGTCGGGCCCGGCCAGCCACACTTGCCGCTGCCGCCCCTTGGCGCCGTCGCTGTTGCCTTCGGTCGGCACCATGGGGCGCCCCGCGGTGAAGCGCGCGACATCGTTGGCGAGCGGGTTGGAGAGGAGGGCTTTGCCGTAGGCGTCGAGCGCGGTGAGGTCGGAGCCGAGCAAGAGGGGGGCGCCCGCGCCGATCCAGTGCGTGAAGACGGCTTGGCGTTGGAGGTCGGTGAGGCCGGTTGTGTTGGCGGCGTTGCCGATTAGCAAAGCGTCCAGGTCCGGGTAGATGGTCAGTTCGGCGGCGCTGTCGAGTTGGAGGAGGATGTATTGCCGGTACTGCTCGATGGCGTGTTGGACGTTGCTCCATTGCGTGAGGGTGGACTTGTTGCTGTTGTTAATGTCGCGGTCGGTGCGCATGGCGTCGGCGCTGTTGTTTTTTTGGGTCAGTGATGATGTTGGTGTGGTGGTGGAGAGGGGGGTCGAAAACTCACTTTGACTTCCAGATGTCGTAGTAGGTCGTGTTCCGGTCCAGGTTCCAGCTGATGTGCAGCCGCATTTTCCGGCCCGAATTCTCGATCGCTTTGTGGTAGCAGGCTACGCTGCCGCTGTTGTCGGTCGAGAGGTCCGCGTCGGCATCGGGTGAGCCGGGGGTGACGTAGTCCAGCTTGATAAGGTCGACGCCCCTGTCGGAGGTTAGCACAATTCTGCTTCTGAATCAAGAAAAGTGAGGAGATTCACCATTCAGCAAACTGTTTTACGTTGGAGTCGCACCACTCCTGAGCGCCCGTCTTGTTGTAGTTGATGTTGCAGCGAGACATGGCCCGGCACGGGTTCTGCTCGTCGGTTTGGATTGACGAGAGGGAGATGTCGGTGCCTTCAATCTTCTTGTCGGCATCGGCGCTGAAGAAACCCGGGAGGATGTATACACCCAACTTCGCGCCTTTGTCGTGCAGATGGTCGGCCAGTTCGGGCAGGTCGAACAGAGACGGATCGTAGGTTATACGCCCGAACTCGTCTCCAGAGGTGGCAAGGGACCAACCCGAGTCGAGTGAGCAATACTCGTACCCGTAGGAGCCTAGCTCTTCCCGCATTGCATCGCACTGTTTGATCACATTTTCTTGGTTGAGTGTGAATTTGTGGCCGGAGGAGAGCGATTGGAGCGCAAACGAGTTCCATCCTCTTGCCGGTGCGTGGAAGCCATTAGGCGTGGTGCCGTAGTGGAGAGTTTCGGCGTAGACAGAGAGGGAATTTATTAAAAGTAAGAGGATGCATGGAAACATTGAGGAAAACATGATGAGGCTCAGAAACGCAGACGGTTCTGACGAGCAGATGAGACCTTGCAGCAAAAATGCACGAGTTCCGTCCAGTCCTTTTATTTGTACTCAGGACTGAAACGAGAGGCTGGTTTGCATGCAGAGGCTGGGGCTCTGCCGTTGAGCACACTGCCAACTGTCGTGGGATTCCGGATTGGCCGCCCGCCAAGTGCCCTTCCCGCAGCTGGGCGGACGGAAGGGCGGCTGCTTCAATGGCGGATTGCGGTTGGGCGGCCACGGCACGGGAAGTTTGCAGGGCAGCCTCTCGCTGGCACTGCTGGAAACGGCGTGGCATGCATGTAAGCCGCATGGTCTGGGGAAAGCATTGGTGAATGTACCATGCCTGGCGTGACGCGACATCATGTTCCCAGCCATCTTTACCAGCCTTGGTAATAGAGGATGCCCCGGGAGTTCGGTTTGTCTTTTGATTTGCTGCGAGCCGAGACGGCTCGACATGACCCCTGTCGGGTCTAGAAGCTAAACACTTGAAGAAAGCGGCCCCAAAACCATACCAACTCCACCATATTCGCGGAGAACGCAGGAAGAAAGATGATAACGAATAGATGGGCCTCGCCGAATCGGTTCCTGAAAGATGCTTTCACCTCAAACGTGGCTGGCGCGTCCTTCCGGTATTCCAAGGCTGAGCGTGTATGCAAGTGAGATCTTGGCGGCTTACCTCGCTCGAGCAACAACCCATGTATGTGGATCAGGGCGGGGTCCTAAACGCCGAAGTCCGATTAACTCAACGGACGATTAAACTTTCTGCTAAAGAACAGGGGAAGGAAATGGTGTGAATGTGTATCAAGCAAAAATATGTAGAGCGGAGATGGAAATCCTTCAAATACGGGTGATATTGCATGATTTATTGCTTTGTTGTGCCGTGCAATCGTTGGCTAGGCTTTGAAAAAGTACATGCTCTGGAATATACCCCGGTGATGATCTGCCAGGTCTGTCGTCATTGCATACGAATCACAACGCCACGCCGCGGCTGGGCATATCCCGGCACTCCATATCATCAAGCCTTTGGGGCGTAAGATTCGGATTTGACCACATTTCACCGTTCATGAAGGACAGCAACGATCGTTTACGGTTGAGTACTTTACATTTCTGCGGAGATCCCGTCTCCATTGCTCGTCAAAATGCGCAGTTGAGAAGAGGGGAAATGAGGGGCCGGAGCTCCACTCCTGGGGACCCGAGAAACAAAATGCCTACGAACAGCATCGTTGTCTTCGATAGCGCGAACAGAGCGGTTCATCAGCCAGGATTCTGAGACCTACATCGGACCAATATTGAATTTAATTGGTCAGAGTAAGGGTTTCACTTTGAAAAGAAAATTGAATGAGGAGATTCTCGACCTCACAAACTGGCAAAACGGGAAGCGGGAGCTGCGAGCTGGGCGACTCTCGGCAAGCTGGTGGGTCGATCGCGGTGGCAAAATCCAGGCCCCACAGAAACTTCAGCACTGCAGAATGGTATCAGCTAGCTTGATTGGCATCCGCAGCTGTAGGATTCTTCGTAGTATCCGCTCTTATCGGTGATTGACGTTGTTTGAAGAGACAAGAGAAGGGGTGAACGGTAGATAAGACGGATGGAGGAAGATTGTGCAGGGTCTAAAGGATCTGTGAGCTCCAATTGATACTTTGAGTTGATCGCGAAGGTCGAAAAGTCTGGCTGAGGAGTGTGATAAATGTATTGTAGAAGATGAGTGTTGGAGCAGTCTGTTGGATCAGAGAACTGAATATTCCTGATCCATTGTGGGTTCTCACGTGATGTGCCTCGTATGGCTGCGGGCTAGCCCAGCTTGGTTTTCTCGCAAACACCATGTTGTTGCCTCGCCTCGGATCCTTCAGCGCCACAGCAACCGTGTCCTGAAAGAAATGAGTCAACGATCTTTCTTTATATTTCGTTATTTTTCAACTTTTGAAGTGACCATCAAACAACCAAGATGAAGAGACGTCGAAACCTCAATTGTTCAAAAACCCCACTGGGGCTGGTTCTTCTAGTTCTGCTGAGCCTTTGCTGCATACCTGCGTTGTCTGCTGTGTCAATAGTGACATGTCCAGGCCCTTGCTCGTTGCGATACCGGGGAACTGTGCCTTACTCCAATATACCCGGAGTAGGTTTTCATCTGACGGCTGAATATGGGTAAGTGTTTATTCTTCCAGTTCTACGAATTTACACACGATAACGCTAACAACCTCTTAGCACCGCCTCCATCTACTATCCCAACGGCACAACCACCCACGTCGCCAAGATAGCCGGCAGCCCCGCCTACAAGGCCTTTATGCAGCGCGCCTACCACGCCGCTCACATGCCGCATTCCTCTCCCGTATACGACCACGCATCCACCAACATCAACCAACCATCCCGCCTCTGCGCCCTCACTCAGTCCCTCCGACCCCTCCGCCTCCTAACCCCCTACCTCTGCCCCCTTCCGTCAGACCAATCCCCCACCGACGACACAGCCGCCCTGCGACCCGTCCTCACCGGCCTCAAACGCGCCACGGAGCACGCCCTCGGCGGCCAACGCGTCTGCCACGTCCGCCTCAGCGGCCCGCGCAACGTCCACAACGCCACGGCCTCGGAGCACTACGTCCGCACCATGCTCGACGCCCTCAGCGCCACGGGCCTGCGCTCGGCGCGGTACTGGGTGTGGAGCTGCATAGGGGAGGAAGAGGTTGATGTATTGAGGGACGTCACGCCGAGCGCCGCCGCGGCGGCGGCGGGTGCGCTGCGGCTGGATGTGGAGGACGAGTGGCCGTGGGTGTCGTACGTTGTGGTTGTCGAGGTGACGAGGCGAGGGGGGGAGAACGGCGGTCCGGGCTTGGTGACGGCGGCGGTCATGGGGGATATGCTTGGTACGTACGGAGTAGGGATGGGGGAGGTGGGAGAAGGAGCCGAGGTGGGGGAAGTGGTGGAGAGGGTGGTGAGGGATGTGGTGGAGAGGGTGGTCGCGTATGAAGGTGCAGAGGAATTCTATAGGAATTTGGAGTCGGTGCTTGTACATGGTGATGGGATGGGAGTGAGCGGGGTGAGGGAGGCGTTGGACAGGGTGTTAGGGGAGGCGAAGGTCGGTGAGACGTTTGGAGCGGAGTGGGATGATGATGCGATTTTTTGGGGCGCGGATGGGACGGCGAGATCTGCGTATGAGGCGCTTGAATCGATGCAGTCGCAGAAGGCGGCGCTTGGGTGTCGTTTCATGTCAGGGTTCTATAAGGATGGGTGGAGAGAGTTGCGGAAAGACGCTGCTCAACTTGGGTGGAGGGAGTTGTGGGAGGATGCTGGTCAACTTGGGTGGATGGCGTTGTGGAAGCATGCTCTTCAGCTTGGATGCAGGGATATGTGGGAGTATACTGTTCAACTGAGGTGGAAGGAGCTGTGGGAGTATGCTGTTCAACTGAGATGGAGGGAGTAAGGGGCTGAGATGCCGTTATTGAATAAAAAAAACCATCCGTTACCTGCGATAGTGATTTTGATATTTGATGTACACTTTATAAGTGCAAAACTTCATCTCTTCTTCCACGTACGACCATAGGTCGCAGAATATAGGGCTTCCCGTCCGCTCAGCCGTACTCAAGCTGCGAACCGGCCGATTAGTACTCAAGTGGGTGACCATTGGGGAATCCCGGCTGTTGTACGTTTTGTGTTTTCTTTTTTGCACGCTGAAAACCATTAGCTTCGTTTTGCCAAGTCAACAGCCAATTCCTTTCCACTTCTATGAAGATAGTAAAGATAGTCGCATCATGCATGTATGTACTTATGACGTGAGAAGCGAGAAATGTATTTTTGTTGTCCTCATCGCCGTTGGGCTCGGCTTAGTGGGAGCACTACTTAAGCGAGCAATGTTCCGCGCAAAGATTTCGCCGTCTTTTTTCCAATGGCGCAATTCTCACTCTTGAGCTCCTTGAGATCAAGATGCGTGTTACGAATAAAATGAAACTGCTCTCAACAAAGTAGCAACGCGCCTATCATTGCGGGATGAACTTGGGAAACTTCAAGTTCTCAAACTTCATGGCAACAGCCAGCTAAGATACGGGAGACCTTTGTCAACTCCTTTACGGGCTGCTATAGCAGCATGATCCCCTCGGAGAGTTTTGAGACTTTCCACCATAGACTCGTGACGGGAAGCCAACTTGTCGCTTGAGTGCCGGCGGTGTCTTTGGCATCACTTTCAAGTAAAAGCATGGTCTTCGTAAATATGCGGCATGATTTTTTCTACAGCTGATTTCTAATAGTATAGAATCTTGTGCTGGAGACGCGGAAGAAGTTATGCATTGCTAGGCGGACAGCTAGTTTGTTTTATCAGGACCGCGGGGAGGGTTTTCGAAGGAAAAGATTATAAAGTTGCTCGTATTAGTGTATATACTGACAAGGAAACTGGCTATTACCGTTCGTGCGATTTAAGAAGAGGATATGCAGCTCTCTTACTGCGTTCTACTTGAACTCGGAAAAGTTCGTGTCTGTATATGATAAATGAACGGTTTCTTCAGCTAACGAACAAGATACAATAATTTTCCTGTCCTACCAGAGCATACATAGCGAATTTCTGCTTAAGTTTCCATAAGATCAGCATTTTGCTTTTATAACAAGTGCTTCTTGACGAACTTATGGAATGCCTCGGCACTACCGAAGTAAATCGCATATATCTTAACAACGGAATTATAGATCACTTTAAAACTTTGACACATTCAGATTTAATGCTTTAAGAGTGTTCTAACAGAAAGAACAGCTTTTATATGTGATTTTAACAGAGATCTTCGAAAAGAGGCATCTCGCACCTTCGCTGTTTTCGGACATTCCCCTGAGGCTATACTAGATATACAACATTACTTTAGTTCTCTACAACAACAGCGTTGGTGGTTTAGTGGTAAAATTGATCGTTGCCAAAATAGTTGCAGTCCTCACAGGAGTATCTCATCCCACGAGTGCTCCCGGGAGCTCAACATTCAGTTTCGATCAGCCCCGGGTTCGATTCCCGGCCGACGCATTCTTTTGCTCTTTGAGCATCTGTTTTGCCATACAAAAGACCTGGGATGGCCCGGGCAGCAGGCGAAATATTGGGGGTAGGGTCTGATGTTTTGACGAATACTGCAAGGTGGATGTTGACCTTCCCGCCTTGGAATGAGTAGCATTGTGAATTTGAAAGGAAAAGGCCTTCCAGCTTACCGCGAAAGCCTTCTTCTTTACGTGGGCAGCCAGTAAATATTTGAACGAATGTGTTGGTGAATTCTTCTACAAAAGTCTGGACGCTGGCTTCAGCTACTTGCGGAAATAGAGTATTATTTCTTAGCGCAACAGCACGAAAGGCCTCAGTTCTCTCTGGTGCTAACTATAGCGCTAAGTATAGTACAGCAAGTTATCACTCTGTGCTGGCTTAGGGTGTTTCCAAGCAGTTTTCTGGTCGCATCATTTTTCATGACATCGTTAACGACGTTATTCATTGTTTTGAGAACACTTATCGTGGTTTTCTCTCAATGTTCATCGCTGCCCGGGGTAACCCCCCCGAAGTTTTCTGCCAATCCAAGTAATTTAACAGATATTCTTTTCTATTCGATTCCACTTAAGGACTTCTACCAATAGCCTCGCCTTTCCAAGCCCGCCGTCTATGAAAGCACTCTAAACTGAAGTTGGTCACTCCTTACATTTAAACGGAGCTCCATTCAAGTTTCTGATGCTACCAGTCCAGGGAAAGATGAATAAAACTATTGTATCAACCATTTCTTTCATAATGATGCCGGCGTGGCATATTAGCAACCTACTTTCCCACCTACGCACCTCAAACGGCCTTACAAAACCGCCAGTGGCATCGGGCATAATATAGGGAGCTTCAAGCGTCTTACTGTCAAACAGAACCGCTCCGAATACTCTCAAGACTAAGCCGGGTTTGTTGAGTCAATTTATTGTAGTGCAAACATCGGAACTTTAAAGTGGCAACCCGCGCGGCTCATGATCAGCTGAAGTTCTTCACTTCACACGAGTACCGCAAACATTGACGCATTAGCACTCAATAAGGCGCCCGAACTCGTATTTGGGACCTGAGTTCTATGGAGGTTGTGCGATACGATAAATGCTCGATCTGGTTGCCGCGCTGAACCTAACAGAGCCAAACATTCCAGCAAGTCCTGGACAGGAAACCAGTGTATCTTCCAACAACGATGGTATATCTCAAGGAAATCTTAACACAAATCCCAAGGTCAGTCAGTTATCCAGGATCATACAGAAACTCCAATTGCCCCAGCAATTTTCAGCGGCTCTACTATCTCAGCTACTCCAGTACCAATCGTGAACCCTGCCGCTGACCAAAGAAGAATGCAGGAAGTTGTTGATGACAATACAGCCAATGACAGCAAGGTGCCGCCCCCCACAACGGCATCATCCTAAGATATCAAAGACCACATATTGTCCGTCACTGGTCCTTCTGCCACAGTATCAGATACCATATACACGCTCGGCCCGAACGGCATTGTAGTTGAAGGCCCATTTAGCAGCGGCAGTGGCATTCAGCCTACCACCGTATCAGTGCCGCTCTCCGCAGCAGCGGCGGGGGCGGTGGGAGGAGGCTCATCATCGTCACCGGGTAACAGTAGCGGCGGTAGGCCTTTTGGTTCTATTATCGAGGGCTTGCATGGCTCCGGTGTTGAGAGCTAGAGGACGCGAGATGCTGTGCCTGTTGCCACGGCGTTACCATTTCCCACAGTAAGCCCGTCTGCATATGCTGAGGAGGATTGCAAGGAAAATACTCTGGTCCTGAAGCTTGGAAGAGGCCGGTCACCGTCATGCTTGATTCCTCCCAGGGCGGCGGCGTGCGCGTCGACGGCACGGCTTCCTTCACATTTGGAGGCAAGGCGCCTGCAACGGTGGCGGTGGATGTTGGAGGTGGTCTCAGCATGAATGCTAACGGGGCTATCGTCGCCTATACGGGTAGTGCTGGGCCTGAGATATCCGACAAGCCTGCTGCTGCTTCGGAACATTCTAACGTGTGAGTAGTGGAGAAGAAAGTGAGTGCGACAGAAGACGATGCATCTTCTTTCTCTGGCGGTTTAGCTGGTGCAACAGCAACCGAATTAAAGAACGCTGGTGGATCCACAGGATCGGGCGGGAGTGGGGCAGCCTCCACCAAGAGCTTCGAGAAGGAATGGAGATAGTGGGGTATGGTATGCAATGTCTTGCATCGCCGTCTGGATGGCGAGTTTCCTGCTGCTTTCTTGAGAAGTGTGGAGTGCTGCGGAAGCTTTAAGCTTTATGATTTTGTCCTATTGTATGTACACGGTTAAATCACGGCCTTCAGGAATATTGATAATGAGTTGACGAACTCAGCAGATGGTTTGTACGTTACTGTTCTTTAGCAAATCAATTATTGAGTAGGCAGTGCGTGTGGTTTCCCGACGCGCCAAAGTGATGTTATCGCGAAGTTGCCCACCATTATCTATTAATCTTTTTTCCGTACTACTAACGCCTAGCTTTTCAAAATAATCTACACAATATCAGACAGGAAACCCTCGAAATATTCATCCATCCACTCCACAGCTTCTTTTCCACTGCTCCTACTCCCATCCTGCCAAATTCGCAATGTACCAACGTATCCGTCCGGACGTATGATAGCCAGAGCCGTCTCATCTCCTTGAAGACCGCCAAGCCACTTTTCTATACAGCCTTTGCCCCGTGTGTCTTCCCATGGAATGTCATCTAAGTAGACTGTCCAAGGGGATTCGCGGAGCACCTGTGGTAGATCTGCCAACTCGAACGCAGCCCTTGGTGTGGGAGTAATGAGAGCCCAGGTGAAAAGACATGACGTAGTGGTGTAGCGGCCCGGGCAGATGAACTCGTCATGCGGAGCAGCTATCGGCGGCTGTATTGTGTAACTGGCATCAGTAGCGGCGCTCATGCGGCCGGTGAAGGACTGCTGCGAGTTAGCCTGCCTACAGACGACGTCGATAAAGGGCCGACTGGTTCGTGCGCTGTTGCAGAAGAAATAGATGCGGAACTGGCCAAGCATCGGGATATCCAGTTGGACGTCCACCGGGTTGGCGTCGGCGTAACGCGTAGCTTTTGCTGGGGTGGGTAGGCATCCGGGCTTCAGGTCACCAGACCCCATCGAGTCAGACAGACGGTTGAGCGCGTTCGGTTCGTATTCCGCACCCATTCCTGAAATGAAGCGGGTATAGGAGGCGAAATTCTTAGCCAAGGCATCCCAATCGCCTGCTGCAAAGGTTTTGGCGTGCTCGTAGTCGAAATTAATCAGGTCTTCGGCGACCCTACGCCGCTCGACTTCGTAGGTTGCGAGGAGTTCGGGTTTTGCCAACTTGCGTACGGCAAAGTTAAGCTTCCATGCAAGGTTCCATGCATCGTGCATCGATGTGTTCCTTAAAGGAGGTCAGTGTCCTAAAAATGTTCGGAAAATATAGGGTGCCTATTACTCACATCCCCTGCGCGGCCTTGGGCGAGTGCGTGTGGGCGGCCTGTGCGGCTAGTGAGCGCGATTTTTCCAAACATGCGGGGGCACTTACGTCTCCACAGATAAACACCCGCCTCCTATGATCTGCAAATTTGGTGGAGACCCTCTGACCGACTACGTACCTCCCAAACCATTCTGTGCACGGTCAGTCTGGTGAGCTATATGTGACGATTATAAGAGCGGTGATTTTACCGACGGTCTTCCACTTGAGACGAAATGGATACATGATTTCTTTAGCTCTTTGCATGACAAGCTGTTGGGAAAGCTCGTCTCTGGATGTGCCCCCTCTCAGTTCCGGCTTTAGCTCCACGTACACCCGAGTCATGTTTCTCTCGCGCGGCATGAGCATGATTGATCCGATTTCTTCGGAATAGACCAGGCCTTTGGACCAGATGTCTGGAAAGTCTGTTTCGATTTGGCCGTCCAGTATGCCCCAGACAGAATCGGATGAAGCTCCTTTGAATTGAGCTCCAATGGTTTTTCGTATCGCCGAACGCGATCCATCGCATCCGACAAGGTACTTGGTATTCGTGGTGCAGCGGTACTGATTTTCTGCCAAATGCGTGACTTCGATTGGACAAGTTTTCCCGGTATAGGTAAAATCCATGAGTGTGGTATCCCTTCGTACTTCAATATTGCGTTCTTTCAAGTCTTGGACAAAGACATCTTCGATGACACCCTGATGGATGAGAAGAAGATAGGGATCCAAGAGGTCGACGGTCTCCGGTGGGTAATGTATCGCACGTTGGTTTCTGTGCATCTTCTCTTTGGAGGAGGATTTCTTCACTGACAATCAGCGTTTCTTTTACTTTCGATGCAGACGAGGAGTCCGATATTTTCGGTTGGAAAAGAAGATGGGTGACGTATTCTGTACAGGGAAAGGTTGAAAATACCCAGAAGCATATGTCAAAGACCTTCACGCCCTTGCGCAGGAGACCATCAACCAATCGCATCTGACGTAAAGTTTCGATCGTCTTGGGTTGAATACCATCTGCTCTACCAACCAAGGTTTGATTCTTCCTGTTGTCAACTATGTCGACCTTTATTCCGAAGCGAGCAAGGTTGTCCCTATGCGGATGTTAATTGTGGATGTCTTGATATTGGAACGGTGAATACTGACGCGAGCATAAGGCCTGCTGGCCCAGCTCCGGCGATTACAACATCACAGGCATGTATGTTGAAGTTTGGCATATCTGGAAGTGAAACATTACTGCTGCTGTTCAAATCAGTTTCTTCGCCCCCGATTTGCCTGGGCATAGTTGAATGAAACCTTGAATGTATGCTGCGTTTGACCAGACCAGAAATTTGTAGCGGCATCGACAGCAATGTTTGTTGTCGGCCAAGTTTTCTGAGCAAGAGACGATAGGAAGCAGTCCGATTTTAAGTCCTTTTCCTATTTCTGGCAGGGTCCTTCATGTTGGGTGTCAGATTGGGCTCGGGGCATCACTTGTGGAACGACAGTTGCGCCACCTCTGTCGATCCTTTCGGGGCTATCGGCTTGTGCCGGTTCAGGGTCACGTCGGCCCCGTAAAGTCATGCGGAAGGATCCCGCTGACGACATTCCGTGACCGTTGACGGCCGTTGACGGACCCACAATTTTTGAGGCGCGGGACCGACGCCAGGAAGTACCAATTCCGGCATTTTCCAAGCCTTAACCCTTGCCACGGTCGTATGGCCAAGGATCGAGAAGATTCATCGAAGGTTCTTCCCCAGGATCTAAGATTACTGGAACCGCTCGTGTGGTTGCCTGCGATTGTGGATTCCACATCGGAGTGGGGGTCAAGTAAATCTTCTGATCGATCCGCGTTGGGCATGATCACAAGATCCAGCCATTCATTCTCTCTCTTTTCTGGAAGCGTTCTTTCCAAAAAGGAGTTCGCTGTTAAGTCAGTACCAGCCGTATCCCACGCGTTCGTTGTGTTCATTGCTCTTCAATGCAAACAAAGAATGGTGCGTTAAGAAAGTTGAACGCATAGGTCCTGCCTCTCTTGGTAAGTGGCGACATGGTATACAGGTTTTCGGAGCCGAGCAGGCTATTTATTCCCGTTAGTCTCTCTACAGACCTTGGTAACATGTCATTGATCACGAATTCCGGTTCGCATGAGGAACGCGTCATTCGGGCAAATGGTCGTCCGACGCTACATCTGCGGAAGACCGGAGACGAGTGATAAATCAACGAACGAACCTCAGGTGATAAATGACGCTGCCGAATGTTATCGCCGACTCGTGGCGCAAGAAGTCAACGGTGAAGCACATCACTCATTGGCGAGAGAATGGCAAAAGCAAAGCTCGGACGGCAGATGGTAGCGGTACTTATATCATGAGGTCGGTTCGCTTAACTTTACAACACGGCCCAGTGCCTGTTATAGGGTCACGTCCGAGCTTTCATTTCCGTTTCTTTTTTTTTCCTCGGAGCGCTCGTACTTGCCATACGTTCACACGTCGATCCCAGCGCTTCGATTACCCATTCTATATCTCCATATGTCTAGCAACCCCTAGCGATCTACACCGTGTTCCTCGCAGCTGCTATTTTTAATGGTCGATCCTGACAGAATGTGGATCTCATGCATGTCCATATTTACTGTAGTAAGAGAGGTCAACTCGTTCAAGTATTAATCATGCCCGACACACATCACGTTACCACAAATCACAACGAGATGCCAGTGTTGAGCCGAGGACAGACTTCTGTAGACGCCACAGCTACTCCGCTGGAGCCGGAGTACTTAGCAACGGAGTAGCCTTGAAACAATATTTTGCCCTGAGAATTCGCGTATCTCAAATGCTTGCAAAAATACTCCAAAGCTTCAATTCTCTTGACCATCGTACACCTATCCTTAAACGGCAAAGAGATTATATCACAGTAAAAGCCCTCTGTGAGAGTTGACATTATTCATTCTGATGCAAGAGACCACCACGTTCTTTATAAGCTTGCAAGACTGCTTCGGCGTTTTGCTGCGGTTTCTTAGGTGCACACCCCACTCTAAACGGCAGGAGGCCATGCTGTTGCAGTTCTGCTTCTGCAGAATTGACTTTTACGCAGCCAACGTAATGAGAATCGATGCACATACTACCATCCTCCATTGTTCCCAGACCTGCAGCCAGAACCAGAAGGTACAGCGGATTGTAAGATGATTGCCCAGGGGCGTACAGCAGAAAGCAGTTCTCCGGTGACTGTAAGGCTCGTTGAATGCGCAGTTCGACGGAAGCATGCATACTGTAAGGCTTCACATGGGGCACCCGACTGTCTGGAATGGTGTGATACGGCCACCTCACACAGGCCGCACCCTCGTGGTCCACCTCAATCAAGTTCTTGTCTTTCCGACTTCCGTCTTCGTCAAAAGGTTGCTCGCTTGTCACAATACTGGAAGGTAGCCAGGAGCAACCACCTCCAAGACTCAAAGTGACTTTTCCGTGAAGAAGAAGTTCCCGCGGCGCCTGCCGGTATGAGAGTACCATCTTACGCATCGTCTCGGCCTGAGCATCACTGTAATCAAAATCTTTGGTCCGGGCGAGGAGAGCGGCGATGGTGGCACGGTCCCGCAACCACGACGTTGACCGTGTGCTCAAGATTTTGAATAACCCCGCCAGTGTTGGCGGCTTTCCCCTGAGGTTCTGGATGATGTCCGCTGCAAACCTATGGCCCACGCTGCAGACACCTCGGGGGAGGATGTCATGGTCCAAGTCTTTCACAACTTGCTTGTTCGCATTGGTGGGATCCCGGTAGATCACTTTCACGGATCGGGAGACCGAGAGTTCCAGTGCCGTCCATCCTCTCGTAAACCATGGTGAGAGGATAAGAGCAACGGCGGGGCTGCCATCTTCAGCCCAATCAACTTGCAGCAAGTACTCATCGTGGACCACGGTGTGCTTTGCGTTCTTGTAGTACGACTGCATCTGGTTCAGGGCAATTCTTCTCACTTCCTTCTCCATAGGAATAGATATTGCGTCCCACCAAATGCCGTCGCATTCCAATCTCTTGGCCACATCCATAAAGTAAGAAATCAGACATTCGTTCACAGAGCCCGATCCACTGGTACCCACACCAGTGCCATCTTTCCAGACATGAGAGATGGCCATATAGTCTTTGGGGAAATTTTCCGGTTTGGGGTTCTGCAATGCTTCAATCGGCCAGGCGGTAGTCTCCCCGTTCCGCACGGCATATGATAGCCTCGTAAGATCCAGCGTTGTAGTACGTCCGCATTGGCCACTGTCGCATTTGTGCAGCTGTTTCTTGAGTGCGCTGTTTTCCTGAGACAGCTCACAGAACTGCGCTGAACAATTCTCATGGCCAAAGTGTGCAAAAGCATCCGGGCGTGGAGCCTTTTCCAACAAATCAACGAGAGCCGGCAACACACTATCCAGCCACTCCACGCTCTGAACCACGTTCCAAAGTCGTTTTGGACAGAGATGCAGTCTCGTCGCTCTTTCTTCTGCGTCCACAATGACATGCGAAAACAAGCTTTGTTTCAAAGCTGTAGTCTGGAGCTTCAATGCAGTTTCACTGCCTCTGAGCATTCGATGGCCAAGATCCTGCACGATCCGTGGCTGAATCTGGCTTGCCCAGAAGAATATTATCTGCTTGAATTGAAAGAGTAAATATGGGCTATCCGCCTTCTTTGTGGACCTGGACAGCTTGTACTGCCAGAACCATCGATCGTTGAGGTCTTGCTGGAAGGTGATCATCACTGAGAAGAAGTGCCTTGCGAATGCGTCTGCATCGAAGTAGTGCAGCCAGATGTCGCCTGCAGCCCATGCAGCAAGCTGGCAGGAAGCTGCTGCGAGCACCCACTCTCGAAATTCAGCCCAGTCATCGCAGTCCGGAATGTGTGGATCCAACAGCTTCCTGGCGGCCTGGCAACGGCTCGCTTTGCATTCCCTCAGCTGTGCTGACAGGCACCTTGCCTGGAGTGGACCTAACCGGTCCCAGTGCACCTGCTCGAGGGAATAATTTGTCTCTTCCCCCCAGGCCAGGTACCCGGGGTGATCAGTGATGAGACCAACAACGCTGCAGACAGAGAAAGCAGTCAGCTTCTTTCCATGATAACCGTACTAGCAGCTGCTGCTATTGGATTATGATGCTTACCCAGTTATCAAGTTTTGTGAGAGCGCTCTTGGGTAGAAGTCACATAGGTGAAGATTCGCACATAGATCGCTACTGGCATTTGGAGCTCCGGCCTGGAACGGCAGCAGAAGCTTTTTGCCCACTTCCCATTCTCTCGGGAGTGCATAGAGATCCATCTTCTGGTACTTCTCTGATTCTCTGAGCTTCGCCACTTTCTTGATGAAGGCATCACGATACTTTTGCAAGGCTGCCGCTTCTTCTTCCGTCGGGCCGGAGATGGGTATTAATTTTGACATAGCTCCCTTGTCTTGAATGCAAGGATGCTTGTTAATTAGTTTTGGGGATTCTGTTAATCGATACTTAGACAACGGTTACTGCGATCGTATATTGTTGTCTTGTGTGAAGAGCAATATTCAAGTGCGGCCCCCACAAATAACCCCGCACCTGCCGACCAGCAGATGATATGTCACATGAGCATAATCTGACGATTTTGTAGCAGACACGATGTTCTTGGAGCTACAATATTATGGCGCTGATCCTAAAAGGTCTTGCTATTTTGGTGACCGACTGCCAAAATTTGTGACAACGTGAAACAAAATGCAGTAGACCTCAAACCCAGCAGATCATCAACACATAGAGGGTATCTAAAGGATATGAAAAATACTTAAAGAAAATCTCCAAGTCAACATGCGAATGCC